AATACAGCTATTTTGAGGAAATTATATCCAAATAATTTGTCTGTTAAAGTTTTCTGCACAAAAGTAGTAATTCTCCCTTAATTCATTCAAAGATGGTTCGAGCGTACGAGCACTTTAGTGATTTTATTAAACTGTGTAACGTTAGCCATGTACAATCCATTTGACAAGACCTGCGCTACAAAGAAATGTCAAATTCTTGAGATCCTAGAGACTGCTATCTACGCCTTTTTTGTGGTGGAGATGTTGATAAAATGGATGGCTATGGGGTTATTTGGTGATTTAGGATACTTCAAAGACTCTTGGAATAAACTGGATTGTTTCATTGTTCTTGCAGGGTATAATGAGTGCTGGATTAAATTCTTTTGACGTAGACAACAATCACAATTTTAGTAAATTTCTGTTTTTCTGTATATTTTTGTAGAACATTTGAACTTGCTTACGGCGAAGGAAAATATTTGAGTGCTGTTAGATCAGTTCGTGTCCTGAGACCATTAAGAGCAATAAATCGAGTTCCAAGTAAGCTATGAAGAACTACAAAGATTAGTCTTTGAAATTAAAATACTCTTGAGTTTGAATTGTTTCCAAAATTTCAAACTTCCTTCAACTAAACGTCAGTCGAATAGAACTTCATACATAAATATTTAACCGTTCTAATTAATTTTATAGTTTTCCCACTGGTCACAGAATTGTGAAACAAAAACATTTGAACTGTTTTAGATTGCACTCAAAAAGAGAGAAAAACTAATTTTGAAAGCTTAGATATTTCAAACATAATTTATCTTGTTCACCGTAACATAGATAAATGAATAAATAAAAAATCTGTTTTTTCTCATTTGTCTAGGCATCCGCATTTTAGTTATGCTTTTGCTGGACACGTTGCCAATGTTAGGCAATGTTCTGGCAATTTGCTTTTTGATTTTTGCAATATTTGGGATCATTGCTGTTCAACTTTGGCAAGGTCTTTTACGTGCTCGCTGCTTTCCACAGGACCTTAACAGTAGCATCATTAAACAGTAAGTAATTCTCATAAAATGTTATGAAATTTTTATGTCATCTGTTCAAATACTCATCACATTACTCAGTGTATTCTACAATTCTCGTTCTGATTCCATAAAATATTTCGTTTCTTCAGGTATAATTTGACAGAGTTTTACCGTCCATCATTCAATGAATATTATGTCTGTTCATTGTCAGAAAATAACGGCTTATCTAAATGCAGTCCTCATAACTTTAATCCGTACAAGGTCAACAATAAAGTGTGTAACCAAAGTTTCCTTACGACCGAGAACACGTCATCATCACATTGCGTGAACTGGTACCAATATTATACGTTGTGTCGGCAAAGTGGAGAAAATCTTCACTGGGGTTCAGTATCTTTTGATAACATTGGTATAGCAACAGTTGTAATATTTCAAGTAAGTTGAGTTGAAATGAATGATTTATTAATTTATTTAACAAAGCTTATTAATGATGAGAATATTATACCTAGATCATTACACTCGCTGGATGGTCAGACATTATGTATAAAATACAAGATGTACATTCCTTTTGGAATTGGATTTATTTCGTCTTTCTTGTTCTTGTAAGGTTTGAATGAATTTTCATTGATAACTAGAATATAGGACTTTATAATAAAAACATCAAAAAACTTTTCAATTTTTATATCAATTTGCCTTTAGCTTGGTTCTTACTTCATGACAAATCTCTTTTTTGTTGTGATAACTTCACAATTTCAACAAACAAAACAACGCGAGAAGGAGCTAATGAAAAAATCGCGCCTGCGATCTCGGGCCAGCGTCAGCACGGTATCCTCAATTTTGACGCAGCAAGGATGTTATACACAGTTGTTGCAATATCTTGAGCATCTTTGCCGTCGTTTTAAAAAGTACATTTGTTCCAAGATCAAAATGGACAAGAAGTCAAAACGTCGAAGTGTTCGATCCTCTATGCAACTAAAGAACCGTATGGATAATGTAAAATCTATCCATCATCACCACCACCATTACCACTATTGTCACCATTATGTACATCATCATCCATGTCAATATAGAAATGAGATCACACATTCTTCTCCAACCTCAAAAATACCCGCCACATTAACAGAACAATTCAATCATACTTACCTCAAGTCTGTTGATCGTACTTTGCGCATGTCACGTGATTCACCCGACTCCAAAAAGGACAAAAATAAAAAGAGGATGGTTGTTGTGTCACAGATTCATGCTAATGCTCAAGCGACAACGGCGCTTTACCAGGATACTTTAGACAACTCATCAGGAAAAATGGTTTCCTCAGCAAGGGCAAATATAAATATTGATGGTGACGAATGTTCAGAAAACGTCATTACGTACAGGTAATGATGACGTATTTTATTATGTAATTGTGACATTTTGATGCTTAAAAAGAAACTTGTTTATTCTAAACAACTGCAAGCTATATTGTCTTGTTATGACATTCCGTGTTAAACTGTTTCATCGTTTTTCTTTTCTGTTTTATTCATAGTAAAACCGCTGCCCCAGTTAATGCAATTGCAACAAAGGCAACTGAAAAGACCTTGGAGGTGGCGTGCTCTTGTGCAGCAAGGCATACCGAGGACGAAAATGTTAACGTGATTAAGAATGCTTGTAATGATTTTATATATTCTTTTGACGACGACGATGTGGATAGCCCAAATACGAAGAAAAAATGTTGGGTCAGAATACGTTATAATCTCAAAGCATTTGTCGAAAGTCGACATTTTATGAGGCTCATCATGGTGTCCATATTTCTGAACACGATAAGTATGGCCATAGAGCATCATGGGCAGGTATAAAATCTTCAAATAGTTTGACATTTTACTCCTGCTAATGAGTTAACTGACCACAAAAATCAACCAATTTCTAAACGAATAAACTATTTTTGCTGAAATAGCAATAGTAATATAGTAGTCATTCACTCATTCATTAGCGAGACTAATTCTCGAGGCTGGCTATGTTACTGTTTATAACATATTATAAATGTTTTGTCTATAATTTTCATAGTACGAAAGGTCTTTGATACAGTGCTTGGTTAGAGAAACCTGGCTTACTTTAGTCCAAATTGTAGATTTGTAAAATACGGAGAAATAGTGTTTTGAAGAATGTTTGTATCTCTTTCAGCCGAAGAAAATGACGAACATTTTGGAAATTGTCAACGTCATATTTACCTCAATTTTTGCGATAGAAATGCTGATAAAAATTGCTGCATTTGGACCTTACGGTTATATTAAAGATGCATATAATCTGTTTGATGGTGTGATTGTCATTGTAAGGTATGAAATTTTTACCAGTACGGTAAATAAACTAGCCTGGAAAATCTTTTACGTTGACATATGGATTACGTTTCTAGGAGTAAAAGTGTTTTTGAAAACAAAATTTACAGGAAAAAAATATTCAATCCAGCTATATGCTAAAACTTGTGTTTGACTGATTTAAAGATAATTTAACATACACTTTTGGTTCCTGTTTTTCAAGTATTTTTGTGTTCACTGAAATCAAAATAACTGTAATGGTTAAATATTGTAAATAGAGAGTTTAAATGTACAGAATGGCTTGTATGTTGCTGTTGATATTTTCTTACAGCAAAATATTTCTATTTTTCTTTAGTTTTATAGATATTTTCGCTGACAGCGATACGAGTGGTTTGTCTGTTATGAGATCATTTCGACTATTGAGAATATTCAAACTTGTTCGTTTCATGCCAGAGTTGCAACGTCAGTTGGCGGTTATGGTACGAACTTTAGATAATGTCATGTCTTTTCTGGCGTTACTTACTTTGTTCGTATTTACATCATGTATTTTGGGGATGCATCTTTTTGGAGGAAAATTCCAGTTTGCAAACGAAGATGGTCAGCTGGTCACATCGCGGGCTAATTTTGACACTTTATTTTGGGCGCTTGTTACAGTGTTTCAGGTAAAGAGTGTTACAATCTTTCCCCAAATTATGCAACACATTGTGATTCTCATATTTTAGATATCCTACTACTTTTTCTGTAGTAAGATTTGTTATTTAAGCCCAATAAAATGTGTATAATACTTTTTGCTGAATATCAAAGAGTGCAATAATTACAATAGGTTTATTTCATAGATTCTGACTGAAGCTGACTGGAATGTCGTTCTTTTTGATGGAATTCGTTCTCTCTCATCGTGGTCTTCTCTTTATTTTATATTTATTATGGTCATTGGAAATTTTATTTTATTTAATTTGCTCATCTCTATCATTGTCGAAGGTTTTATTGACCAAGCTGCTGCTGTAAGTTATTTATCAACTCAAAAATTTTTGAATGTTTCCATGAACCTTAAGTCGATGAAAAAATCCTTTTAATTAGTCAGTGTTAAAATATACAGTCTATGATATTTGTTCAATAGGAAGAACGTTTTGTCAAATTGTTTAGTACTGGGTTCATCCATGTTTAGTTGTAAAAGATTAAACACGAAACTTTGAATCAAGATGCTAACATTATTTGGAGTTAAAGTTGTTATGTGTTTTGTTAAAATACTCCGCGATTCGCCGAAAGCTTTTTATGTTTATATTTTTCTATTCTACAATATTCTACATTGTAGTAGAATAATAAATTAATTATTATCTTGTTTATTTCAGGAAAAAGAACAACTTTTGTTAAAAAACGAAAATTTCCAAGCAGAAACGTCCTCACCGTCCGCAAAATTAGGTCATAATCCGTGCATATCAGAAAAAGAACCATATTTCTCTTGCCCAGACCTCCACACAATGTACCCCAAATATCTCCAATATTCCCAGCAGCTCATCAGATGCACCTCAGCTCCCTGCCAGTCTTGGAGCAATTACAAACGGCAGAACACCACTTCTTCACAATGTCATGTTTCATCTTTGGACGAATTTAAAACAGAAAAAGATGGAAAGAAAAATGGCAAAGTACGATGTCAATCTTTACAAGAAGAGGTGAGTTATCAAATTGTCATTTTTCAAGTTGATAATGTAACGAAAATCATATTTCATTGCAGAATACGTCTCTGGTTTTTCAAATTGTCGAGCAAGTTGAAAATGAAAACGAAACCGTTGACAATTATGCCACGTCATGTTTGAAGCGTCGTCAAGATTGGTCACTTTTTGTCTTTTCACCAGAAAATAAATTTCGTCGACTTGTCGTCAAAATTCATCAGCATCCATGGTTTGATCGAGTGGTATTGCTGTTTATCTTGATAAATTGTATTGTTATGGCAATGGAAGAACCTGGATTGGACAAGAACAGTGAGGTTGTAAAAAGCCAGTTTTGTAATCTGTGTGTAGTTGTTGGTTTGATGTTAAACTATTTATATTTTATTTTAGATGGGACAGTTTATTCAAATAATGCAGTATATTTTCACAGCAGTATTTACGATTGAGATGTCTATCAAGGTATAACAAATTTTTCAAAATATTTTTTTGACTTTGAATCATTTTCTAAATTGGAAATAATTTTTCATTTCATTGGAACCAAAAGTTATTATAATTACAGTTCTGCTAGCAAGGTAAAACCTGCTTTATTGTTGTCAATATGTATGTTTTTATAACGTCAGGTGATATCTATGGGTCTTATCATTGGTCCTGATACATATCTAAAATCTGGTTGGAACATCGTCGATGGAATCCTTGTACTTATTTCATTGGTTGATCTTATCGTTTCCTTGACAACAGAGGGCAGTGGTGGAATCTTGGGAATTCTAAGAGTATTTCGAGCGTTTAGAACCTTAAGACCTCTACGGTAAAAAATAAATTGCGATGGAGTGAGAATTTATCATTTATTTATGATTTATGAAATCATTGTTACTTGAAGTATGCATTAACAACCATTAGCTAGAGTCACATTCTGTTTTACAACAAAGTTTTGATGAGCATTTCGATGTTCATTCACTTTAAAAACATTCAATTTCTGAAGCTATATTGGTCAGTATTGCCAATAATCTAAAGTTTGCACAACTCAATCAATGATTGAAGCTGGCCACGAGGCTTTCGGTGGCAATGAAAACTCTTTCTTGACTATCTAGCACAATTTCTTAGTTAAAATAAATGATATATGATTTAGTTTTACTTTGCATGGTAAATTATACAATGTGAGTTGTTCTTATTCTTGAACATTGACAAACGTCTTCGTTTTTTTTTAAACAGAGTTATAAATCGCGCTCCTGAGTTAAAATTGGTTGTTGAAACGTTGATCAGTTCACTAAAGCCGATCGGAAATTTTTCTCTTATAGCTGCTACGTTTTTTGTTATATTTGGAATCTTGGGTGTACAGGTAGGATTGTTAAAGTAATTACATGATAGCTACAGCCCAAACTTTTCCCTAACAAACCGAATTTACCTTTTTCTAGTTGTTTAAAGGCAAATTCTATTCCTGCAACGGTGCTAAATCATCATTAAAAATAAATAACAAAGATCAGTGTATTTCAAACGGTGGAAACTGGATGAACAACGTGTACAATTTTGACAACTTGGCTAGCGTAAGTAAAAGTAATGTTATTTAAATTGCATAATTGTTTTCATAATTTGAATCATTGTTATCACAGGACGAAATTTGACAGCTATTCTATTCCTTACAGGCTTTATTAACACTTTTTGTGTTTTCAACATGTGATGGCTGGACGGCCATATTGTACTCAGGCATTGATGCAGTTGATGTTGACAAACAACCAAAACGTGATTACGCCAAGTGGAATATTTTGTATTTTATTGCATTTCTTCTGATTGCTGGTTTCATTGTAATGAACATGTTGGTTGGTATTGTGATCGAAAACTTTCACAAATGTCGCGATGAACAGAAGTTGAAGGAACAAAATTCATCCTCTAGAGAGACAGTGAATAGAAGATCAAATTCACCAAGAAATTCAAGTATGTTTTATCAGCTACAACGTTTGTGTTTGTATCATTAAGGAAAAATAAATTTCACATCCATCTAACATCAAATCATTACTAAAAGAATCTTTGAAATATTCTCAGTTTTTTTTTAGTTTCAGAAATCGCTGATCCTAGCATTCCTGAATGGCGCAAGAAATTGCTTCGATTTGTTACTCATGCGTATTTTGATCTAGCCATTGCTATTGTTATTGGTATCAATGTTGTTTGTATGGCTATGGAGCATTACAACCAACCCAAAGTAAGAATTATCTCTTTTGTGTTTAGCAATGTGTATTTTTTTAATCATCAAACGAAATTTTTTCTTTCTCTACAAACTTCATAATGTAATGATTAATTCCCAAACACTACTTTTTGCCAGTGAAAACTTCCCCTAATTTTACTTTGTGTGTTGAAAACAACACAATAAACTGAAAAGGTAACAAGTAAGAAACGTATAAACCTGTTTTGAGTTGGTTTAAATTGTAAGTCAAAACGGCAGAAGCTGTTTGAACCTTTTCAGTATATTTGGATGTTCTAGTTCCTTTTATGAGAAGAATTCTTGTAAAGAAAAAAGACAAATTTTAAAAACAAAAAATCCAGTTTTCGGTCCATGCGTACCGATACTCCGAGATAGTCGAGTAATAGAGGGTCTCATGTTAATTAAAAGAACCAGATAATTCTTGTTTGCCATGAAGCTCATCGATGGTTTGCTCGTGATGCATGAGAAACAGCAAATGAGAGAATTAAATCAGAAAGAGATAAAGCAATAAAAATTGTACAAAACATGTTAAAAGTTGTCTTAAATTATAAGTTTCAGAGAAAGACACAGTGTCAGAAGAAGTTAATCAAAATATTGCTTAGTTTATTTTATGAGAAAAAATAAACAAAAAGATAAAATTCGAAAGCAAAAAAACCCCGTTTTCGGTCCATGCTTCCCGATACCTCCTTAATCTCAAGGCACTAGAACGCCGCATGTTAACGTTTCGGTAGGAGATTTCGTCCGCTCCACGCTATCCTACTTGGGAGATGCAATAGCAAGCTTCCGCCCATCAGACGCCGAGATCACCTGCGATAGGCTTTGCTCGGGGTACGCAGGGAGATTGCGGTCGCCACCGAACTGTGGGCCCCTAACTAAGCCACTGCATACTATATCGCACCCAGCTGCCACTGCTAGTTGACATCTACTATACTTAATAGTGGCTTTATATTTATATACCAAAATTCAAAGGCTTACGAAAATTGTGGTATAACTAATGTCACTACTGCGCATGCCCAGTTGATTTCTTTGATAAATTGCGACTAAGTGAGTTAATTGGCACAAATGTAATGCAAGTACATATAGTTAGTAGTTGCCATGATTATGAACTATTAGTCGAGTGGACTTCGCAAGTTCGAGCGCATGCGCAGATGATTTCTCTATTAAATTGAAACTAAGCATGGTATTTACTTCAAAATCGGTGCTAATAGTTCAGTTGGTCGTTGCCATAATAATTAACTAGTGCAGCTAGTCGACTGCGTATGCTGAAACAGACTGCGCATGCGCAGATGATTTATTACAAAATTTGTGACTGATCAAGCTAATTACTCCATAACCGTTACTAGTACATACAGTTGGTCATTGCCATGACCATGAACTTGGAGAGTTTGTGGAGTTGACTGCGCATGCTCAGATTTATTTTCTATTAATTTACGACAGAGTGAGCTCTAAAATTGATGTTTGTATAATCGCTTAGCAAATTTTCAATCATGTATTACTGGTATGCTCTTTGTCTTCTCAAGCTTGTTTTGACAAATGCATATCAAACCCATCAACACTTTGTTACGGCACTTGTAATATCTGTGACAATGTTACTTTTACACATTCTGCCATTACTATTAGTCGTTATGTATTTCTAAAATAAGATTTACAAATTCCCTAAAAGCATCTTCTTTCTATTTTATTACCACTATTCTACATATACAATACTATGTCCGGCCATTTGATTGTCCGAATTTTGTATTCTCATCTCTTATTTTTGACACGTTTTACACATCGGAAGGGTGGATTGGTCGAGTCATTGAACAAGGTTGTTTACTGGCTGTTGTTGTATATTTCTTGAACTATACTCCCTCTCCTTTCAGATGTTGACCTTGTGTTTACAATACGCAAACTATATATTCACTGTCTTGTTCGTGTTGGAAGCAGTTCTTAAATTAATCGCTTTTGGAATAAGAACATATTTTAAAGACAGGTAAATACACTTGAATTTGTACTATAGAATGAAAATTGAAAGTCCTTAGTCAAAAATAATGGCTTTTGAGAAAAAGAAAATTATTTTTCTTCTCTTTATTAGATGGAATTGTTTGGATATGTTCATTGTAATCTTGTCAATTGGTGGGATTATATTAGATGAGTTAGCAACATCTGATCTACCGATCAATCCAACCATCATACGTGTTATAAGAGTTCTGAGAATAACTAGAGGTAACTGAAATTAAAATATTATATTTACGATTGAGCGCTTGTTGTCAAGATTTTTTATATGATTAACGCATATAGTGAGTGGCACTGTCATTTGTTGGCTTCTTTGGTTAGGATTACTATAAATATTTGTTTTTTTATCAGTGTTGAAGCTTTTGAAAACAGCAGAAGGAATCCGTTCTTTGTTGGATACCATTGGTAAAGCATTACCACAGGTAAGTAAAAATATATGTCTACAAATTTCTGAAGAAGCTTTATAGACTATTTTCATAAATTTTGTTCAACGTTGTCTATTTAACATCTCTGGTTTTTTAGGTCACCAACTTAGGAATTCTTTATGTTCTTCTTTTTTTCATTTTTGGAGCTTTAGGAATGGAGTTGTTCGGTCGTATATGTAAGTGAAAATAAATACCTTTATTTATTGTTCTCATCATCTTGGAGAAGTACAAATTAATTTTATGATTTTGTTTTATTTTTAGCTTGTAACGAAAATGAATGTAATGGTTTAGATGACACACATGCACACTTTCAAAATTTTGGCTACTCTGTTTTAACCTTGTTTCGTGTATCTACAGGAGATAACTGGATTGGAATATTACAGGTAAGATTATGAACAATTGATGAAATTTTGTTCTTTCTAAAAACTAAAGAGATTGTGTAGAGCAATCTAGATCATGTATGATCTTCAGGAAGAGTGCTGATAAAGCGTGATTTCTTACGACCTTTAGAAAGATTGACGATAAGGCATCTTGTTTGATCTTCAAGGAACTTGAAGGATGATATTATATTGAACATTTTAAAATTCATTTTCTTTAGGACACAATGAGTTCAAAAATATGCAAGTCCGGTGAAACAGAGGGATGTGTTATCATCAATAATATTGCTCCTATCTTTTTCTCTTCATTTGTTCTTATAACACAATTTGTCCTCCTCAATATTGTCGTTGCCGTTTTGATGAAACATTTGGAGGAATCAAAATTGGCAGACTTGGATGAAAATACATTATCTGACGAGAATGATTCTAATGAAGGGATGCAGTCGAAATCGCCTATTGAATGTTCCAATCAAGAAGCTTGCGTGTTGAATAATCCTTCTTTACAATGTGAAGATTTGACTTCTGTTCATGAAATTTCTCGCGCTCTTGTGAGCCCTTCGCAAACATCGATTTCCAACGAAAGAATGAACACAAACCGCTCTGAGTTGTCTGTAAAGGGTTCAAATAAAGAAATTGAAGATGGTTATAAAGTGTCAAAAGACGAACAAATAATTGATGATGAAGTTTTTCTCGAGAAATGAGCAATAAAGAACATTTTTTTATGGAAGCAGAACTCGATGTTTTACAGAACTGTGGCAGAAGATTTCCATGAAATGTAGCGAACCGAGTACTGACTAACACTCTTTAAATGAACGATGATCTTAGGTGAACGTTGTTGTACATTAAAGGATTATGCAAGTACCCTGAGGGATGAAAATGATAGACAGTCAGACAGAGTTAATGGTTTGAACCAGTTGAAGAGTGAAGTGTTTAAAAACTTAAATTTTTGCAAAGAGAGCGACATGACTGATGAAGCAAACATATTACAGATACCAGTACCAGACCTGTCAAATACGTATTCAGACATTTCAACAAAGAGTTGAAATGATGAAGGGGGTACTGGAGAAAGGTTAAATGGTACCGGTCTGATTAATCTTTAAACTTTAGGAGATCATTAATTGTACTTGCGGGGCAGTGTACGATGAACAAAATCCATCAGGAGGTAGCTGTGTGAATATTTTAAGCAAACCACTCTAAGGTGAAACAGGACGCCGTGCAAGGATTGACTAACTTTACCTGAAACAGGACGCCGTGCAGTAAGATCGGATCGTAGTAAAAAAATATATTTTCTCCCTAGCAATGCATGGTGGGAAGCAATTGGTTTGCTCATCATAAAATATTTTATTGAATACACAGTAAAAAGAAAAGGGCCATTTAACCCCTTAAAATGGGGCCAAAATATTGACCCCAGATCGGCCCCATAATTTAGAGCCAATTTTGGCCATTTAAAGAGGGGCCAAATTTGGCCCCAAAACGTAGCTGAAACAGCCCTAGGTAAGAGGATTAATTTAGCCCCATAGCGAGCTATTTTGCCCCTTTTGTTTGAAATTCAACTCTAGACAGAATAGCCAATTTAGCCCCATTATCTCATCAAATCGGCAATGGCTAAAAAGCAGCCCCTTGCCCTGGAAAGAAATGAAATTACTGAAAGCTTACAATAAACAAGACTCGTATAATATACGTAAGCACATAAGTGCTTAACACCTTCATTAAAATACTTTACATGCACATATTTTTATCTCACTCAAATTAAACTTCAGAAAAAGAATTGAAATAAAACATAATCTATATAGCCATATGCATTCATGATTAGTTGAACACATTTGATAACACTCCAACTAAACTTTTCACAGAAGATGGACACTTCTCAGGGATAATTCCCAATAATGCCATGTCAAGAAAGCTATGGACATTCATGCCTTCAATGTATTTTATATTGTACATATGGTACGTGGCCAACAAAGCAACCAGAGCATCGCCAATCTTTTTGGTTGTGACATGGCACAAAACTATTCCTTCTGCCACCACATATATAATGTCACTTTGATAAAGGTCATCCACTACCAAAATACAAGGTTGAATTTGAGGTTTTATTTTTTCATCAAGGAAAGCGCCATTCTACGATAAAAAGACAGCAGAAAATTTAGAGAACTAGCTTGAGACTGCACAATAAAGTCTTAAGTGTCTACTTTCATTAGCGTTCACAATTTACTTTTTGTTATGTGAGAAACAAAAATGAAGTAGTATGGTAATACTCATTTTATAGTAAAGATATAGTGCCAGTTTTACCTTAACAACTTTGATAACAGCTTCTTTAACATGAGGCGTCCTCCTGCTGTTTGGCTGCTTGAAGACAATTTGAGCGATTTCGATAGCTGCTCTACCAGCACATTCGCCTAAAAAATAGCACACACTGCTACACAAATGTTGATCGAGAAACAACTGCTGATCCTTCTTAGTTTTATTTCCTTCAAGAGAATTTCTGATGTGTATGAAGTTGATTATCAGCTGAAATACCTTCTTCAAGGATACCACTGTCAATGGCATTGTGCATTCTTTTCAAGTCTTCTGAATGTTTACCACCGTTTTTCTCAGCATATGCCAACAGCCTGTGACGCCAGACTTTGTTGAAGTTTTCGTTTACCTGTGTAGCTACGTCTTTATTCCCCATAACTTTTGCAAATTCAGCCTTGATCTGTAGTAATACAATATACAGCAGTTACCTATAAGCTTTGCTAAACTTATGTACGTATTTTATGGGATAAAAATACTACTATCTACTAACGTATAGCAGATTTTTTAAAGGAGGGAACATTTCAACAACTTCCACTATTCTTCTGACGTCTTCCAAGACAAGTGATCTCCTTGAAGCATAGCATGCAGCCATCAACACCTGACTTTTTTCATGATCCTTTTTAGCTGACTGCCACTCCTTTTTTATTTTTGATGCCACTGCTGTAAGATCTTCACTTTCGCACGGCTCGGGAACGTTCGTCCAACAGTGACTGTTCCTTTTCTTTGTTGCTTTGCCTTTAGTTTGCGAGACATTGGTAACAGGCGTGTTAAATCTCTTTCTTTGCAATTTTTTGAATCGGTTATAGATTTTCATCTCAATAGATCCCTATAAAAGAAAGCTTTCATTTAAAAGTAGTAAAAGACAAGTAAACTTATTTTTTATCATTTACAAAATAGAGACGCAAGCAGCCCATTACAACAAAAACGCATTTAACAAGGTGATAATGTAAATTTGCATCACATAGTTTGGTTTAGGGGGTGGGATGGGAAGATGTGTCCACTTCTCTTCAAAATACTAAAGCCTAGTTAACATATATTTGTACATAATTGTAGTAATTCTATCGGCGTTGAAGGTTCATATCAAATATAAGTGTATGAGAACGCGCGTTGTAATTGTTGTAAGTAATTTAATCGCAAAAAATCTGGAGTTCAGTCAAATCAAAAGCACTTGTGCTTAGAGATAAATGGAGGATGCCACATTTCTGAATGAGTACGGGCCTGTTTATATGGAGCCGAGTTACCCGGATGTGTCATATAAACGATTGACCGAGAAATGCATTCATTTTATATAAGGGCCGAGTTACCCGGCTCGGCGAGTAGCTCGAACAAGCGAGCTACTTGCAGAATATAATTGAGAAATATCAAATGCGATTTGTTGAACAGTACCCTGCTGCATCTATTATCCCCAAGATGCACTACCTAATCCAATACCCAAGAACCATTGTCAGGTAACTGCTTAGTAGAGAAACAAACAGTAGAATTATACAAAATTATATAATGGCTAATGGTAAATGGCATGCCAATTATTTTTAGTAATGTAATTAACATTGTGAAACCTTATTGTTGAGATATTTAGTCTAGTACAAGGCAATGAACAAGTTTCACAATTAATACTTTTGCAGGCTTGGCCCAATGGTACGATCTTGGTGCATGAGGTTTGAGTCAAAGCACACATACTTCAAGCAAGTTGCTGTTTCCCTTGGAAATTTCATAAATGTGCCATTTACATTTACTGAGAGGCACCAGAAGCTGCAAAGTCTTTACTATTTTTATGGGGAAGACAAAAAGTCCAGTTTTATGAAGCCTCTTGAATGTGGACCAGGTATATACATTACTTAAATATTCAATGACAATATTTATTTAACCTGCAGAGAAAATTAGTGTAAGTGATAAATGTTTGTGTCTTTGAGGTTCTAGAATCCAAACATGAAATGGTTCAATGCCCAAATTCCCTGAAGTCTCTGCATTTACATTTCTATCAGATGTGTAAATGCAGACAAAATTGGGGCAATTATCCATGTGGGCTTCAACAATTTTCTGCCTGTTTTTGCTGAGATTAAATCAATCCATGTTTTAAACTCATCAATTGAAAGGGTGTATTTTGCTGCTGAAATTTTGGCACCAAGAGTTTTGTGAGCATTACCGTACCTATGTTGTAAACAGAACAGTACATCCTGAAATTCAGTTTTACCCACAAAGATCATTGCAGTACTATCTCCCACTTCACTTTCTGAATCCTGTCTGTTCACATAACCAGTCACATGTTTTGCCTAAATGTGATATTCACAATTACAATACCAATATTTACTGATTTAAAATATGAAGTGTGCTTGTTCATAGCAAATATCATCACATTGTAAATTATTGCCTATCAAATTGCTCAAAAGTGCCATTACTTCATCATAAAGCAAAGAACAAATTCCATTCTTGATGAAAACAGTGCATTTCTTAAAGTGGTACTATGACGAAAATTTTTTTTCATAGATTAATAGTGTATGTAAAAAAATCTCTTCTGGCGAAATTTTAGCGCAATGTATTTCATGCTGCTCGAGTTACGTAGCGATAAAACTTGAACTTTAAGAGCCGCCATTAAAATGCGCCATATAGGCCGTTGGCTCTGGCACGAAAATGTTTCGTTTCGTCGCCCCCATCGCGGTGCTAAAATATTTCAACGGAAAGTAGTAGAGTCGAATGCGCTGATTTCAAATATCTTTGTTCCCACACGCCAAAACGCGCTGTTTTTTCACAATGTATAACCAAAGTTGGATATTTTGATCGACTAAGCGCCATCTTAAATTCCGCGGTGTGTCTGATCTTTTGACATTATTACTTGAAGTACGCGCAATGCTGAAGTATTTATAAGGATAATTATTAAATTAAATCGTTATTAACTCTGACTGTTTTCTGAGAACAATTCTGCAAGTCCCAAAGAGCAAATCAAGAGAATGGATGAATGTTTCATTCATTTTAATGGTAAGTCAGGCGAATTGTGTCAATTAACGGCACATACAATCGATAAAATAAGTGAATATTCTGAAAAGTGGATTCATTTGGATGGGGAACCTAATAAAATTGCGTCAAACGTTGGTCGCTCGGTCCAGACAGAGAGACAGTGCGAGAAGAAATTGCAAATGTGCGTTTTCATAAGGAATGCTATATTCGTTTCTGTGATAAAACAAAAGTCGCAAGAGCCGAAAGGAGAATAAAGAAAAAAACAAATACTATTGATGCATTCACACAAGGTGAAACGAGCACTCCTGTCACCCACCGGACCTTGTGTGCACCTGTGCGGATATCACCACGAACATTGCTTAGTGGTGATGAAAACATAGTCAGGCGAAATAAACATGTTCTTCCAGAGCAATGCATAATTTGCAAAAGACAAGAGTCATACAAGGTGGACAAGGTACAGTTTAACATAATCCTTGCATTATTTCTTGACATTTTGGTAACAATAACGTTGCATGTTTTGCAGGCCACTAGAAAACGAAAACTGCATAAGTTAGTTCTAGCACAAACGTTTGATGGGGGTAAATTAAGAGAGGCTGCCGAAAAGAAAAAAGACGAATCAATTTTAGCTCACATTAGGGGTAAAGATTGCGTATCCATAGAAGTACGCTACCACAAGCATTGTCATTTGGATTACTGCAGATTTTTGTCAAGAAATGTGACAGGTAAACAAAACAACGAGCTATATCAGTTAAGCTACAACACATTCTGTTCCAAAACAATAGAGGAAAAGCTGATCAAGGAAAAGCAAATAATGAGAATGAGGTTATTGCATGAGGTTTTTGTGCAGCAAGTAATGAAGATTGAAGAGCTTGATGCATCCAATTACCGTCCCTCCCGACTTAAAACAAGATTGCAAAGAGACTATCCGCAACTTGTATTTCACACCTGCAACCAGAAATCAAAGCGAGCTTGTATTTGTAGAAGAGCTATCAGTAGGTGAAGTAGCGAGACCTGTACAACAGCAGATAATGAAGAGGAAGAAAGCGATGGTGACCAAGAAGCAAATATTCAGCCTATATTTCACCAAAAGGAAGTCACTTTAAAAGAATTTTATGATGTTGCGATGAGTTTAAAAAATGCTATAAAAGGAGCACCGGGAATGGATTCATGTTGGCCACCATCGGCTGTGGATCTTTTAACAGACCAAGTTCTAAAGATGGTCCCAGTTTTACTGTTTAATTTTATAGCTTGGATGTTGGATTTCTCAGATTATCCAGAAATCTCATCTGCCTTGAGTTAGAGGATTAGCATAAGACAAAAGTCCTATCAATCTGCCAAGACATATTGTACATAGCGTCAAATGGGAAAAAAAAAACACCAAAGTCCTTAGCACTGGGTATGGCAGTCAGACAACTAACACGGTCATCACAACTTACGCAAATTTTAAATGGATTTGGCCATTGTGCAAGTCATTCTGCCATTTTAACTTATGAAACAGACCTAGCTAAGCTATCAGTGAAATCAGATTCCTTCCTTCCAAAAGGAAAAAAAAATTTACTTGCCTCGTAATGCGATAATGATGATTTCACTGAAGATTCTAGGAACCAAACTCATATACTAGGAGGCATATTAATTCAACGAGAGGATTCGTCTGGCAATGAATCTCTTGTTGTTTCAAAACAGCAAAAGAAAGGTGGGAGAACATTTACAGCTCTAAGAGAAGATATTGTCCCGTACAATCTTGGCAAAAAGCAGACACCACACTTTGTTGACATTAATACATCAATGTTAAATAATTATTACGAAAAAAGTTTCTCATCTCATGAAGAACTTGCCAAGAGACTGGATTTTGCATATCTTCTAATGAAGCTACGCCAAAACCACTTTGGGACTCTACTTCCTGGTTGGACAGGTTTTAACATTCTTCTGAGGCAACGTGCAATACCAACAATGTGTCGAATCACTTACTTGCCAATAATAGATGGATCCCCAAGTGAGTACCCAACACTGTACACAGCGCTTTTAAAGAGCATCAACATTGCAGACATGTTGTCACAAGAACACATCGTTCTTGTTTTTGACGAAGCAATTTATGCAAAGATTCAACAAATCAGGTTAAGATTGAACTGTATGGCAAGTTGAATCCAGGGAAGAGGACTCAGATTATAATCTGGATACTGATCTGGAGGAAAACTAAATCTAAGTAATGTAAAAAAACTGATTTATTTAAGAGAAATTGTCGCAACAACCTCATACTTATTTTGTGCAATTCCTATTTTAGCTAGCTCTTGAGCTTTAGATCATCTTTAGATACCAAATAGTATTACATTAAAACATAAACAACATTTGATACGTTATGCTACTGTTGAAATTTGATTCTGTTTCTCGTCAAGTTTACTCACTTTTCGCGATATTTTCCAATTGTCTCAAGCGCTCACGATCACAATCAACCAGTTTTACATTTGAAATGAATAAAATCGTATCGTTGGTAGAGGTTATTAGATAGGTTCGTGGCATATACTTATACATTTAAGTTGTTTATATGTCCACGGTTTTCGAGTACACCCCCTTACTTCAAGTAAGATTGCCAAAAGATCAAACATACCGCGGAATTCAAAATGGCGCTATGCCGATGAAAATAACAAACTTTGGCCATGCATTATGAAAAAACAGCGCGTTTTGGCGTGTGGGAACAAAGATATTTGAAATCAGCGCATTGAACTCTACTGATAACCGATGACATATTTTAGCACCGCGATGGAGGCTACGGAATTTGATTTCTAGCCACATTTTCGTGCCAGAGCCAACGGCCTAATATTTGAATTTTCAAGAAGGAAGGTGCTGGTGACGTCATAGTCTTAACTCGCGGCTGTTTACAATATAACACAATATGCAAATAGAGATTTAAAAGGTTGTATAACTCAATTTTTTTAACATGCCTTCAACACGCTGTGTCGTGCAAGATTGCAGTAATAAGTCTGATAGAAGTACAGGCATTTCATTACATAAAAGCCTAAACGACGAGTCTTTGAGAAGAATTTGGGTTAAATTTGTTCAGACGAAGCGCGCAAACTTTAATCCGAGTTCGCGCGAAATTCGATTTATGATTTGTTCGAATCACTTCTCGGATGATTGTTTTGAGCGTTTATTACATTTGGGTGGTATGACTAGACGGCTCAAACCTGGTGCCGTATCTACTATTTGGAAGAAATCACAAACACCAACAACGTCAAGAGAGCGGCGTCAGGTTAGCACAAGTTGCAATTATTATATACTTACACATATTGCAGATGATAAATTTTCACAATTTGAGAGAACCAATAATACATCCAGGCAAACTTTCAATATACAATATACATTTATACTAAGGTTTTAAAGAAAATACAAAATGAAGTGTCTGTATCATGCGATGACCTTTGGTCTTTAAACCAAACGAAGCTGCTTGAAGAACAAATTCGTTCAGGCAAACTTCGTTAAAACCAGGGTGATCCAAAATGCGTTTCCTTTCATCGATGTCGAACTGATACATTTTACCACGGCATTGCTCTATTTCCATGCAGCATCGGCACTCTTGGGGGTTGACAACAAGATCCAACGAACAATGGCCACATTCACACCTTTAATATTGGCCAAATTGTATGTTTCCATAGCTAACGGCAGACGATTCAGATCAAAGTAACACACTAAGAATGACATCTTACCATGAAGTAACATCAACACGGGCATCAAAACGATCTTGCAGCATGTCTTCAACCCGCCGTTCTTCTGCGACTGTAGCTTCGTACTCAGCAATTTCATCGGGCGAAGCAAGCGGTTCAATATTATCGACAAATGGCAAAATTTCCGAATTAGATTCGTTCGAATTTGCCGTCACAAATTCCGATGAAGAAATCGATGCGTTTGTCTCGATCGAAGACTCAGAGAGCGAGTTAGATCTCGATGAATTTGACATTTTTTTGCTCTATTTATGTATTACTTTGTATACTTTCCAATGTGCGCTTCTTGCCGTGTTAAGACTATGACGTTGCAAATATTCAAAATGGCCGATTTTAACGGCGGACATGAAAATTAGACATTTCAAATGTTCATAACTCCCTCGTTATATTATTATTTTTGCTTACATTTTACGAAAGCAATAATTGATATGTGCTTAAACTATTGAATGCTAAAATCGATGATTTTTTAACGTTAAGTTTTCGTCATAAGGCATATTTTCTTGTAAATGTGAGAAATATGATAACTGGAGTTGTAGGTTTACACTTTGAAGTATTTTCAACTAAAAATAGGCTTTTTGTTGACCAGAATGATTGAAGCATATGTAAAAATGTGTTTTTCTTTGTTCAGAATTAGTATAGGGGCAATATTCAGTATTGAAGCTGAGTTACAACAGCATAGTGAAAACAGCAATCGAAACGCGCGTGCATCATGAAATAGTTGGCCGCCATATTTGTATTGAGTCACCCGATTCGATGCAGTCATCAAGTTGCTCTCGAACCTATTTGGCACCAGTTGTAGAGCAAAAACAACCCTCATGGAGCCAAAACTGCCCCACCTTGTCTGTTTTAGCTCTCATTGTTAGCAATTTCAAAAGCCAAAACGACCTCATGGGGCTAAAATGGCCTATTTCTTTTTATACTGTGTAAATCGGCAATGAATAATAATAAATTTAAATAATTAATTCCTCGATTTTGCATTTCTATTTTTATGGTCTGTTTTGTCGAGTGCTTAAACAATTAGTGAACTGTATTTAAAATAGACAAATTGATTAAAATAGATTCGATCCGCATTTCTCCTGAAAAAACTCCCCATAACTAACAAAAATAGAGCTGTACATTGGTCAAATAATCTGAAAATAGAAAACATTTTGGCTGATGAATAAAACGAGTATGAAGTCGTTATTATTTTAATAAATTTCATGGTAGAATGTTTAGGGAATTTAAACATTTGTTTTAGATCAAAGTGTTGTTAAACAGAATACGTATAACAGCTGTTCGGAAATTTATTCTCAATATGTTAAAGTGGCTATGAAACGAAAATTTTGCAAGTTAAATTATGTTTGAAATGACTAGAACTTTTGAAATGACATTGTACTTTCTGAAACAGTAAATGCATATCTCTTTTCAATCTCGTGATATTGACGTTTTTGTTATTTCCAATTTATGCAACTTGTGACGTTGTGTTGCATAATGGTTCCTACGATGTTTAAAATACTCTTTAGTTTCCTGACAACTTTAGGTTGATACTAGTAGGCAGCACTTTTTACCATTAACCACGTCACAATGAAGGAAACTCTGTCCTTGTGAATTAAACTATCGGTAAATATACCTAATAATTTACGTTCACGTTATTGTAGGATGTAATATATTGGTATCGTGTTCTACATTATGGTCAAGAACAATATATCTACAGTATTTCTTTGTTTGTTGAAACAACTAGGTGGGGTGTGTACGCGGAATTTGTTTACATGCGGAAGTATCGCTAAAACGGTCCCTCCTTAACAACTAAAAGCCTTAAAGTTGAATACTGTTGTTAGAAATCAAATCGGGAGCTGAATTTTGTCATACATACCGATGGCAAGATCTAATTATCAATAAAAAGTCGGTCGATCAAGTTAGCTCCATATGTCATAGGTAAACTTCCGTCACTGCTTTAAATAAACGTATACAAGATCAAGTAATCAATGTATTTGTAATGAATCTTTAAACGAAGTCTACCAAACATCTATACTTTACACTTTGAATTCAGAATGTCAGAAATCCAAAACGTTTCAAGACGCGAGACGTCTATAGAGATGACCCCTTTTCCTCCTTCGCCATCTCCTCGCAATCGACCATGTGATTCAACATCATCAAGACCTTCAGTTCGTCAATCGAATGTCAAATTTGATCAGTTTGAAGAAGTAGCCTTCTGTTGTCTAAAGCGAGAAAGTTTACCAAGAAGATGGTTCATTAAACTTGTCAGTTCTCCGTATCCTTTTGACTTGTCTGGTGTGTTTCTTGTCCTGTCTTGTCTTTATTATCTATGTACAAGGTCTAATTATAGCTTATTTATCGTAAAAATTCTAGAAACATATGTTGTAAAATTAATTAGTTTGAACAAATTATATCCAAATAAATTGATGTTTGATTTTTTTGCACAAAAGTAATCATTCTCCCTTAATTCAATCAAAGATGGTTCGAGCGTACGAGCATTTTAGTGATTTTATTAAACTGTGTAACGTTAGCCATGTACAATCCATTTGACAAGACCTGCGCTACAAAGAAATGTCAAATTCTTGAGATCCTAGAGACTGCTATCTACGCCTTTTTTGTGGTGGAGATGTTGATAAAATGGATGGCTATGGGAGTATTTGGTGATTTAGGATACTTCAAAGACTCTTGGAATAAACTGGATTGTTTCATTGTTCTTGCAGGGTATAATGAGTGCTGGATTAAATTCTTTTGACGCAGACAACAATCACAATTTTAGTAAATTTCTGTTTTTCTGTATATTTTGTAGAACATTTGAACTTGCCTACGGCGAAGGAAGATATTTGAGTGCTGTTAGATCAGTTCGTGTGTTGAGACCATTAAGAGCAATAAATCGAGTTCCAAGTAAGCTATGAAGAACTACAAAGATTAGTTTTTGAAATTAAAATACGCTTGAGTTCGAATTGTTTCCAAAATTTCAAAGTTCCTTCAACTAAATGTACTTAGACGTCAGTCGAATAGAACTTCATACATAAATATTTAACCGTCCTAATTAATTTTATAGTTTTCCCACTGGTCACAGAATTGTGAAATAAAAACATTTGAACTGCTTTAGAAACTGTTTACGATTGCACTCAAAAGGAGACAAAAACTAATTTTGAAAGTTTAGATATTTCAAACATAATTTATCTAGCTCACCGTAACATAGATAAATGAATAAATAAAAAATCTGTTTTTTCTCATTTGCCTAGGCATTCGCATTTTAGTTATGCTTTTGCTGGACACGTTGCCAATGCTAGGCAGTGTTCTGGCAATTTGCTTTTTGATTTTTGCAATATTTGGGATCATTGCTGTTCAACTTTGGCAAGGTCTTTTACGTGCTCGCTGCTTTCCACAGGACCTTAACAGTAGCATCATTAAACAGTAAGTAATTCTCATAAAATGTTATGAAATTTTTATGTCATCTGTTCAAATACTCATCACATTACTCAGTGTATTCTAGAATTCTCGTTCTGACTCCATAAAATATTTCGTTTCTTCAGGTATAATTTGACAGAGTTTTACCGTCCATCATTCAATGAATATTATGTCTGTTCATTGTCAGAAAATAACGGCTTATCTAAATGCAGTCCTCATAACTTTAATCCGTACAAGGTCAACAATAAAGTGTGTAACCAAAGTTTCCTCACGACGGAGAACACGTCATCATCACATTGCGTGGACTGGTACCAATATTATACGTTGTGTCGGCAAAGTGGAGAAAATCTTCACTGGGGTTCAGTATCTTTTGATAACATTGGTATAGCAACAGTTGTAATATTTCAAGTAAGTTGAGTTGAAATGAATGATTTATTAATTTATTTAACAAAGCTTATTAATGATGAGAATATTATACCTAGATCATCACACTCGCTGGATGGTCAGACATTATGTATAAAATACAAGATGTACATTCCTTTTGGAATTGGATTTATTTCGTCTTTCTTGTTTTTGTAAGGTTTGAATGAATTTTCATTGAAAACTGGAATATAGGACTTTATAATAAAAAAAAACATCAAAAAACTTTTCAATTTTTCTATCAATTTGCCTTTAGCTTGGTTCTTACTTCATGACAAATCTCTTTTTTGTTGTGATAACGTCACAATTCCAACAAACAAAACAACGCGAGAAGGAGCTAATGAAAAAATCGCGCCTGCGATGTCGGGCCAGCGTCAGCACGGTATCCTCAAGTTTGACGCAGCAAGGATGTTATACACAGTTGTTGCAATATCTTGAGCATCTTTGCCGTCGTTTTAAAAAGTACATTTGTTCCAAGATCAAAATGGACAAAGATCAAAGTTTGACGCAGCAAGGATGTTATACACAGTTGTTGTGTTATTATAAACATTCTTGCGACGACGATGATGTGGATAGCCCAAATACAAAGAAAAAATGTTGGGTCAAGATACGTGATAATCTCAAAGCATTTGTTGAAAGTCAACATTTTACGAGGTTCATCATGGTGTCCATATTTCTGAACACGATTTGTATGGCCATAGAGCATCATGGGCAGGTATAAAATCTTCAAATAGTTTGACATTTTACTCCTGCTAATGAGTTAACTGACTACAAAAAGCATCCAATTTTTACAAGAATAAATTATTTTAGCAAAAATAGCAATAGTAATATAGTAGTGATTCACTCATTCATTATCGAGACTAATTCTCAAGGCTGGCTATGTTACTGTTTATAATATATTATAAATGTTTTGTCTATAATTTTCATAGTACGAAAAGTCTTTGATACAGTGCTTGGTTAAAGAAACCTGGCTTACTTTAGTCCAAATAGTAGATTTGTAACGTACGGAGAAATAGTGTTTTGAAGAGTGTTTGTATCTCTTTCAGCCGAAGAAAGTGACCGACATTTTGGAAACTGTCAACGTCTTATTTACCTCAATTTTTGCGATAGAAATGCTGATAAAAATTGCGGCATTTGGACCTTACGGTTATATTAAAGATGCATATAATCTGTTTGATGGTGTGATTGTCATTGTAAGGTATGAAATTTTTATTATTACGATAAGTAAACTTGCCTGGAAAATCTTTTACGTTGACATATGGATTACGTTTCTAGGAGTAAAATTGTTTTTTAATGCAAAATTTACAGGAAAAAACATTCAATCCAGCTACATGCTAAAACATGTGTCTGACAGTTTCTTAAAGATAATTTAACACACACTTTTGGTTCCTGTTTTTCAAGTATTTTTGTGCTCACTGAAATCAAAATAACTGTAATGGTTAAATAATGTAAATAGAGAGTTTAAATCTACAGAATGGCTTGTATGCTGCTGTTGATATTTTCTTACAGCAAAATATTTCTATTTTTCTTTAGTTTTATAGATATTTTCGCTGACAGCGATACGAGTGGTTTGTCTGTTATGAGATCATTTCGACTATTGAGAATATTCAAACTTGTTCGTTTCATGCCAGAGTTGATACGTCAGTTGGACGTTATGAAACTAGCTTTAGATAATGTCATGTCTTTTCTGGCGTTACTTACTTTGTTCGTATTTACATCAAGCATTTTGGGGATGCATCTTTTTGGAGGGAAATTCCAGTTTGCAAACGAAGATGGTCAGCTGGTCACATCGCGGGCTAATTTTGACAGTTTATTTTGGGCGCTTGTCACAGTGTTTCAGGTAAAGAGTGTTACAAACTTTCCCCAAATTATGCAACACATTGTAAACCTCATATTTTAGATACCTTACTACTTTTTCTGTGGTAAGATTTGTTCTTTAAGCTGAATAAAATGTGTATAGTACTTTTTGCCGAATATCAAAAATTGCAGTAATTACAATGGGTTTGTTTCATAGATTCTGACTGAAACTGACTGGGATGTCGTTCTTTTTGATGGAATTCGTTCTCTCTCATCATGGTCTTCTCTTTATTTTATATTTATTATGGTCATTGGAGATTTTATTTTATTTAATCTCCTCATCTCTATCATTGTCGAAGGTTTTATAGACCAAGCTGTTGCTGTAAGTTATTTATCAACTCAAAAATTTTTTTGAATGTTTCCATGAACCTTAAGTTCATGAAAAAATCCTTTTAATTAGTCGGTGTTAAAACATACAGTCTATGATATTTGTTCAATAGGAAGAAAATGAAAACGAAACCGCTGACAATCATGCCACGTCATGTTTAAAGCGTAGTCAAGAATGGTCACTTTTTGTCTTTTCACCAGAAAATAAATTTCGTCGACTTTTAGAAATTCATAAGTATGAATGGTTTGATCGCGTGGTATTGCTGCTTATCTTGATAAATTGTATTGTTATGGCAATGGAAGAACCTGGATTGGACAAGAACAGTGAGGTTGTAAAAATCAGTTTTGTAATCTGTGTGGAGTTTTTGGTTTGACGTTAAACTATTTATATTTTATTTTAGATGGGACAGTTTATTCAAATAATGCAGTATATTTTCACAGCAGTATTTACGATTGAGATGTCTATCAAGGTAAAACAAATTTTTCAAAATATTTTTTTGACTTTGAAACATTTTCTTAATTGGAAATAATTTTTCATTTTATCGGAACCAAAAGTTATTATAATAACAGCTCTGTTAGCAAGGTGAAACCTGCTTTATTGTTGTCAATATGTATGTTTTTATAACGTCAGGTGATATCTATGGGTCTTATCATTGGTCCTGATACATATCTAAAATCTGGTTGGAACATCGTCGATGGAATCTTTGTACTTATTTCACTGGTTGATCTTATCGTTTCCTTGACAACAGAGGGCAGCGGTGGAATCTTTAGAATTCTAAGAGTACTTCGAGCGATTCGTACTTTAAGACCTCTACGGTAAAAAATAAATTACGATGGAGTGAGAATTTATCATTTATTTATGATTTATGAAATCATTGTTACTTGAAGTATGCATTAACAACCATTAGCTAGAGCCACACTCTGTTTTACAACAAAGTTTTGATGAACATTTCGATGTTCATTCACTTTAAAAATATTCAATTTCTGAAGCTATATTGATTAGTATTGCCAATAATCTAAAATTTACACAGCACAATCAATAATTGAAGCTGGCCACCAGACTTTTAATGGCAATGAAAACTCTTTCTTGACTATTTAGAACAATTTCTTAGTTAAAATAAATGATTTATGATTTAGTTTTACTTTGCATGGTAAATTATACAATGTAAGTTGTTCTTATTGAACATTGACAAACGTCTTTGTTTTTTTTTCAAACAGAGTTATAAACCGTTATCCTGACTTAAAATTGGTTGTTGAAACATTGATCAGTTCACTAAAGCCGATCGGAAACTTTTTTCTTATAGCTGCTACGTTTTTTGTTATATTTGGAATCTTGGGTGTACAGGTAGGATTGTTAAAGTAATTACATGATAGCAACAGCCCAAACTCTTCCCTAACTAAACGAATTTGCCTTTCTCTAGTTGTTTAAAGGCAAATTTTATTCCTGTCACGATGCTAAATCATCATTAAAAATAAATAACAAAGATCAATGTATTTCAAACGATGGAAACTGGATGAACAACGTGTACAATTTTGACAATTTGGCTAGCGTAAGTAAAAGTAATGTTATTTAAAATGCATAATTGTTTTCATAATTTGAATCATTGTTATCACAGGACGAAATTTGACAGCTATTCTATTCCTTACAGGCTTTATTAACACTTTTTGTGTTTTCAACATGTGATGGCTGGACGGCCATATTGTACTCAGGCATTGATGCAGTTGATGTTGACAAACAACCAAAACGTGATTACGCCAAGTGGAATGTTTTGTATTTTATTGCATTTCTTCTGATTGGTCGCTTCATTGTAATGAACATGTTGGTTGGTATTGTGATCGAAAACTTTCACAAATGTCACGATGAACAGGAACAAAATTCATCCTCTAGAGAGACAGTGAATACACGATTAAGATCACCAAGAAATTCAAGTATGTTTTATCAGTTACAACGTTTGGGTTTACAACATTAAGGAAAGATAAATTTCACATCCATCTAACATCAAATCATTACTAAAAGAATCTTTGAAATATTCTCAGTTTTTTTTTAGTTTCAGAAATCGCTGATCCTAGCATTCCTGAATGGCGCAAGAAATTGCTTCGATTTGTTACTCATGCGTATTTTGATCTAGCCATTGCTATTGTTATTGGTATCAATGTTGTTTGTATGGCTATGGAGCATTACAACCAACCCAAAGTAAGAATTATCTCTTTTGTGTTTAGCAATTTGTATTTTTTTTAATCATCAAACGAAATTTTTTCTTCCTCTAAAAACTTCATAATGTTAAGATTAATTCCCAAACACTACTTTTTGCCAGTGAAAATTTCCCCTAATTTTACTTTATGTGTTGAAAACAACACAATAAAATGAAATTTGCATACGATAACCAAATGAATCCACCTTTCTGACGGTGGGGACATACTTGTCAAACATACGAGATCAATTTGATTACAAAATTCTGACAAGCAAATGGTCGGACATTATATTGTTTATGTAGAATAGTGGCAATAAAATGGTTAGGAGATGCTTTTCAGTTTTGGGGCATTTTTGAATCTGATTGTAGTTATTCGGACCGATTATTTATAAAGGCAGAAGTCTTAACAGTAAATATTAACTGTTTTGCGTTAGAAAAAGCATAATGATCGAAGAAAAGCTTGAATACTGGCATGTTGTCATCGGGTAAAAAGATTTTATGACATAAGGCTTCAGTTTAGACGATACAAATGGCTTGGCTTATTAAATGTTATCATCGTAAAAACTATTATAAAAAAGTAGATAATTCTTTTTCTCCACGAAGCCCATGGATGCTTTCGTTCATGATGAGAGAGTTGCATTGTATAAAGAGGCTCTCGTTCATCACGAGAGAGTGGTGAGAATGTTGCATTGTAAAAGGTAACAAGTAAGAAACGTATAAACATGTTTAGAGTTGGTTTAAAATAAGTCAAAACGGCAGAATTTGATTGAACTTTTCAGTATACTTGGATGTTCTAGTTTCTTTTACGAGAAGAATTCTTGTAAAGAAAAAAGACAAATTTTGAAAACAAAAAATCGAGTTTTCGGTCCATGCGTCCCGATACTCCGATATAATCGAGTAATAGAAAGTCTCTTGTTAATTAAAAGAACTAGATAATCCTTTTTTGCCATGAAGCTCATCGATGGTTTGCTCGTGATGCATGAGAAGCGGCAAATGAGAGAATTAAATCAGAAAGAGATAAAGCAATAAAAATTGTACAAAACATGTTAAAAGTTGTCTTAAATCATAAGTTTCAGAGAAAGACACAATGTCAGAAGAAGTTAATTAAAATATTGCTTTGTTTATTTTATGAGAAAAAATAAACAAAAAGATAAAATTCGAAAGGAAAAAAAACCCGTTTTCGGTCCATGCTTCCCGATACCTTCTTTAGCGCAAGGCACTAGAACGCCGCATGTTAACGTTTCGGTAGGAGATTTCGGCCCCTCCACGCTATCCTACTTGGGAGATGCAATAGCAAGCTTCCGCCCATCAGACGCCGAGATCGCCTACGATAGGCTTTGCTCGGGGTACGCAGGGAGATTGCGGTCGTCACCGAAGTGTGGGCCCCTAAGCCACTGCATAGTACATCGCACCCAGCTTCCACTGCTAGTTGAAGATGGGTGCTTCCACTGCTTCCACTACTATACTTAATAGTGGCTTTATATTTATATACCAAAATTCAAAGGCTTACGAAAATTGTGGTATAATTAATGTAACTACTGCGCATGCCTAGTTGATTTCTTTGATAATTTGCGACTAAGTGAGTTAATTGGTACAAATTTAGTGCAAGTAGATATAGTTAGTCGTTGCCATGATTATGAACTATTAGTCGAGTGAACTGCGCAAGCTCGAGCGTATGCGCAGATGATTTCTCTATTAAATTGATACTAAGCATGGTATTTACTTCAAAATCGGTGCTAATAGATTCAGTTGGTCGTTGCCATAATAATGAACTAGTGCAGCTAGTCAAGTCGACTGCGTATGCTGAAACAGACTGCGCATGCGCAGATGATTTATTACAAAATTTGTGACTGATCAAGCTAATTACTCCATAACCGTTACTAGTACATACAGTTGGTCATTGCCATGACCATGAACTTGGAGAGTTTGTGGAGTTGACTGCGCATGCTCAGATTTATTTTCTATTAATTTACGACAGAGTGAGCTCTAAAATTGGTGTTTGTATATTCGCTTAGCAAATTTTCAATCATGTATTACTGGCATGCTCTTTGTCTTCTTAAGCTTGTTTTGACAAATGCATATCAAACCCATCAACACTTTGTTACGGCACTTATAATATCTGTGACAATGTTACTTTTACACATTCTGCCATTACTATTAGTCGTTATGTATTTTTAAAATAAGATTTTTAAATTGTTTAAGAGCATCTTCCTTCTATTTTATTATCACTATTCTACATATACAATACTATGTCCGGCCATTTGATTGTCCGAATTTTGTATTCTCATCTCTTATTTTTGACACGTTTTACACATCGGAAGGGTGGATTGGTCAAGTCATTGAACAAGGTTGTTCACTGGCTGTTGTTGTATATTTCTTGAACTATACTCTCTCTCCTTTCAGATGTTGACCTTGTGTTTACAATACGCAAACTATATATTCACTTTCTTGTTCGTGTTGGAAGCAGTTCTTAAATTAATCGCTTTTGGAATAAGAAATTATTTTAAAGACAGGTAGCTAAATGAATTTGATTTCGTAGAACTTTAAAAATAGAAATCCTGCAGCATTAACGATGGCTTTTGAGAAATATTTTTTCTTCTCATTATTAGTTGGAATTGTTTTGATATGTTCATTGTAATCTTGTCAATTGGTGGGATTATATTAGATGAGTTAGCAACATCTGATCTACGGATCAATCCAACTATCATACGTGTTATAAGAGTTCTTAGGATAACTAGAGGTAACTGAAATTAAACTATTATATTTACGATTGAGCGCATGTTGTCAAGATTTTTTATACAATTAACGCATATAGTGAGTGACGCTGTCATTTGTTGGCTTCTTTGGTTAGGATTACTATAAATATTTGTTTTTTTTTTATCAGTGTTGAAGCTTTTGAAAAGAGCAGAAGGAATCCGTTCTTTGTTGAAAGCCATCGGTAAAGCATTACCACAGGCAAGTTAAAATACATGTCTACAAATTTCTGAAGAATCTTTATAGACTATTTTCATAAATTTTGTTCAACATTGTCTATTTAACATCTCTGGTTTTCTAGGTCACCAACTTAGGAATTCTTTATGTTCTTGTTTTTTTCATTTTTGGAGCTTTAGGAATGGAGTTGTTCGGTCGTATATGTAAGTGAAAATAAATACCTTTATTTATTGTTCTCATGATCTTGGAGAAGTACAAATTAATTTTATGATTTTGTTTTATTTTTAGCTTGTAAAAAAAACGAATGTAATGGTTTAGATGACACACATGCACACTTTCAAAATTTTGGCTACTCTGTTTTAACCTTGTTTCGTGTATCTACAGGAGACAACTGGATTGGAATATTACAGGTAAGATTATGAACAATTGATGAAATTTTGTTCTTTCTAAAAACTAAAGAGATTGTGTAGAGCAATCTAGATCATGTATGATCTTCAGGAAGAGTGCTGATAAAGCGTGATTTCTTACGACCTTTAGAAAGATTGACGATAGGGCATCTTGTTTGATCTTCGAGAAACGTTAAGAATGATATTATATAGAATACTTTAAAATTTGTTTTCTTTAGGACACAATGAGCTCAAAAATATGCAATTCTGGTGAAAGAGAGGGATGTGTTATCATCAATAATATTGCTCCTGTCTTTTTCTTTTCATTTGTTCTTATAACACAATTTATCCTCCTCAATATTGTCGTCGCCGTTTTGATGAAACATTTGGAGGAAAATACATTATGTGACGAGGATGAATCTAATGAAGGGATGCAGTCGAACTCGCATATTGAATCTTCCAATCAAGAAGCTTGTGTGTCGAATAATCCTTCTTTGCAATGTGAAGATTTGACTTCTGTTAATGAAATTTCTCGCGCTCCTGTGAGCCCTTCGCAAACATCGATTTCCAACGAAAGAATGAACACAAACCGCTCTGAATTGTTTGTAAAGGGTTCAAATAAAGAAAATGAAGATAGTTATGATATGTCAAAAGACGAAGAAGAACTCAATGTTTTACTTAACTCTGACAGAAAAACTCAAAAAAATTTAACAAACCAAGAGCTTACTAAGACGCATAGGATGAACAATCACCAAATGGAAGCAACTGAAAAGGACAGCGTAGTTCATTTATCAATTGATGGTAAATCATTTGAGAGCGATGTGTGAAATTGCAAATAAGACAATACCATGTCTTACTAGGAACAGAAGACAAATGGCAATGGGAGCACTGGGGCTCACTAGGCCTGATTACTGAAATCGACATGGTTGAAAGAAATTTACAAAGCCTTAAAAAATTGTGAAAAATATTCGAATTTATGTAACTCTTTATGTGGGTCATCTCACTTAGCATTTTTTCTCATGCTCCCCCCCGCTTGTCGACTGTTGAGTGTCACGCGCGTGTTTTCACACGAATCACACGATTGATAAACTTTTGCGCGAGTTTTTAAAATGGCGTAGTACACGTTGTGTAGTGTTTTGTATTTTGTTTTGTAATAGAAGGATTTGTCAATTATCTTTTTTTGAATAAAAATCACAGCAATTTATATACTGTAATGGAGTCTCAAATAGAGCAGGTTCTTTTGCTATGTCCGGAAGCTGACCCAAAGGAAGTTGAAAATGATTTAAACTTTACGATGGATTTTGAAACAACTTTAAATAATGCTTTGGATGGTAAGGTAAGTCTTTTATTTTATGTTCTTGTTTTTAAAGTAAATAACCTAAATAGATAAGAGTATAATTAATTTTTCAGCTTGGTATTAAATCTTCATTATTACCATCAAAACGAAGTGTTTCTCCGATAACAATTTCGTTAGACTATGACGAATTGAACGATAACAAAACCGAAGATGGCGCTATAAAATATACTAACCTTAAAAAAATGCCTTATCTTGGATTGTCAACAGAAAAAGATTCAACTGATGAAGTTCTTGATGACTCTATTTTACTAAAGCCAGTTTTTGATATCAACACTAAAAATTCCAATTCTTCACCATGCCAAGATAAAAGTAACAGCTCTGTAAAGACTTCAATTGATTTCCAAGTACATACAAATAAGACAAACTGTACAAATGGTCATGTTGATGAAACTGAAGTAGATAGCTGTAGCTCAAAGACTTATGGGATAACAGTGGATAATTGTGAATCTCAAGATGAACCTGGCACAAAAAGAAGAAAAAGAACGAAAGAAGAAATAGAAGAAAAGAAAAGAGAAGCAATCGTATGTATCTTACTATTGTATGAATTTTTGATTGGATTAGTGGGGTACATGTGTTGATAGTTATGGCTACATGTATTGATAGTTATGGCTACATGTATTGATAGTTATAGCTACATGTATTGATAGTTATGGCTACATGTAGTGATAGTTATAGCTACATGTATTGATAGTTATGGCTATATGTATTGATAGTTATGGCTACATGTATTAATAGTTATGGCTACATGTGTTGATAGTTATGGCTACATGTATTGATAGTTATGGCTACATGTATTGATAGTTATAGCTACATGTATTGATAGTTATGGCTACATGTAGTGATAGTTATAGCTACATGTATTGATAGTTATGGCTATATGTATTGATAGTTATGGCTACATGTATTAATAGTTATGGCTACATGTATTGATAATTATGGCTACATGTATTGATAGTTATGGCTGCATGTATTGATAGTTATGGCTACATGTATTGATAGTTATGGCTACATGCAGTGATAGTTATGGCTACATGTATTGATAATTATGGCTACATGTATTGATAGTTATGGCTACATGTATTGATAGTTATGGCTACATGTAGTGATAGTTATGGCTACATGTAGTGATAGTTATGGCTACATGTATTGATAGTTATGGCTACATGTATTGATAGTTATGGCTACATGTAGTGATAGTTATGGCTACATGTAGTGATAGTTATGGCTACATGTATTGATAGTTATGGCTACATGTAGTGATAGTTATGGCTACATGTAGTGATAGTTATGGCTACATGTATTGATAGTTATGGCTACATGTATTGATAGTTATGGCTACATGTATTGATAGTTATGGCTACATGTAGTGATAGATATGGCTACATGTAGTGATAGTTATGGCTACATGTATTGATAGTTATAGCTACATGTATTGATAGTTATGGCTACATGTATTGATAGTTATGGCTACATGTATTGATAGTTATAGCTACATGTATTGATAGTTATGGCTACATGTGTTGATAGTTATGGCTACATGTATTGATAGTTATGGCTACATGTAGTGATAGTTATGGCTACATGTATTAATAGTTATGGCTACATGTAGTGATAGCTATGGCTACATGTATTGATAGTTATGGCTACATGTAGTGATAGCTATGGCTACATGTATTGATAGTTATGGCTACATGTAGTGATAGTTATGGCTACATGTATTGATAGTTATGGCTACATTTATTGATTGTTATGGCTACATGTATTGATAGTTATGGCTACATGTATTGATAGTTATGGCTACATGTATTGATAGTTATGGCTACATGTATTGATAGTTATGGCTACATGTATTGATAGTTATGGCTACATGTATTGATAGTTATGGCTACATGTATTGATAGTTATAGCTACATGTAGTGATAGTTATGGCTACATGCAGTGATAGTTATGGCTACATGTATTGATAATTATGGCTACATTTATTGATAGTTATGGCTACATGTAGTGATAGTTATGGCTACATGTATTGATAGTTATGGCTACATGTATTGATAGTTATGGCTACATGTATTGATAGTTATGGCTACATGTAGTTGAGCTCCATTAACTGTGTTCAATTTAGTTAAAGAAAGCAACCAAAGAGAAGGAAAGGTTGGTAAAATTTCAGGAAAAACAAAGACTTAAGAATGAAAAGGCAACAGTAGTTCAGGAGAAGAAATTGCAAAAAGAAAAAGAACAAATGCAAAGAAAGGTTGAGTGGTCGTAATTTTTTTAAATTTTTGTCATTTTTATCAAATTCTTTTGACAGGAGGTAGGTTGAAGATTCCCCTTATAGAAGATACTGCAACCCCTCCATGTACCATGCCATCCCCAGTGTCATAAAATGGTGTTGATTTGTTAAAAATAAAAGAAATGTGTATATTTCAGAGGTTACTTCAACCCCTCCATGTACCATGCGATCCCCAGTGTTATAAAATGGTGTTGACTTGTTAAAAATAAAAGAAATCTGTATATTTCAGGCTGAGAGATTGACAAAAAATTCTAACCAGCTAGATGGTTGTCTTAAGGTATTTATAAAGGGCTGTTTTTTTATATAGGAGGAGATAAAGAGTGTTGAGGATAGGCAACTTTAATTTGATATATTTTTCAGTATGTGACAGCTTCTTTGGACCCAGCGCTGCTACTTGATGAAGTTTCCTCACAAACTGCTGGTCACAAGGACTGTCGCAATGTAATTCTTGAAAAGTTAACCTCGTGGGACATAAATTACGTCATAACGTCACAACTATTTCCACGAAGTGTCACGTGGCAGAGGGAAATTTTTGAACATACGGTGAAAGATGACGATTTAACGGTAAATGATGATGTAGAAAATGTTAATTATATTTACGTACGAAAGGTCATCTTTACATCAATTTCACATCAGAAGAAAATCACGTGATCATTAATTATTCATAACGATAGATAATGACGTCAAACCACACGTCAGAAGAAAATCACGTGATCGTTGTTTTACTTGCTGAGCAATTTGTAGAAATGATCTTCTCATCCAAACAGGTAGGAAATTATTTTTCATTGTTTCATTAAACTGTCGGACCAAGGTCTTATTGTTAGGGATGATTTTTTTTAGAAAAAAAGTGTAGCTCTTGTATTTATTAGAATTTAATGAATTCATGTTGGATATTGTTTTGTCGTTCCTGACTGTTTTTGTTATAGCCTATTGCTACTATGCCATGATTGAAGTTTTTCTGCTTTTTTAAAAAACTTTGTTTACTTTTTCTCTTAATGGTCCTCCAAAAATGCTTTATAGCCAATCAAAGCGCTCTATATGACGAAATGTTACATAATACATTTTATTGGCCAATCAAAGCGCTCTATATGACGAAATGTTACGTAATACATTTTATTGGCCAATCAAAGCCCTCTATATGACGAAATGTTACGAAATACATTTTATTGGCCAATCAAAGCGCTCTATATGACGAAATGTTACATAATACATTTTATTGGCCTATTAAAGCGCTCTATATGACGAAATGTTACGAAATACATTTTATTGGCCAATCAAAGCGCTCTATTTGACGAAATGTTACATAATACATTTTATTGGCCAATTAAAGCGCTCTATATGACGAAATGTTACATAATACATTTTATTGGCCAATCAAAGCGCTCTATATGACGAAATGTTACATAATACATTTTATTGGCCTATTAAAGCGCTCTATATGACGAAATGTTACGTAATGTATTTTATTGGCCAATTAAAGCGCTCTATTTGACGAAATGTTACGTAATGTATTTTATTGGCCAATTAAAGCGCTCTATATGACGAAATGTTACGTAATGCATTTTATTGGCCAATCAAAGCGCTTTATTTGACGAAAAGTTGCGTAATGTATTTTGTTGTTCAGGAATGCTGAATGTATTTAATGATGATGTATTTACAACTGATGTTTATGTTTTATTAAGGATTATGTTGACAGACAGGTAAACCTGGACGAACGTCGAAAAACTTTGCTTGATTTTGTTAAACATGTAAAACACGTGTATGTAGGAAAGAAAATCACTATTTTTGTGAAGGGAATGGAAAAATATTTAAGGTAAAAAAATTGTGAAACTTTATTAGATATCATTTGTATGCGAAAATATTCTTCAGATGCTTTAGTTTCGAGTGAGAGAAGAAATAGTGAAAATTTTAATGATTTTGTGATGTTAGGAATGTGAAGTTGAAAAAACAAAGATCTTTTCGTGTTATGGCCACTGGTGAGGCTCCTGTAGATGATGGTAAAAAAAAGCGAAGAAGAAAGAAAGTTGACGATGTGTTTAAAGTATCTACAACAGATATTGAAGAAGCTTTAATTGAATTGCAGATAAAAACAAATATATGTGTGTATCACTGTGAAAATAACGATGATCTGGCGATGAAGATTGCTGTGTTTACAAGAGCTGTTGCTGAGAAACCTTATAAGTACGTCAAACGAATTCATTTTCTCTTCCCCCTCGCCTTCTTCCGGTGTTTTCCTATGTCCTCCTCCTATCATCCCCCTATCATCCCCTTACCTTCCCCTATCATCCCCCTACCTTCCCCTATCATCCCCCTACCTTCCCCCTATATCCCCTCCATGCTTATTTTGAACAAGCCTTTTGCACTTTATTGCAATCAGAAATAATTTACTTTAATTTTTCATTCAAGAAAATCTCTCACAGACAGCAGTGGATTTTCTTTAGATTGTTTGGACAAGACCTCATTAAAGGTAAAACCTGTTTATGCTTTGCTTACATTTAGTTCCCCATACATTGAACATTACAAAGATAGAAACATAAAATCTTTCCATAACTTTAATTGGAAAGGTTGCTCAAAAACACACAAGTTTTTAATTCGGTTAGAGGTTTTCACACGAAAATGTTCAAGTATTTTTCTAATTGATTTTCCCTATTACAGTCTTCCCACTTTCTGGACAGTCGTTGATTATCGATGTTTTGTAGGGATATTAACCTATAATCAAAGCAAAAACGTCGGTCATATTTCATGTATCATTCTTGAAATATGAATGCAGATAACGATGTTTATTCAAAGATCTAAGCCATTTTAAATCGTTTAGGTATCGTGTCCTAAATTCAAAATAGGATACGTCTCTAATAAAGTAAATGGTTTAAACCCGGAAGTATCGTTACATGTTTGTAAATGTAGATCGTCCAGGTTGGTATAGTCCTGAGAAGGACTGTTTTTGTTGTTGTTGACTGACGTTTCGACAACCTTAGCTGTAGTCATTTTCAGAGTCCTGGATACATCTCTTTTGACATTTCAATGAAAAGACATGATATGCAAGTACTTATGTATTATTCTATGTATCATTGGTCATTCATTTCATAAGTAATGGTTGTGCTTTCTTAAAGTAAAAATTAATGAATGTCGATGTTGGTGTTAGCTAACGTTTTGACGTCCTAAACAGTAGTCAAGTCCCTTGATTCCAAGGTTGATTACCGTTAGAAATGTCGACACTGCTGTCAACACTAACAGTTCATCTCAGGATTGCACTAACATGTTAGAAATGTCGACATTGCTGTCAACACCAACAGTTCTTCTCAGGATTGCACTAACATGTTAGAAATGTCGACATTGCTGTCAACACCAACAGTTCTTCTCAGGATTGCACTAACATGTTAGAAATGTCGACATTGCTGTCAACACCAACAGTTCTTCTCAGGATTGCACTAACATGTTAGAAATGTCGACATTGCTGTCAACACCAACAGTTCTTCTCAGGATTGCACTAACATGTTAGAAATGTCGACATTGCTGTCAACACCAACAGTTCTTCTCAGGATTGCACTAACATGTTAGAAATGTCGACATTGCTGTCAACACCAACAGTTCTTCTCAGGATTGCACTAACATGTTAGAAATGTCGACATTGCTGTCAACACCAACAGTTCTTCTCAGGATTGCACTAACATGTTAGAAATGTCGACATTGCTGTCAACACTAACAGTTCATCTCAGGATTGCACTAACATGTTAGAAATGTCGACATTGCTGTCAACACCAACAGTTCATCTCAGGATTGCACTAACATGTTAGAAATGTCGACATTGCTGTCAACACCAACAGTTCTTCTCAGGATTGCACTAACATGTTAGAAATGTCGACATTGCTGTCAACACCAACAGTTCATCTCAGGATTGCACTAACATGTTAGAAATGTCGACATTGCTGTCAACACCAACAGTTCTTCTCAGGATTGCACTAACATGTTAGAAATGTCGACATTGCTGTCAACACTAACAGTTCATCTCAGGATTGCACTAACATGTTAGAAATGTCGACATTGCTGTCAACACCAACAGTTCATCTCAGGATTGCACTAACATGTTAGAAATGTCGACATTGCTGTCAACACCAACAGTTCATCTCAGGATTGCACTAACATGTTAGAAATGTCGACATTGCTGTCAACACCAACAGTTCTTCTCAGGATTGCACTAACATGTTAGAAATGTCGACATTGCTGTCAACACCAACAGTTCTTCTCAGGATTGCACTAACATGTTAGAAATGTCGACATTGCTGTCAACACCAACAGTTCTTCTCAGGATTGCACTAACATGTTAGAAATGTCGACATTGCTGTCAACACCAACAGTTCTTCTCAGGATTGCACTAACATGTTAGAAATGTCGACATTGCTGTCAACACCAACAGTTCTTCTCAGGATTGCACTAACATGTTAGAAATGTCGACATTGCTGTCAACACCAACAGTTCTTCTCAGGATTGCACTAACATGTTAGAAATGTCGACATTGCTGTCAACACCAACAGTTCTTCTCAGGATTGCACTAACATGGAGAATCTACGCCAACTCGAGTTTAAACCTTGAAAGATTAATTTTAAATTTATTCCAGTTATCGTTCCTTTTTGATCGCCTTTACAGTTGTTGTCAAATTGACGTTGCTGTCAAAGAAAATATGAATAAAAAGTCTTTTTAAATAACAGGTTTCGAAAGACGGTAAAGGTTTAATAAATGTTTGGCGTCAACAAATTGAACAGTTGAATAATGTCTCTCCTGATATGGCGGCTGCTATCGTTTCTCGATTTCCATCACCACAAATACTGAAACAAACTTATGATAAATGTCAATCTAAGGATGAAGGAATGTTCCTGCTTCAAGATATTTTGGTTAGTTCAATCATTTAAAATGTTCATATTTTAGGACGCTCGAATTTTCGTATGTTTTTTTTTTTTAATAAATTCCACAGGTTCGACGCGGTGGTGGATCTACTGCTACGAGCCGAAGGATTGGTCCTGAACTTTCTAAACGTCTTTACACAGCTTTTCATTCAAAAGAAAGTGATTGTTTATTAAAATGATAGTAAAAGAAGTGAAATTATCCCATCTTCTACTGGATGTAAATGTTTTTTAACATATTTTTTATGCTTGAATACTGAAATACCACTTGTACAGGAAGTTCCATTCCAAATCGCCATGGAAAAATGACAAGAACGTAATTATGATAAATTATACAATTTCATCAATCTGGTAATCATAAATTATATGTTATTAAATAAATTATGATCGTAATGTAACGAAGTCGAGTTATACAGCTATGATTGTAATAAATTAATAATATTGTGCCAATAAGAGATCTTTATGTATTGATAAGTGCATTTGTGTATTGAAAACCATCATTGTGAAGAATGGTTTTTGCGAAAACTGCTTTAGGAAGGTATTCGAAGCACACCTAAAATGTAGGCGGACGTGATGTAGAATTCAAACATGTGTTTATCTGTTATAGGTATATGAACCCCCCTGCCAAAAGAAACCAAGCATATTGTCCAACAGATGAAGAGCAGATAGCCAATTGCATAACTCATAGTGTAAGGTTCATTGTGAAATGACAATGGGGTTGTAGTCACCCCCCTGAATTTTGTTTATGTTGCCTAGTTTTAAATTGTGATCCAGGGAGATGTGGTGGATCGAAGTTTTAGTTTTAATAAAACTTTATGATTGAACTAACTGAATGAAGTATATTCTGTCAATTTTTACTAGGAATGATAATTAAAACTGTTTTAATCACCATAGGTTTTTATCTTACCATCCATCTTTGGGGCATTTTTTCTTTCTCATCTTGCAAAAACATCAATACAGAAATCTGTTGCTTGGCTCTATGGCAGTGGGTTATTTTTTCTATTTTTGGTCTCGTCACTCTTTCATGGTGTATCTTTGTTAAAAAGTTACAGGTAAAATTTTTTCAAGCATTAAACAATTCTTGTTGTAGACCTACTGTCCTTTAATGTTCAATATGCTTCAAATGAAACTGCTTTTTACCAGGAAAATACGTTTGCTTCTTCATCTTGGTGATCGTTCTGTCATCTATGCTTTTATTGCAGCTTCATACATGCCATGGTACGAAATAGTGTTGAGTTTTTATTATTTGTGCTAAGTATGTTTATGTGAAATTACAGTCTTCAGAATGAAGGTTGTATACGTAGCCATAAAGTCACACCACCCTTTTTGGTTTTCAGCCCATACCTCTTAAAATGAAAGCATCTATACTTTAATTTCATTGCAGTGTAAGCACTTTGCCCAAAGAGTCTGGTTTTCTTTAGGTTTATGAGTTACCTTTTTTTGGAAAGTTTGTGGGTAGGTTGGGATAAGGTATGGATGATTATGGATATCACCATAATCTAGCACTACACTTGTGGAAGTACAAGTTAAGTAGCTCTAAGTTTTGATACCTGTAGTACCTATATGTATTAAACATGTATTCTTGTATGGAATTTACAATTCTCCTAAAGTGTTTTCATTGTAAATTAGTATATTGATCTGACAAAATCATCTTTGTTTGTTTACTTATAAATCAAAGTTTTAATCTGATAAAATTTGTTCTGTTTCTCATGTCTTAACCATTGATTGTGCAGAAATTTCTGTGATGTTTTCCTAATAGGTTGCTACTGCAAGATGTGGGAGATAAAGGCATTATGGTGGCTTGGCTTATATGGTTTGCTGCAGTAGCTGGTATTTTCTACACATTCATTTTTCATGAAAAGTAAGAGTTCTTTCTCTCATTGTGTGTAAGCATTATAAAAATACAGTATTTGAAATACCTTTATGGCTGAGTATCATCAACAATGACAAAATAAAATATTTTCTGGGTATCAACAATGACAATTAAAATGTTTTCTGGGTATCAACAATAACAATTAAAATGTTTTCTGGGTATCTACTTCATTTTAGATACAAAATGATTGAAATTATTCTCTATCTTATTATTGGTATTTGTCCTTCATTTTTATTTTATTTTGTGGTAAGTAGATTCCTGGCATTTCTTTAATCAAACAATTCGTGCAACACAAGATGAAACTCTGTTATTTTATGCTCAGCACCAAGGTTCAAAAGTACGTTTTGGACTTGATGTGGAAATTTCAAAATTGCTTTACCAGCGAACAAAAGTAAAAAAACATTACAAATTACAATCAATGATCCACATCGTGAATCGAATGATCTAAAAATAAAAATATTTCACTTCACACTTATTTACAATGACAGTACACATTTCCTGTACACACAATACAATGACGTAAGAACCAGATAACAAATACGGCTAACCTGACGTTTACTCCTCATTTGACTCCGAAGATGATTACCGCTAAGGTTGTCGAAACGTCAGTCAACAACAACAAAAACAGTTCTTCTCAGGACTATACCAACCTGGACGATCTACATTTACAAACATGTAACGAATGATCATTACGCAAAAATTGAATATACGATATCGTTTTTTGTTTTTCTTTAGTTTGACTTTAATTTTGCAAATTTAAATTGAACTATACATAAAAGAGCCCTAAGCTTACCCCAGCCACGAACAAATAGCATGAAAAAAAGCCTCGCATTTAATGGTCGACTAATGAGGAACTCATTACCTATTGATCTCAGAGAATCATGCTCTCTAAAGTCTTTTCAAAACAGAATCCCTTCTCACTTTCTCAAATAATTTCGTGATATTTAAATACTTAGCTAAGTTTGCAGTTTATAGAATGTAATTTAATGTTTTAGGAACTGTACTTTGTTAATTTAGTATTCTTATTAAATTTGTTTCTGTAAAATTTGCGCACGCCTCATGTGGAAAACAACTCACTTGTTGTTAATTTAGTATTCTTATTAAAATTCATTTCTGTAAAATTTTCGCACGCCTCATGTGGAAAACAACTCACATGTTGACAATGGCTCGCGTGTTGAAATAAATTATTCATTTATTCAGATGGATATCGTCCAGGCTAGTCTATTCCTGAGAATGTGTTGATGTTAACTGACGTTTCGACAACCCTAGTGTTAGTCATCTTTACAGTCAAACCCTTACTCCTCCTAAGGTTGTGGAAACGTCGGTCAACATCAACACCAACAAGACTCAACTAACCTGGACGATCTACATTTACAAACATGCAACAATACTCCCGGGTTCAAACAATAAACTCTAAGTTGAACTGTATTTGAATTATTAATTTGTCATCTTGATAAAATACATATTTTAGTTTGTCCAAGATTTAATCTTTGATTAGTGTTCCATATTTGATATTTCGTGAAAATTTTGGACATCACTTTCATTTCTCCAGAAATGTATTGTTTTCGCACTGAGTGATAAAAGGAAACTTCTCTTTCTTCTCAAAGCATGAGTACTGTGCGAGGATTGTTTAACCAAAATAATTTATGTTATTTGATCTCGATTTTTATAGGAAGAAGCAAAAGGTATAAAAGAGTTGATCATTGGCGGAGCATTTTATGTCCTAGGTGTTCCGGTGTTTAAATGTGACGGCCGTATACCATTTGCGCATGCTCTTTGGCATATTTTCGTTGTATGTGGTGCTTTATGTCATTATTATGCTGTTGTAATACATCTGTACCTGTAGTTAGGTGGGATTTCTCATAGATAACATTTCATTCTCGTCATTCAATGATATTTTTGTGGGGTATGTTGTACATAGCAATTTATCTTTTCAATAATCGATATCAACCGTCACTATAGTGCTTTGTGGAGATAGCAAAAACTCAAGTTATTGATATATTAATTCCTTATTATTAATCATACATTCAATTTTTCGTCGCCGACCGTCTCCCCACATTAAAACATACGCTACAGTCGTCTATAAAATATCTTGCTATAATCCAGGATAAAACTGCGGACTTATATTCAACTAGTGAAGTCAATAAAGTAATGTGAAATGACTGTGTCTATTTTTCTATTTTTGGGAATACTTCGGCATTTTTCTTCAAAAAGAAGTTACCGGAAAGCAATCTTAGATTATCCATCTATTACTCTAAAAATTTAAAACCCGTGAATTAACTACTTAAATATATTTTAATTGTAATCATTCATCCACATGACTGCTTTTCTTTAGAAATAAAGCATGCAAAATGTACGCTAGAAGCAAGCACTTCTAGGTACAATAACGCCATTATAAAACATAAATGTTTTTGTCACTGGAAATGCATTTCTAGTATAATACAGTGAAGAATAAGTACAGGAAAGTACCATGCAATATACATTGTTGACTTGACTAGTAATATCTGTTTGAAATGTCAACAAAAAGAGCAAAAAAAATTACATAAAAATCTTCATGATAACCTTTATCAAAAATTCAAAAATTCACACAAAGAAAGCCATGACGCATGCGTGGAAAGATTTTTAATCCAGACGCCGACTGTCAAGTGTGAAGTTGGTTGTGAAATATGTGACAGAAAGATCAACTGTTTAAGCTCAACGCTTCTCCCCAGAATTGGACGTTTACTTTGGCGAGATGTTTCCCGAACGAAGTAAGAACGTGGATTTATGAAAATTAGGTATTTTAATTTTGGAAGACGAAAAATCCCCACATGTTGAATTTTGAAGAAGATAAACGGATGTTGAAACCTGGCGAATACTTCACGAGGTTTATAAACGCGAGGTCATTAAATGGCCGACAGATCGTCGTCGCTTGCTTGTAAAAAGTTCTCTCCGAATGTGTTTGATAAAAATAAATGTCAGAATTGCTTTAAACAGAAAGATACACATACAGAAGACGCTCCAATGATTTCTAACCGTCCGACGACTTTGGAGGTATATTTAGCTATCTTTGTTGACTCGTGTTTTAAAGGAATTCAGCTAAACTGGTTGTTTAATCTACCCAAAGGTTGATAAAAGCCATCCTAAAACAGCTTTGAAGACAGGAAATTTATATATTGCTTCAAAATTATTGGAATCACCTGCCACAATCAATGTAGAAGTATGTATGCTAATATATCTATGACGATCTTTCTACTGTTTTGCTTCAGTCATGTTAAAGGATAAATGATTATTTTTATAGAAATGGGAGAAAGTGTGGATTATTTTATATTCTTCAGGCTGTTTGGAGTGGTTTTCTAGCGATCCGAAGGTGTGATACATACAAGTTTAACATAAACTAAATTTTCTATATTTGCGTCACAAATTTAAGTAATTTTTTAAAGTTTCATAGCATTGGTATTTTGTAGATATTTTTGATTATAAAGCCGGCGTTTGTTGAAAATAACTTCTTTATGACAATCATGCTGTGAGAATTTACCTACAGTATTATTGAAAGAATTATCAGAGTTGTTTATGATCATTAAAGTGAAAATTTTTGTTCAGCGATATTGTTCGTTGTTTTGAAATCAACAACTACTGTTTCACAACTTTTGGCTAGACTAGCTGAAGTCGGAGCTATTTATGCCAATGACAAAGTTGTCTCGTTTTATCTGTGGGTAAATTTAGATTAAAAGGTTTTGCTGAAAGCTATGTATATAATTATTTCCTTTACATCAGCCAAGAATGTTGTTTGTAGTTAAATTATCAGCATGAAGTTAAACTGTTACTATGAGAAATCTGTTTTGATTTTAATCTGCTTACTCATGATTCATACAAACACTTTTTGTGAAGCTTTATAAATATCATTTAACTATGATTTTTTAGCAATAGACTAGTCTGAGCATTTGGTGCTAAAATTTTTCATTTTGCATACATTAAATTTTGTGTTTACATTAATTTGTGAAATGAATTGAGAGGAAATTAATTCATCACATCACTAACTCATGTTTATTTGATTTCAATTTCTTTAAGAATGGAGACTTACCATTAGGAACCATCAATCTCGATGATTGTACAGGTTTAACAAATGCTGAATGTGACATTAAAGAACCGTATAGTATTGGCATTAAAACATCATTGAAAACCCATTACATAAAAGCTGAGAATCGGCTTGTTATGGATAATTGGTGTCGTGTCTTAAAACCGTTTGTCATAGCATCTCCAAGCTATAAATTTAATAAAGCAACTTCATTGTCAAGGAGTTTTAATAACCATGATAACAATATACCTTCAACATCAAGTAAGTATTTAATTATATTTTATTACTGTTTTTTAACATGGTTTGATCTTTTATCAATATTTCTTTTTATATAGATTTAGAGTATTCATCTGAACGAAAAATTAGTTTGTCTCGTACAAAGTCTGCACCGTGGAAAAATAGCTCAACTGATGAGAAGGTGAATTCTCCAACACTGATTCGAAAATTTTTGCCCTCAGATAATTGTTCGGTTAAGGTGAGTGATTTGATATTTTATTACATGAAGTAGTTATGACATGACATGACAAGGCATTTGGGATAGTTAATCTTTTACAAATCTTTGCCATTATAAGTTTTTATGTTTTTGTTTGTATAGCATTAGTGTTGTTTAACTTTGGATAATACATCACTGTATGAATTATAAAGCTTGTGAATTGAAAAATGATTTATTAAATACATACTTATGGTAGTTTAAGATTTAATGAGGTTGAGAATAACTTAAAGGTATATTTTGTTGGTTGTGTAATTTAGAGTGAAAATTCTCAAGAAAATGTTGATTCCACAACGATGGAGAAGTCTCGTCTATCATCATCACCAAGACAATCGACTTCAACTGAACCATCAACTATAGGAAAAACAAATTTAACATACGACGCTGAACTTATGGAGGCGCAACGATTAGCTAAACATAATCAAGGAAAGGCGGAGATGTATTCAAAGACTTTATCAGATATGAAAAAGCAATTAAACGATGCTAATAATATGATCAGTATTCAAAAGGCTAATGACGAAACTAAAACAGCTGAAATTGATCATCTAAAAATACGGTTAAGAAAAACAGAGGCAATCCTCGAACAACGATTAAATGATTTTGATTTAGTTGCTAAATACACTGACGAAAGCGGCACTAAACTAGAAAACGGACCGTCCAGTTTTTACATGCTTCAAAATCGACTACAAGAAAACGAGAAAATGTTGATCAAACGGACGCAGGAGCTGGAAAAAGCGAATGAAAGTCGTAAGAAAGTTGCCAAACATACACGAGTTTTGCTTGTTGAGCTTGAGGAAAAATTGACCGGAAATACGAAAAAAATCAATGAACTTGAAGAACAGTTAATAAATAAAACTCTTGAATGGCAACACGAAAGAGATGAACGCTCAAGGTATGAACGCGAAAACGCAAAACTAAAAAATGAGCTTAGCAGCACGCAGAAAAACTCTCGACAACGTGATATAGCAAAGAGAAGCACGGAGCTTCTACAGCAAGTTAGAAATGATCATGAAGCTTTAAAGAGCGAGAAAAAATCTCACAATGAAGTTCGTATGTTGTACGAAACTGTACAAGGAAAAGACAAAGAAATTGAAAAACTGCATGAACGAATCTCAATGCTCGATAAGAAAGAGGCTGAAATGAAGAACATAAAAGCTTTACTTAAAGATTGCATGGCAGAGAATGAACAACTACAATCTAAATTAAGCTCATTGCAAGATTCACATAGAAATGAACAAAAGAAATGTTCAGAATTGGAAACTAAAGTTGACGATACTTCTATGAGGGTAAATATCAATATAAAACACACAATGTTAGAAAAATTACGTTATTTAATGTTGACTAAAGTTTTTCTTGTTAGTTGAAAAGAGAAGAAGAGACAAATAGTGGATTGCAACTTGAAAACGCTGAACTGAAAAAAGAAATTGAAATTTCAAGAAACGAGTTTGATAAACAAGTTACGCTGTTGCAGGAAGATAACGAAACAACGAGAATACGTCTACATGAAGTTCAACAACGTTTAAATGATGCTCTGCTGACCAAAGATAAGGACTCGGGTCTTGAGGAGTTGGCTCGCCATCATGAGGTGCTTAAAACCGAGTGTCAGCGTTTACGTGATAGCCAAGAAGATGCAATAAGTCAAGTGACTCGTGAAAGAAACGAACGTATGAAAATTGAGGAAGATCTTCATAAAACTGGACTGGAATTAAAAACACTGAAAATGAGTGTTCGCATTTGAAGGGACTATTTAGTAGAATCTGTGAAAAATATTCAGCTGATGATAAGAAGGTTGAAGATCGTTCAACTTTAGATTACGAAGATGTCGTGATGAAGATTGTGAAAACACACGAAGAAGTGGAAGAACTTACGTTAAAGTTTGATCAAAAGAATTCAGAAATTTTAAAGTTGAAAACGAAGTTAGAAAATTGTGCAAAAGTTGAAGAAACCATCCTAAGTACTGTTGAAAAAATGCATTCAGCTTTAAACGAAACTATACATGATTTGAAATTGTCTAATGTGCAAGATGTTGAAGCAACGATAGAACACAAGAATACTGACGATATTTTAACAGCTTTGAATAGTTTACGAGGCAAAATGGATCTATTGAATCGCTGTTTCAGGAAGGAACGACAAGAACACGACAATTTATCAACACAGTACGATCTCTTGGCGGTTGATGAGATAAAAACCAATCATCGTAAAGAAATGGAACATCTGCAGGAGGCAATGAATAAAGAGAGCGAAACACTTAAATCGCAAGCGGAGGAGGTGAAATTGAAATTGACATCGAAGGTTATTTTGTTGCAGTCCGATATTAAAGAACTTAACGCTAAACATGAACGGGAAGTGGAAAGATTGAATGAAAAACACAAAGAAGAGGTACGAAATAACTTGTATTTTTATATTTATTGTTTTGTATGTACAACGTACAAAATACGGCTAACCTGACGTTTACTCCTCGTTTAACTCTGAAGATGACTACCGCTAAGGTTGTCGAAACGTCAGTCAACAACAACAAAAACAGTCCCTCAGGACTATACCAACCTGGACGATCTACATCTACAAACATGTAACGATACTCCCGGGTTCAAACCATTTACTTTATTTAGTTTTGTACGTATGTCGTTTTTGGTATTTCGGATGGTTTAAATATCAAAAGTTTCAAGAATTTTAATGAGTGTAGTGAATGATCAATGATTGAAATAAAAATTGAATTGTAGCTATTATGAGGGAGTAATATTTCAAAATACGGATGTTAATGTTTGAGCGGGTGATAATTATCTATGATTAAATATAAGTTATCTTGAAAATCTTTCTCACGCAATGCTCATTATATTTTGTTCAAAACATCAGGCGAGCAAAATTTGAATTTTTGAAATTCTAATCATGTATCCAATCGTTTAAACACAGCTTGAAACAACTCAACTTGAACAAGAGAATTTGTTGACCAAAGAACGACATAAAATGGAGAGTGAAATTGAGTCCTATCGCATAACACAAGAAAAAGAAGTTGATAGACTCCTCAAAGAACATAGCTTGAATTTACAATCTTTACGGACTGAAAACGACAAAGTTATTTCTGCAAATGACGTCACGATCGTAAACCTTCGTGGAAGAATCGACGAGCTCGAGAGAGAATTGCAAAACGAACGGGAAAGGTGAGGTTTTTTTGTATCTCTCAGGTTTCAAAAATGCGTTACGTTTGAAGTGGATCGATAAAACCCTTGACATGCGTTGTCATCATCAAATTTGAGACTTTCGTTGCACATTCCATTCTCATGTAAGTAAAATTGTAATCGGGGAGGGGTGACGTGTTAGTAAAATTGTACTCACGGACGGGTGACATGTTTGTAAAATTGTACTGAGGGATGGGTGAGTGAGTAAGTTTTTATAACGATGTTGTCATCAATGGTTGTCATTTGGTGTAGATTTTTCACGTTTTCCTCTTGTTAAAACAGTCGCAGTAGAGAAAAGTTTAACTTGACTAAAATATCAGTATTTTCTCGTTGCGTTATTTTTAACTCCAAGATAAAATTTGTGCAAGTAGCGTGGAAACACTGTTTTGTCTTTTCTTTACATTGTCAACGCTCCTGTTGTTAGGACCGAATTCCCTCTGCGTTTACAACAGCGTTTTGTTGTAACCCTGTTGAAAGACGATTGTAAATATTTGAAAGTGCCCGTCCTCGTCTCATGTTTTGTTCTTTGACGAGAAATTATTTAAAACGTACGCGACATAACGTTAGTCTTTTATATCCAATATTTCAGCCATATATTAAAAATTGAACAATGTAATTCCCGCTGTGTTGTACATAGTGCAAGGTTAGCAAGGGCAGAAATACTTTGATATTATTATTCACCTCGTGTCCACCGCGTTTTTTGTTGCACAAGAAACCTTTTTGTGCAAAGAAATAGAAACTGGTGTTTTCCATGTATTATATGGTATGTAATTTATCAAGTGTATGTTATGTTTGACACAAAGCAAGACGTTTATGCCTTTGAATAGGTATATGTCATATAGTGAAGGAAAATATTATCTGTTATTGTTCTTATCTTGTGGAATGTCTGTCGTTCACATTGCCGAAGTACTTTGTACCAAGTTACCAAAATGTGTAGAAATATTTTTTACAAGTCTGCTGTAATTCGTAATTGTCCGTATTATCTCACCTTTTTCCGGCTGAACGGTGAATTTTTTTAGCAGATGAAAGGAGGCGAATGTCAGACACTATAAAACAGATTAGGGCCGCATAGCTTTAACGTATGCATGTTGTACGTATTGGTATTTAATTTGATTGAAATGAAATATTAGACAATGCGACGAAGGTAATCCCACGATCGATTTTCGATGTCTTATGCGTACATCCATTTGCAAGCTTTGAATACTACAACAATTTGGTTTAATGAAATTTCAGCGTTCTTTGTTGAGGATTTCTATATCTATACATGATTGATGTAAGTTTAGAAGTTGCTGTCTTTTAATGTGTTTTACCATATGCTTTGTCGAATCTGTTTTCTAAAAAGAGATTTTGAATTGAATACGATGATTTAATAAAATCATCTGTAAAATACAACTAAAGCATTTTGTGCGAGAAGCATTTATTTTTAAAGAACTGCTAAATACATTTGCAATCATTACGGGTTAGCTAGCTTGTGTGATTATATTTTATGTTGCTCTATTTACTGCTAAATGTCCTGTCCATTTTTATGACAAAATGCTTTTCTTTATGAAAAAAGTATATTGTTTCTGATAGAGTGTGTATATATTTCTACCATTAACCTGTAATTTCTTCAAGACTTTTCCAAATGGAAATTTATAGTTTGGAAAATGATGACGTTTCTCCTTTCACGAGCAATGAAACCTATTTTCATTCTGCTAAAAATGCATTCCTTTGAGTTCCGTGCAACTTTTAGAACATTTTCCTTGTAAAACTGCATATTGACTGTCGAATGTATTGATTTGTGTAGACGATACAGCCAAGTTCATTTTATTTAGTCCGGAAAATCATAATGTTTTGTTTTGTATAATATATTGTTTTTATTTGTAAATCCTGATTATTTTGGCTACTATAATGCTACATCTTTAAAATGTGCTCTGCATAACGAATGTTCAATATTTCTATTTACTGCAACATTACTAAGTCATAAGTTTATTTTTTACACGGAGTTGACGAGTTGACATTTCGTAACAATTTTTTGACCTTATCTGCAATCAGACTTAACCTTCAGGTATTAACATCTCGAAATTTCACATTTTTAATTGAATTGATGAAATTTAATCACCTTACTTGCCTATGACATGCTCTTTAATCGGGTCGACGATGGCTTAACAGATATAAGGACATCTGCACAATTTGTGATTATTTAATATGTTTTTGGGGGAATGTGGTCGAGAAGTCTATTGTGAGCTGTGACTCTCTTCTGAGGATTTTTTGTTCGTATCACCTAGAACATTTATATTCCCTTAAAGACACGGTGATCCTTTTCAAGCAGTGAATGATACGCGGGCAATGAAAATTAGATTCAAAGCTGTCCTTTGATATCTGTAAAATGCATGCCACAAAATATCCCGATTATTTACTGATTACGTCAAGTACATCTATCCTCGTGTTTTTTTCAAAGCAATTTATTTTTGTAGATAAGATTTGTCTCTCGTTCACGTATAATTGTTTTATATTTGTGCAGTAAACTGAGAAGTATAGAGGCATTGAAGAGTGATTACGAAGCCAAAACAGCTGAAATCGCGACGAAAAATGATGGACTTGTTAGTGTTAAAGAAATCGAAGAATTAGAAGCTCAATACAAGAAACAATTGGAAAAAATCAAGGTATTCATTACTGTTCCATAATCTTTCAATGTTTGCATGCTGCGTCCAATGTTCGTCGTTTTGAGACTGTTTATTTGTGAGGTGAATTGATAACACGTTATAGAAGAATTATATACTTTATTTTATTCTATCGACTTCGCGAAGATTTACCTCCAAGTCCGTCTTACTTGCAAACTATCTTTAAATATACTTGATTGTTATCCTAGCTCCAAACTTTTCTTTACCCTTACATTTGATACATTTACCATACTTGCATCATTTCTTATTTTCTCACACGGGGAAAACGTAACTTATGGTATTTTCATATCGATAATAAAAATTTATGTGCTATAATGTTTGTGTTGTCATGATAAATAGCATGCATGTCTGTCTTCACGGGCGAAAATACCTTAACTACGGGGTGCATGTGTTAAATTCCAATCTATTGTTTCGTATCAGCTTCAAGACCCTAAAGTTCATTAATCAATCGATAATCATTTGGATGTGAAAACAAAAGATCTTTAATAAATTGTGCAATTTTTCATGTCTGTTTACGGTAACCTTGTTTACAAGATTATTTCTGTTTCTTTTAACTTCGTGTTCAACCTATCTTTTCGTTTAAAAGGCGTAAGAAATCGATTTCTTAAGATTTCTTGCTTTGTTTTGTCCGTTTATATACTTAAGATCATTCATAGAAATTGTTTTAATGAAGTAAGACCTTGCACTTGTGAGGGACTTTCATTATTTCTGAGGGACTCGTTAGTAACAGAGGACTTTCATTATTTCTGAGGGACTCGTTAGTAATAGAGGGACTTTCATTATTTCTGAGGGACTCGTTAGTAATAGAGGGACTTTCATTATTTCTGAGGGACTCGTTAGTAATAGAGGGACTTTCATTATTTCTGAGGGACTCGTTAGTAATAGAGGGACTTTCATTATTTCTGAGGGACTCGTTAGTAATAGAGGGACTTTCATTATTTCTGAGGGACTCGTTAGTAATAGAGGACTTTCATTATTTCTGAGGGACTCGTTAGTAATATAGGGACTTTCATTATTTCTGAGGGACTCGTAAGTAAAAGAGTGACTTTCATTATTTCTGAGGGACTCGTTTGTAATATAGGGACTTTCATTATTTCTGAGGGACACGTTACTAATAAAGGGACTTTCATTATTTCTGAGGGACTCGTTAGTAATAGAGGGACTTTCATTATTTCTGAGGGACTCGTTAGTAATAGAGTGACTTTCATTATTTCTGAGGGACTCGTTTGTAATATAGGGACTTTCATTATTTCTGAGGGACTCGTTAGTAATATAGGGACTTTCATTATTTCTGAGGGACTCGTTTGTAATATAGGGACTTTCATTAATTCTGAGGGACACGTTACTAATAAAGGGACTTTCATTATTTCTGAGGGACTCGTTAGTAATAGAGGGACTTTCATTATTTCTGAGGGACTCGTTAGTAATAGAGGACTTTCATTATTTCTGAGGGACTCGTTTGTATAGGGACTTTCATTATTTCTGAGGGACTCGTTTGTAATATAGGGACTTTCATTATTTCTGAGGGACTCGTTTGTAATATAGGGACTTTCATTATTTCTGAGGGACACGTTACTAATAGAGGGACTTTCATTATTTCTGAGGGACTCGTTAGTAATAGAGGGACTTTCATTATTTCTGAGGGACTCGTTAGTAATAGAGGGACTTTCATTATTTCTGAGGGACTCGTTAGTAATGTAGGGACTTTCATTGTCTCCGAGGGACTCGTTAGTAATATAGGGACTTCCATTGTCTCCGAGGGACTCCTTAGTGATATAGGGACTTTCATTGTTGTCAAAAATTACATGTGTTTTCTTTTGCTCAATTTATTGCTTATTTCATTGTAGGAAATTCATGAACGCGAACTGGAGGAAAATAAATCTGACATGATGATGGTTTTACAGGCCCTCAAATCTGACTCATACAACTCTCCTGCTTCATTGTCTACTGACTCCATGGAAGGAAATGACGACTTGAGAAAACTGGAAGCTCACGTGGAAGCACTAAAGACTGAACATGCGCAGGAGATTGAGAAAATGAAGATTGAACATGAAAGAGATTTGGAACAATTGCGTCTTGATATGGTGACATTGTTGAAAGCTCAAGAAACGTATAAAATAAACGATGTTTCACAGGTATGTAAGAATGATTTAATTACGGTTTGTGTTTTGATTTTTGATGAAGAAACATAAAATTTTAATAAATGAAATGTTTTTCTACATTATAAGGTTGACGGATTTGATGCAAAACACAAAGGACATTTGCAGGCATTGAAACTCTCACATGAACAAGAACTTAGAAAAAAAGATGAAAAACATCAAATGGAATTTGATCAACTGAAAACAGACATGCTTGTTGCAATTCAGGCAGCTTCGGCCGTAGGTAATTCTAGTACCCAAACCCCTAGCTCATCAGAACGACGGATCATCGAGCTTGAGGCGCTTGTGGAAAAACTGAACGATGATTTTGAAGAAGAACGCAAAAGTTTAAAGAATGCCATTAAGAAAGCAGAGTCTGCAACAAAGTTTGGTTTAAGAAGAAACGAAGAAATGAGTAATAAAATTTACGAAATGCAACGAGAAATGGAAGAGATTGATTCTAAATACCAAAAAGAAATAAAATTGTACAAAGAAGCATTTGATCAGGAGAACGAGAGGAAGACGACCATTGGAGCTGTGCCGGGACTACATGCAGAAAATGAAAGTCTTAAGGTACGAGGAGAGATTTAATACAACGACTTTGTATGAAGGATTAATGGAAGATTTTGACGTGTTTCTTTTAAAGTTTTTAAAATTGTGAGAAAAATTATTAGAAAATAAAACACAAAGTTCACTAGGTTGAAAAGTCTTTCTCTTTGCTTATATTGCTTATTCATATTTAATGAAATTTCATCTTAGAGTTTGAACGTAATAAAAGTGCAAGCGGAAACACAGCTTTTAACTTTTTTGTTTGTCATACTTAAAGTTGTCTGTCGTTGTATTTCAATAAAATTTTTGTATACAATGATATGAAATAGTTATTATTGTTATAACGTTACAAACACTAGCGAAATCCTTACCCTGCCTGAGCTTGTTGTTAACGATCATTGGAATCGTTGAATTGACAATAAACCAATTTATCACTACGTTTGGAAATCGTGTCAAGTTGTCATCAAAGTCATGTATTTGCAATCCAGGTTAAGCTTCAAGAGTTAGAATTATCCATGGAGCAAATGCAAGTTCGTTACGATGGAGAAATCAAAAGATACAAAGAAAAATTTCAACAGGAAAATGTGTTAAGCGTTGAGGAACTACAGTTGAAGATCAAATCATTAGAGGATAGCATTGAACAGATGAGGATAGAACATGATACAGAAATGGAACGATATACTAAAGCTGTAAAAAGAGGCAAAATATCAATGAATAGTACTGCAAAGGAAAGAGATCTTGAAAGAAAGATTGATGATTTAGAATCTACAATCAACGGAATGAGACAAAAACACCGTGACGAGGTTATCTACTTTTCGTTTTTCGAATAAACGCATTTTTTTGTATAAGCGCCGCCCTTCAATAAACGCCGTTTCTCGATTTGTCAAAAAAGTCGCGGCGTTTATTCAAATTGCGTTCATTTGTATTTATACTTTCCTCTTGCGAAAATTGAAGCCGGAAGTTGGCTTATTTGCTACTGGCTTCATGGGGGTATCGGTCCCACTTTACTATACTTTTGTATTACAAAATCACAGTTTTCGCGTTTTTATTCCTTTTACAAACTTCTGATTATGGCAAAATTTTTATGACATGTAGAGGAAAACCGGTAGAGAGTTTTAACCCTAAAGCTCTGTTTGTTTGGCTTTGTGACGACTGAAAAATAAGATGGCAAGTTGTATTGAAATTTGAAAGTTGAAGGTGACGAGACAATTTCAGCCGTGCGAGGCATTTTTAGAAGATAATACTTAAATTACAAATTAACAACAAAGTAAGAACAAAGATATTCATATCTTCAACATATTCATCGATATTGAAATTGTACACATAGGAACTGGTTGAAAACTTTGCTTCGCTTAATGACAACAGAGGTACTTTAATTCGCATATTTTGATGATGTACATCTCGTAGAGTTTGATGATACCGTTTTCAACTTACTATTAAAGACAAACTTTTTAGGATTAAATATCTTTGCCGGTTGTTCTGTCCCTTTCACAAAAATTTTGCTCGAATCAAAAGTTTGTAGAACGCAAAAGCTGTGATTTTGTAATACAAAAGTATAGTAAAGTGGGACCGCTACACCCCAACGAAGGTCATAATCAGATGAGCCAACTTCCGGTTTCAATTATCTACTATACAAAATAAGTAATACAAAATAAAACAAATTCCTTGTATTACTTGAAATTGTCTGCTTGTCCTGGTTATATTTTATACATGGTGCGTTATCCAGTGTAATATACATATCAGTGGATTACACTTACACACGAGATGTAAATTTAACTCTTAATCATAACAAACTCCTTTGTTAACTCGATAAGTGTTTGTTTCCGATCTTGACGTCATTAGCGCTTTTATGTGTAAACTTGTGCAACTCTGAGTATGTTTAATGTTGTATTAAATGAAGTATTATCGTTTATAAAGGTTCGTAAATACCGCGAGAGGCTTGAGGACGAGATGGAACGTCATCGTAAGGAAGTACAAGAATTTCGATCCAAATTACGTAAACTTGACGCTGATTCACGTAACAAGGACGACATGAAGAACAAAATAACTGAATTTGAAAATAAAATAAGTAAATTATCGAAGGAATCGAGTAAATATAAAGAACAAGAATTTGAGTTGAACGATACTAAGAGTAAAAACAGAGAGTTGCAGAGACAGGTATTAAACTTTGTTTTAACCTTGTAATACCATAGCCTCCCCACCCCTCCCCCCTCCGGTGAATAATTCCATATGATCGTGACACTCGACTCATTCCACAGTGGGCTCAATCTCATACAAACCAATTATTTAATAGTGCAATGTTCATAGATCTCTGCATTATAAGGCAGTCCATGTATTAGTCCTCGTCCTTATATAATAAGCGCCCCTCCCCTCCCCCTCGTACAAAGCCAGAAAAAAACGTCAGACGGTCGATGGTTGGCGGTATTCGTTTATTGTTACAGTATGTGATTATATACAGTAACTAGAAGCACTCCAACTTCATAATAGTGGCGATGTTCACAATTTTTCACTGCTTTCCACTTTCAGGTCGATGCATATAAACGAAAACTGGAAATCTTAGAAGAGGCTGTGAATGAGAGTAAGGAGACTGGTGCAGAGTCTCGTGTTAACCGAAACCGCGGCAAACTGCCTCGTTACAGTTCCATGGACAATATACGATCAACTAAAATGAAAATGTTTAATCAGCACGAGCGAATCAATGATGACAACGATGTTTTCGAAATGAATAATAATTATAAAAAGGCGGAGATTGGTGGTTATAAGCTCAACCAAGGTATGAGTTTAAAAATTTTTTTTCTTCGGTAATTTTCTTTTTTTCAGACAAATTTGACAGTAAACTGTATTTACTACAACGTCTTTGTCTACGTTCTCATAGATGTAATATCTTGGATGTTTGCATGCAATGATACAACGTCTTTGTTTACGTTCACATAGATGTAATATCTTGGATGTTTGCATGCAATGATACAACGTCTTTGTCTACGTTCTCATAGATGTAATATCTTGGATGTTTGCATGCAATGAAATCTGTCAATTATTAAAGATTTATTTTGATGCATGTCGATAGTCAGGCAATGAAGCTTTACATAAACAAGGTTTGTGTTCAATTTGCTTTAGATAGCAATCGTCCTTCGTCGGTGTCTGCATTTCCTGTCGAAAATGATAATGGATTTAAACGAAGTACAGAAAAGGTAAATTACATTTTTTTAATATAGCGTTGATTACCATTTAAACACTTTTTGCTGTGTTCTATGCGCATGCGTATTTGTTAAACCATAACTTGTTTTAATTTTTAGAAACGAGAAGTTTCATCGCTCAACCGTTCAACATATCATCCTTGTAAGTATGAAAATCACTAATGTGTTGTTGAGTGGAGATGTTTCCTCAGACCTCGTGTTTGTTTCATTTTTTTATTACGACAATACGACTAAATAGAGAATTTTTATCTGTTGAATTTATAACTCCTATAGTTACAACCAGCGACGGATTTAGGAAGGTGGGGAGAAGTTCTAATTTCTCTACAAAATATTAATTCATCAAACAATCAAGCAAAAGCAATTGTGATTAGCCGTTAGGTCTCATATTGTACAGTTGCAAGTAGCTATCGAAACTACAGCCCCACTACCCCCCCCTCCCACCACCACAAGAACCATCAGCCCCTAGTCAATGGTTGAACTTGACCATCGTGAATGTTTGCAACAATGATATTTTTATTTTGATCAAATTTTACGATTGAATGAAATCCAGTGCAAAACTTTTCTGTATTTCAATATGTTCACGTGACTCCTGGCAAACTTGAAATTATTTTCCGTTTTTATGTATTTTTAATGCTGTAACATTGATTATCTTTAGCTTACATTAAGAGCTCAAGTGGCGAGTGGAACAGCAAATAAACACGTCTTTTGTATATTAATATATTTTTGTACTATAGATAGATATTTTCAATGTATTTTATCGGATTTTTCTGATCAGTTGATCAGCTGATGTTTTGGCGTCTGTATAAAACCAACTAAAATAGTTCTAATAATTAACAGTATTTGACCATATATTAATAAATTATGTATATACTCTATATGTCTTTATAGGTACATTTGTTAGCAACCCTGTTTTTCATTACAGAGAAATGGGATAATGTGTTGTTTTGCTGAAAGAAGTTTGCAAAATATTAAATATCAAAACTGTGTCTTGTGTTATATTTTCGCGTCTGAAAATTACAGGTTACATACGGAGGGTATATAAAAGAAATGTAATTTATTCATCTTGTTATCAGAGATATTATAAGTAAACGCATGATTTCAGGGAATTTTAGTAAAAGTCCGAGAGCGCGACCCAAGGCCTTGATGTTGAGTAACTTCCAACTTTTACCCCTAACTCCATGCTTATTTGTCGAAATGCAAACAGGCTATATGACGAAGATGGTCTACTTAGTACTTACGAGGATTGCGAGAACGTCATAACCAACAGTATCAACAAACAAGCTATATGACAAAGATGGTCTACTGAGTATTTACGAGGATTGCGAGAACGTCATAACCAACAGTATCAACAAACAAGCTATATGACGAAGATGGTCTACTGAGTATTTACGAGGATTGCGAGAACGTCATAACCAACAGTATCAACAAACAAGCTATATGACGAAGATGGTCTACTGAGTATTTACGAGGATTGCGAGAACGTCATAACCAACAGTATCAACAAATAACATTTACAGTGAAAAAGGGTGATGTTGTTATCATGCAATCGGACGAGCGGCGTCGTGGTAAATGGCCCCTTGGGATCGTAGAGGAGTTGTACGAAGACGTGACGGTGTTGTTTGTGCAGTAAAGCTCCGCGCAGGGAAAACGTATTTCGAGAAGATGGTGAACAACCTTTACCTACTAGACGGTTATCGTGCTAGCGTACAGAACCGACCTATGTGCACTTGAATCCTGGAGTACAGGTGTTTACACGGAAAAGAAATGCAGCAGTAACAGCTGAGCAGCGCATCAAGGAAGTGACAGAGTTTGAACTTTAAGTGAGGAGTGAAGGAGAAAAGAAAATTTTGATTATGAACATATATGAAACTTTATTAAAATTCGTCTTCTGTTAAACGAGGACAGTCTCGTAAGGGAATACATATACCTTATCTTAATATGTTGACAGAGAATAACTGCCTTTTTACATTTCAATTCACACAATAGTTATACGTATGTATTGTCGTTGACGAAAAAACTTCTACGCAAAAGCACCTTAACAGGACGCAGAAAGCAAAGAGCAACAACTTTTTCCAACCTTTATTGTGCCTCCACTATCTTTATTTCTGCTGAAACTCAAAAGATATTTTGATTGTACGTCGCAGAATATATGACAGTATATGATGGAGAATGAGAGCAGACGGAGTATGACAAATATTACGTTTCGTAAATATATTCTGTGGTATTTATAAAGTTTGAACATGGAATTATTACTAAGATTTAATGGCTCGTTGGTGAGTATAGTTCCCGCAGTTCAACGGTTAAATATGCATGTAGAACGCTGGAAATGAATTTAACGATTACCAAGGGTTATTACCTCCGACCCATTTTAGACGTACAGGGGTCTGACCGGTGGGTCTGTCTGTACGTAGTCTGGGCGGACCTGGGTATGGCATGGGGTATGAGCAAAATCTCATGCACGAGTAAATTTGAGCCTTGGCAGTATTCGAAGTTGAAGCAATTAGGCCTGTTTTATACTTCGCATTTTACATGCGTCGAATGCATTAGAGACAAAAGAAAATGAGATAAAATTCTTCATTATCTTTTGTTTTGAATGCATTCGACGCATGTAGAATACGACGTATAAAACAGGCCTTAAAAATGAACCGCTGATCAATTTTTATTATTATGATAATTACCTAAGACAGAGTAGAAGTTCTCGATTTCTACGCGAAGCATTTACAAGATATTTTGTACAATTTGTCTCTCTCGAGAATGAATACTGCTCTACAACTTTGGGATGGTGAACTGTCTGTTATCACAACTCCCCCACCTCGAGTCGCATCGCCTCTAGAGATTGTAATAAAAGTTGCTTTTACAGGAGTTAGTGCTTTAGATTTACTGGTTTTGTCTGGTAAATTTCCTTGTCCGAAATCTCTTATTCTTGGCCACGAATTTTCTGGTGTTGTGACGGAAATTGGTAGTGAAGTGAAGCGCTGTTCTGTTGGAGAAAGGTTATTATTTACTTCTTATTTAATCAAAATTAATGACCTTAGAATAGAAACTAATTTGACATTTTGAAACTTGTTTTAAAACATTTCAATATTTAAACACCAAAGTTTGATCCAATGATCTTTGATTCCCAGAATATTGCTTGAAATCCTTGCGCAATTTGAATGTATTTGATAGTTAAAGTAAGAACAGTTCTCTGAAATATTATCTAGAGTTGTAGTCAATCCACACTCAAAGTCTGACAGTTTCAAAGCTCAAGCACATCTCTGCTTTACCAATGAAATTTCAAAATCAATTGGCCTTGGATGCAATGGTGGCTGGGCACACTATTGTCGGGTACCAGCTGCTTTAGCTCATCCAATTCCAACCCAAATTACTTTAGAAGTTGCTGCCTTGGCTGAGCCAATATCTTGTATCCTGCATGCATTGGATTGCATTGGTAACGTATACACTGATGCAGACATACTTATTTGTGGAACAGGAATAATTGGTTTACTGTTTGCAAGTATTTTTCATTATCGAGGTTATCGTAGAGTGACCCTTACTGAGATATCAGAGCAACGTAGGGCTTTAGCTTCAGGTTTGAAACTTGGTTTCAACATTGTACATCCCGACAGTTTAGAAGTTTTGTACAAGCGTAGTATTATAAAAAATACTAGTACATGGGGATTTGATTTGATTATTGATTGCACTGGTATGGATGCTGCTATTGAGCAATCTTTCAAATGGCTTCGCTTTGGAGCAACTTTCTGCATTTTTGGCATTTGTTTACAAGAATCGGAAGTAAAAATCAGCCCCTATGATATTTTGATGAAAGAAATCAAAGTTGTTGGTTCAATTCTGAATTCTCTCACATTTCCAAGATCCATCCAACTTATAGAAGATATGGGCAAGGATTACTTAAGTTATGAGAAATTAGGTATCAAGGTTTATAAACTTCAGGACTATGCTGAAGCATTTTCTTCTTTGAAGAGTGGAAAAATTGCTAAAGCTATGTTTGCTATATAAAACTCTCCTCAATGATAAGAAGTTACAAGTATTAAAGTAAATTTGACTGGAAGCATTATTTTTTTTGATTACAGCTTTATGTCCATCATGTAATAATCACATCTTTCGTCTAGAAGTTTCTTATGGAGAAATGCTTTGATATATGAAAAATTGTTATGAACAACTAAATACAGTCATGTAGTTAAAATTATTGAATATGCATCTTAGCATGCTATCAAGCACAATACATGGAATTTATCTGCATAATAGGTCATCTTAATCAAATTTAAATATATTTCTACAAAAAACTTTAAATATCTACTTTGATCAAACAAATTTACAACAAACCATGACCATCTATCTTCGTCTCATTGTGTTTATGAATAACATATTTAAAAAAGGACTTCAGCATTCAGAGTCAGAATCAAGTAGCATAGTTTCCTCCGAGAATTCATTCTTGTTGTATACAACTTTGGGTTTTAAGTTGTCTTCATTTGTCTGGATTGCTACACCCCCGGCGTATTGTTGGTAGGAGCGAGAAAAATTATGGATGGCATCTGTGACAATATCTTTTGGATTAAGCGTCTGCTTGAAGTTGCTGGAAATACTCTTCATTGCAACAGCTTGGCCTTTCTCGTTCAATTTTCTCTGGTTAAGATAAGATGAATGTGGGAATGCAAACCGCAAAGCTACAGCAGCAAAGAACATTTCTATGCAGATGAGAAAATCTTGACAAGCGTTTGCAATCTTTCCAGATGAAATGTGATTATAGGTATGGATTATTCCCAAACTTTCAAAAATGGCAAGAGTGAAACCTAAATAGCATTAAACATATTGTATACATTACTTCATTTAGGCAAAATATATTGAGTCACCAAAATGTTACCTTGCCAAAATGAGAGAAACACCACAGATTTGATTGTGAAAAATTTCCACACTGGTGAATAAGATGCAAGGAGCTCTTTCGCGGCAGAATAGAAAAGCAAAAGACCATACAGTGCCAATGTGTAGGATATGTTGTATATAATGGTGACATAGAGATAGCCTCGATCAAACCTACAGACATTAAATATTAACATTAAAAGATCTAACAAGTTTATTTAGGTAAAAGTTTGTTCACAAACCTCCATTCACCAGGATCATAATAACCAAGAGGATACAAGACCAGAATAACGATCACCATTATGGGTTTCACAACACAGAATTGAAGAGTTGCCTACGAGCAGAAAGACGATGCGCAATTTACCATTAATGATGCCAAGAATAGATTTTAAACAAAATCCACAGCTTACCTGTTTAAAAAACTTGAGAAAACCAACAGAATATTGCATTCCATTTAGACAACATGTAAATGTAAACCAACTTGACCTAAGTGAAAATTACAATGAAGAAATTTTTATGAATGAAAAGGAAGAAAAATTTGAAAACATAATGGATTCGTTACTTTACGGGACGTCCTCGTAGTTCGTTCATAATGGCTATCTCACCCCCAAGATATTCATAACACAAACTGATGAAGTTATAAATCACAAATGCTACAAAACATAATATGTACAACAAGATTTTAGATTCCTAAAGATTGCTCAACATCAATCCACCGATATCATCTGTTGTACCTTCATAGCAATCTCTTACAGTATCAAAGTAAATGGAATATGAATGTTCAAAAAACAGAAGACTGAGCCATGAATGGAATGCATAGATTGGTACAATGAACAGAATTCTCACAATCCATCGCTGTTGGTTGGGGTTCGTGTAATATTTCAGATGAAGATAAATCTTAAATTGAAAATAATTAAAAATTAGAAAACATTAGCTTTCATTCATTAACTAGCACACAATGTGTTGACCGATGCACACTTTGTGATAGGCCGGAAGAACGGCGTTGAAGAGAAATATTTTCGTTTATCTATCCAGATTCTAATAAGAATATTAAATTATTTTCTTTTATTACAATTGTAAACTTTTTCTCCTATACGATGCCACAAAGCAGAACAACTTATTTCCTAAACTTTTTCGTACATTTTGAGAATGCGATTTTCTTCATAAATATCGTGACATTTCTCATCACTTAGGAAGTCTTTAGTCACGTTTTAAAGCAATAACAACTCAACGAACATTGAAACAAACGCAATTGAAATTCAAAACACAACTAAAACGATTGAACAAGGAGACTAATTTTCTTGCCTGATGTACAGTTATGAGTATTGCAAAAGCGACAAAGACACCAGAAATACTGCGGGCAGCTGCCGTTTTGTAAAAAACATTGCCGTCATGAAGTTTTGGTGCTATCGAAGTATTTTCAGAATTTTGACCGTTCATGATCAAGTCTGTCCCGTTTTCATACTTCTCGACATGGACAATGCCATAAACTAACAAATTTCCTGATTTCAAAACATAAAGAACGACTTTCTGACGAAGACGAAATTCAAACAGTTTTAAAAAGATATTAGTTAACACCTATTTTTAGTCTTTTACTTTTAGTCTTTTTCGTTGACTTTAAATGAAGTATTTCATTTTCTATACTTCAGGTATTATTACGTCATTACACATTACGCATTTAAGGAAACTGTTTATTTGTGGTATAAATTATATGAATTTATTTCATTAAAATTTTACTTTCATATCATTGTTTGAAATAAAATGATGGACTATATTTCATTAGGCTTTTTTTGTACACAAAGGTCAAATCGTGCTGACCATGTCTTTTGAAAATCACAGCCGACATTTTTGTCGTCATTTTGCTTTTTGCGCTAATCGGGTGCAAGTGGATGCAAGATGGCAGCCAAGTCGATCTCATCAAATCTAAAATTTACTACCAAGGTCTGTTTTTAAACTCGCTTGAAGTATTTAGCTTTATTTTAAACCCAATTTAAGGTCGTTGACTGTTGTCAATTTGTTATTTATTGAATGAAATATAAGACAAGTACATTAATGTCTGCATAATGAAGACTTTTTCAAAAGTCCATAACCTGCTATTGTTCAAGAGATCAACTGTTTATCACACATGGACATTGTTATATGTAATTCTAAAGCTTTTTAAGTGTTTTCATACCACAGAACAAAGTGGAAAAGTGTACATTTACATTTTTTTGATATTCTTGATTAAAATTGAATATGAACGTTCTTTAACCCCCTATGAAATATACAAATTCTTATTATTTCAGATACCACTTCTCTTAAAAGCCACTTCAAATGATGAGAAATCAACACAAGGCTATCATCTTCAGGAAATAAGTTGTATGTCAATTTTTCATGATCAAAAACATTACTTCAAATGATAATCTAGTTGCCTAATTTAGATATAAAATAGTATAAAATTGTTTGAAAGAAATGCTCAATACCAAAGTAGAGCATATATTTATAATAAAAAGAAATTACAATTCTTAAAATACTTCGTATATATACCAGTGTGCGAATTAATGGTGTGCAATGTGCAATTTGCACATCGCTTTAGCTAAAATGAAAACAATTGCACATCACTTTTTTAAACGATGTGCAAAAATCAGCGGTTTTAACAAAAAACACTGTCGTAAATCATATGAATTTGTTCAGTTTAAAAATATTAATTTAGCAATGAGCGCTATATAATAATTAACGTAATATCGATTTGATTATGTCTCTAAAGAAACACTTTTTCAAAAAATTGCACATTGTTTTTTCTGAACTAATTTGCACACTGATATATACAAAGTATGAATATAAATATTATACATGTCACGATTAACAGAACTATAGTTTTCATTGTTTTCATTGAATATATTGTTCAATATATTGTTTTCATTCACCAGATGATTGCAGTAAGGTGTGTAACACTGTGTAGTGGATGGTTTCATGATATTATTTATTTTACTTTAATTATTTGTTATTTATTTATTTATTCAATTTGCACCTTAAGTTTGAGTAAGTATTAAAACCTTGGCTGTACTTATTAAAATTTATCTTTTCTTTCAGTGATCTCAAAGTCATCATTTCCTAACTGTAAATCACTGTTGACTTTCTTACTGGGTCGCTTGGAGAAACGAGAGCCTTGCATAAAGTTTAAGGTAGAAGCAATTCAAATTCCTTTCTAAAATGTACAAAATGTTGTTGAAGTGTACAATATGCTATCATAGAAGAATCCTTATGTTCGCTAAGGTGTTGCATATCATGAAGTATCTGGTTGTTAATGGACATGCAGAGTTTCGAAGTCAGTTGCGACGTAATGGAAATGCTATTAAAAAATCTGTTGGTAAGAAATGTATTCTAACTCCTGAGGGAGGGGTGGGGGGTGGAGTAGTGAAAGGGGGGCATACAATTAAAATAATGCATGCTTGACATATACATATGGTGTGTAATCATACATTGTTGTTTCTGTTAGATTTTCTTGGTGACTTTGATCCAATTCATGGTGATGGATTAAACATTAAAGTTAGACAGGCAGCTTCAGTAAAGTGACCATTATTTCCCTTTCTGCTTTGCTATTTTTACTTTGCTATTCAAACTTTGCTATTTTTACTACATCTTTTCTTTACTTCTAGGATCTGGAGAAACTCTTGTTTGATGTTGACAATCCTGATGTTGAAGTCATTTATAAGTCTATGTGTATGTATGATTGTTATATTATGAGAATACATGTAGGTATATATATGTACATACAAGGACATGTGTGCTTAGAACATGATTAATAGGTGTATGTATAATGATGTATGTCAATATGTGTGTATGTACATGTACATATATGAACATAAAGTAAATGGTTTGAACCCGGGAGTATCATAATATGTTTGTGGATGAAGATCGTCGTGGTTAGTAGAGTCCTGAGAAGGACTGTTGTTGTTGTTGTTGACTGACGTTTCGACAACCTTAGCGGCAGTCATCTTCAAAGTCAAGTTGTAGAAACGTCAGTCAACGTCAACAACAACAGTCCTTCTCAGGACTCTACTAACCTGGACGATCTACATCCATAAACATATATGAACATGTTTGTTTATATTGATGGATAGGTATGTGAAGGATACATGAGGATGTGTGTATGTATACTTATATATAAACGGAACATCAGAAATGACACCAAGACTACTCCGACCATTCAAAATAGACATCGCACATAAACCAACACACAAACTCAAATCATACTTCACTAAACATAAAGACCGAACAACGACATTTGACACAACCAACGCGATCTACATGATACCATGTAAAGATTGCCCTAAACAGTACATAGGACAAACATCCAAGAAAATTGAAACAAGACTCACTGAACACAAGAATGCCATCAAACGACGTGACCCAAAATCACTACCAGCAGAACATACCTACGATACCAACCACACATTTGACTGGACAAAAACACAACTTCTTGGACGCGCACAGACAAAACACGCACGAGAATTCAAAGAGGCATGGTACAGCAAAGACAACAACACAATAAACAGACATATTGACATCCCCATCATCTATTCACAACTAAAGACAAAACCAAAACAAGAAACTAATAACACAACGACTAAAATAAAACACTAGAATTTCATTAACGCAATCCATACACCCGAAACCATGACAACGCATCTTATACCATCCAATAATATCAACTCAACTACAAAATCTTTGTAAATAATATATTCTTACATTCTGACGAAGGCTCGAAGCACCGAGTTGAAAGCTTAATAAAAAAAACAATTTCAAAATAAAAATCCAGAGAATCCTTAATATTATCATACTTATGTGTATATCGATGTAATTATTTAACATGAATAGGTGTGAATATATTTGTACATTTACATATATTTATGTACATATAACCATGTTTGTGGATAAAGAGGATATATGTACGTGTGACTATGTCTTGTTTGGTGGCTGGTGTAAAAACTTGTATTTAATGTTTTTGCCATTGCTAACACTTTATATGTCTTTTTTTCTTTACTATTTTTGTAAATTAAATTCTCTTTTCTTGATATCTTTTTATGTAGTAGCTTCAGAATGCTCAAAAAAGATGGATGGTTTTGGATACTCCAAAACACCAGAACCACGTACGTAAGAGATACCTTTCATCCAAGATGTTGTTGATCAAAGATATTTATTGTTACTGTCAACATCAATATCATATTTTTATGATTTTAGAACAGGAATCGTCGTTGATGGAAACTTTAAAAACGAAAGTTATAAACTCTACATCAGAAATGTTCAATATTTCTAGACCAGCAGCGAACCACTCCAATGCAACACCTGACCCACATCATCGCTATACTCCTGTTGATTTAAGGGATACCGATATTGAAATAGAAAATTGTATGTTGCCAATTCATTTTTCTTTACTTTAATCAAACTTCTTAGTTACTCTAATTGTCTAATGTCTTTTTGTTTTATTTTCAGTCGAGATTTCAACAATTACAAATGAAAAGCAAGCAAAGTGTGTGCTGTTTTATTTTCTTGAGCAGTTTCTTTAAAATTTCATATTTCAATTTTAAAAAGATTTGCACGATCGTTCTCTTACGTTAAATTTCAACTTTAACACAGTTCTGATAATCTTCACAACAAGAATGATGATTTGGATGTAGACCGCTGTTATTATGAACGCAGGCTCGTCAACCGTATTACATCCGGGAATGGCATCACTAACGTTCCTGACCGAGAATCTCTTAAAGATTTTTTAAGCGAGTGCGTTTTTTCGTGATTTGAGTGAACGCATTTTATTTAAGTCATAAAAATAAGCAAAATGTTGATTTTTTTTATATTTCAGAGCTTCTTCCTTAGATCTGTGTGCTATTTTGGATCTGTTAGACGAAAAGATGAAAAATTTTCCCGTTAATGTTCAGTTGGTGAGAAAATTGTTGCATTATGATGTTTTTGTTTTGCTGCGTGTTCAAAATAAAACCATTTCCCCATTTGGTGTCTGTTTGTTCCTGAAAGGGTTTTGACGAACTTCGAAGGGAGTTTTTTGTTCAATTACACAAGCAGACGTTCTAAAAACAGTCTTACTGTAAAGAAGAAATAACACTCTGAATGTTTGACATTACTTTAAGAAATTAATGTTGAAAACTTTTGTCTGTTCTTACATTGTCCTTAGTTGGCATAATGTTTATATGTATTTTTAATTTCTTCATCAAGAAAACTCTGCACGTTCTGGAATGTTTATTAAGAAGCAAATTCGCTGATGTTCCACGCAAAGTTAAAGAACATTGTCCTAATATTTCATCGCTTGCTGAATCTCCAGATATCAGTGTTCAAGCAAAGGCAAAAAAAGTATGTTTTCATCGTGAAATTTTTCTACCTACTGACGTGTACTTTTCATAATTTATAATCATTCTGTAACTGCGTACCTCTAGCCACAACTACCCATACTTATACATTATTATTCATAATTTATAATCATTCTGTAACTGCGTACCTCTAGCCTCAACTACCCATACTTATACATTATTATCCATAATTTATAATCATTCTGTAACTGCGTACCTCTAGCCACAACTACCCATACCTATACATTATTATCCATAATTTATAATCATTCTGTAACTGCGTACCTCTAGCCACAACTACCCATACTTATACATTATTATCCATAATTTATAATCATTCTGTAACTGCGTACCTCTAGCCACAACTACCCATACTTATACATTATTATCCATAATTTATAATCATTCTGTAACTGCGTACCTCTAGCCTCAACTATCCATACTTATACATTATTATCCATAATTTATAATCATTCTGTAACTGCGTACCTCTAGCCTCAACTACCCATACTTATACATTATTATTCATAATTTATAATCATTCTGTAACTGCGTACCTCTAGCCACAACTACCCATACTTATACATTATTATTCATAATTTATAATCATTCTGTAACTGCGTACCTCTTGCCACAACTACCCATACTTATACATTATTATCCATAGTAATCAGCCGCTGCTGATTGGTTTATTTAGATAGTACTATGCATCAATTCTTCATTGGAGGAAGATTTAGGAAATTCCTTAGTTCCGCCTGGTTACGAAGAATCAAAAGAGCTTCCAAAGATAGACACTCCTCAACTGAACTCTTTATTTACTGGAATGAATGTCAAAGACAATGGTCTGGATAAACCTGCTACTGACTGCAAAGATACTGGAGTACTTTCTCATGTTTCGGCAAGTGAAACTATTTGTACCCTAGTGGATTTGGTTGATACTGTCCCAACTGAACAAATTTCGGTAAATGTTTGCACGGACATGAGCGAGGAAAAAATTAGACAATCGTCTTCAGTGTCTGTTGACAAAATTCCCTCAAATTTTCAATTTCTTACTTTTGAAGCTGAAGGCAAGTATTTAGACAATAATTTAACAGACGAAACTGTAAATTCATTCTCAAACGAACGTGATTTATTGGACCTTCAATCTTCGTGCACAAATATGGTCGAAAATGGGCAAAATGTGACGTCACAAATATCTGAAAACTTGTTACTTATGGACAGCGTCGACAACCTCAGTACTTCATAACAACAGTCAAACAAACGAGAATGGACCCTATTTCTTCAAAACATCGAATTTTCAAACTTTAAACAGCAATATGCAACAGCTGTCACAAACTTCTCTTCGTAATACAACTTATGGTGGAATTCTCCCTAATACGAGCTCTTCGTTCACCGGCTCTGGACGACTATTCCCGAAAGACATGAAATCGGAAACAGACGGATTTGATTTTGTACGAAAATCTAAATCGGATGCCTTCAGTTTTATCCAAGACGAAATCCTGGCCAGTAAACCAAAAACAAAATAATATTGAGTCGTGGAAATACTGTTGGCCAGCAGGAATAAACCTTAAATGAAGATATGATCATTCTTTCATAGGAATAAACCTTTTGGCAACAAATTACATCGTGTTTTTTTTAAAAAATTTCTATTATGTACAACATCTGCTTAAAAATAGCTCAATTTAATTCTATTCATTTAGAAACTAATCCAATATCTTTGCGGCATTTGAAAATATTTTGTTTCCTTTTACTGTAAAACAATAGACGCGTGAAAATCAGGGGAAATTGTTCCTTCTCAAATATCAGATTGACATCCTTAAGGCACATCACCCCGGACCAACATTTTTGAAAGTTGAATTCAATTTCGCGCTTGCTTATGTTATGATCGAGAATGAACAGTGAAAAAAATCATGATGGCTACTCCATGGCATTGATCTATATTGACTCATTCCTGAGTCAAGTGTTGGTCAATTAAAATGCTTATTCTTTTAGATTGATATCGAAATTTTGAAACACATGCTTTTTGTGTAATATCAAGGAGCAGTTTTAACGTTGAGTTAAAAAAAAGTCGAGAACGTGATGAAAAATTGAATATATCACGAAAAATACCAAGATCTTTTGACATCAGTTCCATGGAGACAAGTAAACCAAGGTAATTTGACTATGGTTTTTTCTTTTATTATTGTGACCTTTAAACTTATCTTCGAAATTGCGCATCTGCCATGAGCTTTTGTTGTTGGTGGTTTACTTTTATAATGGTGCCATGATAATAGACATTAACTTAAACGAACTTTTTATTCATGACATTGCTTAGAGAAAGGCAGGTGTCGTTACTAGAAAGAAAAAGACTCCTTTAAGCGTTCGGCCTTTTTTCATAATCAACATAGTTTGTCGTGCCTACGCAGTATTCCTAGAGCTATTATTACGATATATCTATAAAATATTTGTTGTTAATGTTGATTCGCATTGCTGCATTCACTGTTTTCTATGTAACATATACGTGTATTTTCATGAATACCATTGTTAGATAAAAAGATTTGAAAAATTCAACAACTTGACAATAAGTAAAAAATTATTTTTAATTTGACATTTGCGTCTGCGGTACATGGTTATCAGCGGTTTTCGCTCAATTAAAATTTCATGTTCGACAATTATGCAATTTTTTCATTTTGAACATCTTCGTGAACAAACTATTGCTTCCGAATAAGTAGATATTTAATATGGATGGTACATATCAACCAACAACAGAACCTACATCTCCAAATGAGCGTACAGGCTGTGGTTTTCGATCATTGTGGCAGCGCTCACGCGGTAGTCATGCTGTAAGTCTGACCGATTCTCAAAGCGATTCTGATGATGATGAAAACGCACAACCAAAAAAGTCGAAACGGGTTTCATCAAAAAAGAACTATAGGTATAATGTACTAAAGACGTCTCATAAAGCTTTAGTGCGTTTATATTTGTTTTTCGTTTATCAATGATTCAATAAGCGAAGTGTTCCTTGTGAAAACAGGTGTCGAAATATATAACATATCAATAATTACCTGGTATGAACGCGTTTTTCTACAGTAAACAACGTATTATCAACAAATATATAAATTAATGCCTTGCCTATTGTATCGTTTATCGTATAAAGTATTTTTGCTGGAATCACATTGTTATTTCATCGTGATTTCTACTGCTTAAAGAATGTCAGTAATATTGATGTTCTCATTATACGCCCTGTCATCATATTGTTGATATTTTATAATCTTAGCTTTATGGATGTTTGATGATAGTTAAGAATTAAAATAATCACAAAATTGAAGAAGAAAGCTCTCTGTCATGTAGATAGAATTAATTTTCAAGGCTTATTTGCGATTGAACTTGCCTAATTATCCATCGTAGATCAGTAAATCTTAATTATTGCCGAAAAGAGTAATATTATATTGTTTATTACACATCAAAATATGATTTCCTGTCTTTAAATGCATTCTTTTATTGTGTCTCAAGGCAATTTTTCTTTGTATGTATGTATAATGCGCATATTTTTACGGGTTTTTGGCAGTGTTGTATCAATTTAAATATTAATGGTTTCTTATGAACTCTTCAACTAATATTGCTTAAATATTTAATGAATTTTCCAAAACAAGTTCATGATCAAGCTTTGTATTTATTAATGTTAATCCGCTCCTTTGAATCACATGACTATGGTGATGTTTGCTAAACTATTGTATGTATTAGTTGGCAAAGATTAATTCAAACATTATTTCGATTCTAGACAATTATGTCGTCCATTGCCATGTATACCGGACCAAGCATCAGGTGAAGGACCCTCAAGGGCAGCTTCTAAGACCTCCCTGGGTAGTACCTTAGAAAGAGATGTTGAAACTGAGAAACAGTCACCTCCTGGAAGCAAATGGAATTTAGTGCGAAGGTACCAATATCTCATCCTCCAAAATGGCAACAGTTGTGAAATTAGGCTTTTTAATGTTTTGACTTTTTCATAGTAAAATCAAAAAAGGAACAGAGGATTTCTTTTGCATTTGTGAAGATGAACAACAACGTCAGTTGTTACAGCAAAAATGGATGGCTCGTCGTAAACGTTATTGTAGTAAAATGTATGGTCAACTAGTGAATCGTGATCAAGTGGATGGTGGTGCAACACCTGGCTATGGTAGTGCTCGTAGCAGCATTAGCCATCAGAATATTAATTCAATTGCTCCTGTCAATGCAGGACAAACACCAGTGTTGCAAAGGGCCAGGAGTCGCAAGGAATCTGTGGCTTCAATGGCTTGGCAAGGTCTTAAAGTTAGAATATTGGTGAGTGGTATTTGTAAAGATTAGTCAGTCTTGTTTTTTTAGCTCAATCATGTTTGCTATCATTGCTTATAACTCGTATTTTACATGGCAAATTTTCATTTTGCAAGGGGGGGGGGGTGTGTGACTTTGCAACAGCTCATATTTTCTTTGGTCAAATATTCATTTTGTTGGTGGTGTGAGGGGGTGTGACTTTCCAAGTACTCATATTTATGTATGGTCAATTTATTCATTTTACAGGGGGGTGACTTTCCAAGTACTCATATTTATGTATGGTCAATTTATTCATTTTACAGGGGGGTGACTTTCCAAGTACTCATATTTATGTATGGTCAATTTATTCATTTTACAGGGGGGTGACTTTCCAAGTACTCATATTTTTGTATGGTCAATTTATTCATTTGACAGGGGTGATGTTCCAAGTACTCATATTTTTGTATGGTCAATTTATTCATTTGACAGGGGGGTGACTTTCCAAGTACTCATATTTTTGTATGGTCAATTTATTCATTTTACAGGGGGGTAACTTTCCAAGTACTCATATTTTTGTATGGTCAATTTATCACTTTATAGGGGGGGTGATGTTCCAAGTACCCATATTTATGTATGGTCAATTTATTCATTTTACAGGGGGGTGACTTTCCAAGAGCAATGGCTCATGGAGATATGATTGGTAAAGGACGAAGTTTTGCTCCTGCAACTCTTGCTAATTTGACTCGTGATGAGGAAGATGGTGTATTTGAAAGTGCTGTAAGTGAAGTGACATCAAGATTAGTAATTTTTCATTAAGTAATCATTTCTTTCTTGCATCAGCCAAGCAGCCCGAAATCGTTCCGAGACATTGATGAGGTTTTCTTTGATTTCACCTCTGAGGCCTGCTTCCACCCAATCCTCCTTGCCTGCAATTAGGGAAGATGATGAGGTGGATGGACCAAGGTGAGTCATATGACTTGTAGTTGTGAATGTCTATAGAAGAGTTATTCTAAAAGAATGAATGTTTGTAATGCTGAATATACTTTATTGTTAACAATACCTGTTTTCCCATGTCTTTAAGATTTTCACTTATCTATACCTCATAAATGCCCTATATATACCCTCTACATACCTATATATACCCAATAAATACCTATATATACCCTCTAAATACCTATATATACCCTCTAAATACCTATATATACCCTCTAAATACCTATATATATACCTATATATACCCTCTACATACCTATATATACCCAATAAATACCTATATATACCCTCTAAATACCTATATATACCTCTACATACCTATATATACCCAATAAATACCTATATATACCCTCTAAATACCTATATATACCCTCTACATACCTATATATACCCAATAAATACCTATATATACTCTCTAAATACCTATATATACCCTCTAAATACTATATATACCCTCTACATACCTATATATACCCTCTAAATGCCCTATTTATACCCTGTTAATCCTTCATAGACAATCCATATTTTGTAGAGACAATGCTTCACCAAAGATCGACATTGTTCCTGAACTTCCAGAGAAATTTCGACAAGGAAATGTAAAAAGGAATTTTCCTCTGTCATTGCCAACTAGACATGGTGTTACACGACCACAGGAAGAACGAGGCCCGCTAACGGGTATTGTACCCTCCGATCCTGTACCCCGCTTTGGTCGACAGATCAGTACAGCAAGCCAGCGTGGTAATAGGATAAACAGGTTACCCCATGCACCACCAGTTCCTATATCCAGTAACAGACGACAAATTGGTAAAGGTTTAGTTGGACGATGGTTGAATCGTACCATTAAGAAGCAGCGACTTACGAGTGATGTGAAAGAGCAAATGAACAGTTTAGAAGATCATAGGTTTGTTTGTGTTATGATATGAATTTTATTTTCTTATCATCTGACTTTACATGTTACTGCACGTAATTTGTTAAAGTATAAATATTTTAAAAATACATTTTTGAAACAGACGTAACTTTACGTATGTACCGTGTTCGAATTCTCATTCTTTTGCTCAATCATTTATTTAAAATGGAAATACTCTAGGAAATTATCCTAAATCATTTTTTTACTCTCATTGTTCAGGCCATATTTCACCTACTGGATTTCATTTGTTCAAACAACAATTCTTATTATAACCTTGGCTGTATACGGCTTTGCTTCAGTTGGTTTCACAGTCACTGAACGTATTGAAACGGTAAAAAAACACGAAAATTCATATGAAAACGAAACATTTTTGTCGTTGGTTGTTTAAGTTGTTTGATGGTTTAGGTGCATCGAAGTCGCGGAGGTTATTTGACTCAAGAAAAAGTTGTGACTGAAATACCTGATAATTTTTGGATTGGTCCTTCTAGGGTAAGTTGATGTTGTAGTCCTAAGGAGGATTGTTTTTGTTGTTGTTGACTGACGTTTCGACAACCTTAGCGGTAGTCATCTTCAGAGTGATTTGACTCTGAAGATGACCACCGCTAAAGTTGTCGAAACGTCAGTCAACAACAACAAAAACAGTCCTTCTCAGGACTATACCAACCTGGACGATCTACATTTACAAACATGTAACGATACTCCCGGGTTCAAACCATTTACTTTATTGTAGTTATACTTGATTGTTTATGTACAGTTTATTGACTGTAACTATTACTTGATTGCAATTGAAATATGATTTTGTTTTCGTCAGGATGCGCTCATCCAACTCGGTGCAAAATATGCGCCTTGCATGAGAAAAGACAAAGAATTGAGTCGTTTGTTGAAGAAGGAAAGAAAAGAAGAAGCAGAAACTGGATGTTGCATTGGTACGGATCAAAATGGCTGTATACAAAAATCTCAAGAACAATGTAAGGTATGTTTTTATCAACTCATTTCTTTAATGAAAGTGTTTAGTTTTGAATGGTTATTTCTCAATTGTAAATTTAAAATACCTTCGACTGTCCCTAAATGTCCTTCAATATCCAATTTTTTCTCACATGAGGTAATTCTGGTACTGTCCCTAAATGTCCTTCAATATCCAATTTTTTCTCACATGATGTAATTCTGGTGTCTACGTATGATTTCTTCAGAGGACGTTTTCAACATTGCACAAATTCTCCGCCAACAACTCTTCAAGAGTCGTATGTGGTCAAGATCCTGAGTATGTTTTTAAAATATTTTTTCTTTTCATCCCTTCAAGTCTGATGCTTTAATAAAAGTTTGTTTGAAATTTCCAGATCGTGTCTTGATCCACCGTCCGTTAAACCGAACGAATGGCCTCCATTCGACATCACAAAATGGCCTGTAAGTTCATGAAAGTAACGTTTTATTTATGATAGTGCAAATATTGTGATGGCAAACAGTGTAAATTTTACAAAATGCATGTTTCTATAATTTTATATGCTACACGTTTTGTTTGTGTATCTTGGTTGATGCTCAACTTTGGTTGGTGAAGGTTTTACAAATATCAGCGAACTCAAGATTTATATACATATCTAGGCTTCAGTTAACATAAATTATATGGAGATCAGTGGAACATTATGTGGAACTCAACACATATAATATAAACATCAAGAACTAAATATATGTATATATAGATCAGTGACAAAGGCCAGCCAAACATTTACTCTTGCAATCCAAAATTTTCAGCAAAAATGTGATTCATTTCTTTAAAAATTAATTCCATTCATTTCTTTTCCCCCAGAAAAGTTATTTGCATTGTAGAAATTGAAGACTGACTTCGCTACTGATAATGAGTTTAGGAAATAACCAAGGTTAATGTCAGAGGAACGGCGCGCGCAGACTGAGAACGAGTATCACATATCGCATGCTATATACACGGACAGACATAGCATTAGGTCATCATTATTGACAGCTTGCACTAGAGTACAGCACAAAATTTTTTTCATTTTTCTTTCCCACCGAACTCGATTCGTTGTGAAGATGTAGACAGGGGGGTCAGGCTCTAAATGATTGGGATCACTTACGAACCTGAACTCCAGGTTAGTCAAGTACAAACCGACCCCTCCCCCCTGATCGTAAAAATATTCATGATCACCTTAGATACGTATGTAATTGATGAACTATTTAACTTTGACGATGAACAGAAGTTGCACAAAAAAAGTTACGATGTATTTTATTTGAAGGTATGCAAAAAGCTGTCAGACGAAACAAAAAACGACTCAAATTATGCCCATTTGAGCTGTCGTATTACTGGTCGGCCATGTTGCATACGTGATCAAGCTGAATGTCGTATAATCAGCAAAGAATATTGTGATTTTTTACATGGTGTGTACCATGAAGAGGCAACTCTTTGTTCACAGGTATACTACAATGTACTACTTGGTAATTTCACGTTGTTTCCTTGCTAAAGATATAAGTCGTCTTTTCTTTCGTTTGTTAACGAAACGTTTTCCTTTCCATTCATTCATTCTAGGTTGACTGTCTTGGGGCTACCTGTGGTCTTTTACCGTTCTCCAATCCAGAAACGCCAGATCAGATTTACAGATTGTGGCTTTCCTTGTTTTTACATGCTGGGTAGGTTTGACTTAAGTTGGTTTAAGTTGATGAAGGTACATTATAATGGTCGTATGCTTGTTGTAAGATCCCTGTAGGATGACTTATAGAAATCTTGAAAAAATCATTATTGCTAACTTTAGCCCCTCTTCTTTTCCGAGGTATCTACGTATGTTGAGCCTACAATGTTGTTTATATCTTTGTTCGTAGGATACTTCATTTATGCATTACTCTAATCTTTCACTTCACAATCTTGAAGGATATGGAAAAATTTGCTGGATGGTTTAGGATAGCTATAATTTATATATTCAGTGGAATGGGAGGTAATCTTTTGAGCGCTTTGGTCACACCATATCAACCAGAGGTAAGTCTTTCATTTCGAAAACTGGTCTACTCTCGGGGAAACTAAAATCGTAAAGTTGAATTGAAAAAGTTCCATGCCATTATATATTATCTAAGAAACAAAAGATTATTACTGTGTTTGCACAGGCTTATGCAAACCGAGGAAACCTTTGTGAGAACTCAAGAGCAGATCAGTGCAAGCCCGAGACCGAAGGTCGAGAGTTTTCACAAATGTCTCCGAGGTTTGCATAAGCCAGTGCAAACACGAAAAACATCTTTTATTTCATTTATAAAATAACAATAATGCAAAACAGACAAATTTAAAGTAAACATTTTAATTTTTCCTCTAAAATGTATTCATGATCGATTTGCAAATTCTTTTTGACTGACTGATTGATTGTAATGGTTGATTTCATTGGTTGAGCTCAGATGTGTTTTGCAGTGGCTAATGCAAACACAGCTGTAGACCAATCAGCGCACGCGTTTCATTGTGTTTAGTTTATAAAATATCATGAAAGATTTATATTGTTATTTTTGTGACTTCTAGGTTGGTCCTTCGGGCGCTCTGTTTGGTATTATAGCTTGCTTATTGGTTGAACTTGTTCAAAACTGGCAAATCATCAAGACACCTTTGAAAAACGCCATAAAATTAGTTGTATTAACATTTATATTGTTGCTTGTTGGTTGTCTTCCTTGGGTGGATAACTTTGCTCATCTTGGGGGTTTGCTGTTCGGTATTTTACTTGGTTTTGCCTTTTTACCCTACATAACTTTTGGCGTATGGGATCGTCGTCGTAAGATCATTCAAATCGTTGTTTCCCTTGGTTTGAGCATCGCTATATTCACTATTTTATGTATTCTGTTTTTTGTCGACCAGAAAAGCACTTGTTCCGGCTGTCATTATTTGAATTGCATTCCATTGACGGAGAATTTTTGCTCTCCCGCGCTTGGCGGTCGGGGACTGAGCCCTAGAATTACTGATCGATGAAGAAAATGATTTTTTGGAGCATTAAGAACGAGTAAGGATTGACTGGGGATCAACGACATGTTCATTGAATTGCACGTAGTTCACTGAACTATTGTGGATATATTTGGACATCGTGACTTTAAATGGATGTGGAGGAGCCGTTCAAGTGGACACAGGTCAAATAATTTGTAAAAATACCAGAGGTGGTAAAGATGTATATATATGGTTACATTTGACGATTTATGTTGATTTATTGATATTACGAACAATGACGTCATGTTAAAATCAATTCATCAGTTAATCAGTTAGTTCAAAAACAAGCAATGGATATCTTAGAACGATGATGGATTTTTGAGTACAGTAAAGAATGATTGAAAGGTGGTCTATGGAGAGTACTAAAGAGATGTTAAAGGACATCAATTGATATTTGTTCACTCGGGCAGCTGAGAGGTATGGAGAGAAGATTGACATTTTGGTCTTTTCTGACAATGAATTCATCAAATACATTAATTGCCAAAGGATAAATTTTTACGTCTTGCATATTTTTCCTAAAACCTGTAAATAATTATTTTTCTTAATGGAAAATTCGAAAATTTTCAACTTGACAAAAACGAAGAACTGACGTTTCTGTTGTCGACATTTTTCGTCTTGATGTTGTGTGCTATTGTCACATGGTGTTGTGTCTTATTCACGTGCTAATCATGTGCATTGTCTTCAAAGCCGACATGCGCTAATAAAATCTCTGGTTTCGTTTTTTATAAACAAATATGTTTATTATTTTATTTTACGTGTAAAGTTTGGCCGATGATTCCAAATTGTTCAAAATCTACATAGCCACATGTTGAACTGTTTTCGTTTTGACACATTCAACTACAGAAGAAAAAAATGATAAATTGAATAAATGTAAAATTATAAAAGATGACCCTTGAATATAGATACGTGACCTGTATCGTCCTCTTACTTGTGTTCATACATATGTATGTAAGTTGTTGTTGTTCCAGATGGCAAATCCTTCAAGGAATATTTCGTGTTTTATTTTGTCCTTTTTACTAACGGCGTCATTTAGTAAGTTACGTATACAATACATATTTTTAATCCTGGTTTGTTAGTATTTGTCTTTGGAATCGCAAGAATCGGCTATTTATTTCATATCAGGCTGACTAACTCATGCATTCCAGATGTCCTGTATAACTAAATTTCTGGTTTATTATATTTCTAACATCGTGGAAGACCTAAGACGTACATATGACATAGTGTAAATTCAATTGATTTATGTAGAGGGCTCATACAGTTGCACTTATTCTTTATAGTAGCGAAGTCAGCCCGTTTTACTCCAATACAAATATTTTTGTATTCATTCACTGGACAAACAACAAACAAAATTATTTTTTACTCTGGTTTTAACTCAAAAATTTGCATTATCCAAACACTTTGAACTTTGCTACTAAATGCAAATTATTATCGTGAAAGTTCAGGGCGAATTGCTTTGATAGCTTGATTGAAAATCAAAAGTTATTCTTTAACATTGCACCCAGAGCAGCAGCAGATAATATCAGATTATCTGTAATCATAAACTTTAATACCTGTTGGTTTTTACAATAAATTATATACTGAAAATTAAATAATAAAAATTGTATAATAAATATTATACCATAAAAATGATGCAAGTCTTGCAGAATGTTGAGTAGCGTTTTCCCATGGGTATAGCATGTCATCTACACATGCAAATGCTCCCTATGTCTAAAGGTATTATAAAATCTATAGTTGGCAAAATACTTACTTTCCAAAGAGGCAGTCATCCTTATAAAAATTGGCCACATTGCAGAGAACGCAATTTTGCTCCCAACATTTGTCAAGTGACAAGTTTTGGTGCCCCTGAGTTGTAAAACAGAAAACAGAAAACTAACACAATTTAAGGTGTTTATGTACATTTGTACACTTGAGTCTGTCCATTGGTTGATTTCTTCCAGCTTTCTGCCCCTGAGATCTTTGCAAAAACAGACATACTCTGAAGGTTGTGTCAAGTTGGAATATTTGTTGTCTGATCTTTTAAATACTAATTAGAATCATTTTATTCCGCATTTTAAATGTGCTTGAACTTAAAAAGTCTTTCAGAATTTAACAATGAATATATCAAAATTATCTTCCAAACCTTGCAATTGTCATCATGTATAAATTGCATAAATAAATTTTGTATAGTTCTATTCTTGAGTGCAAAGTTGACATCTAAGATCGATGTTCTTATTCCATCCCACCATGGAACATATTACAGTTAGTACAACCTCAATCCCAAGCAAATTTGTATTCTACTTTTGATATGGTTTTTCTAACAAATCCACTTTTATTTTTTGTTTATATTCATTGTATAGGTCAATATTTGGATGCAAGGTCAACATACAAGATAGGCGTTCTTATTCCATTTAATAATGGTGAATATTGTCCAAGTTATGCTGTAGATCATTCCCAAGGGCTGTTGTATGCTCCTGCTATACAAGTAGCAATGGAGGACATTAAAAAGGACAAGACATTAAACTTTAACATAAATTTGGTGTGGAATGACACATATTGTGATGAATTTCTCAGTATAAAACAGCAAATTTGGCAACTTAGTAATGGTGTTGATGTGTTTGTTGGACCATTTCTTAATTGTCTGACAGCAGCCAACATTGCTTCTGCTTTTAATAAACCAATGATGTCTTTTGTAAGTATGAATTTCATAATTATAATTAAAGACAACTGCTTTAGTAGTCAAAACTTAGATAGAACATTTTTGTTTGGTGCTATGAGATGCCACTTAGGTTGTCCAAAACTAGATGTGGTGGAAGATTGGGTTACTGAAAAATCGTGTTTCAAAATTTTGTTTAACATTTTTAACAATCTTTAGGTAATTTTTAAAGCATAATGCTAACATATTTAAACAAAACTGCACTCCATAATTTTTTGCTACTTTACTGACTTAAATACATCTCAAGTAATTTTTTAAATGCACAATTAACTTAAGTTACCTTAAAATCTTTAACAAAAATGTGGTTAGGTTACCAAAATTTTGGACAGCCTGCATTGGTTTGCGGCTTGATTGTTAAATATATACAGCTTAAAAGGAATTATTGTATATGCACACCTTGTGGGCTTGTAACAAGTGGCTATATAGACATGTTCAGGGAAAGAGATAATTTTCCCTACCAAATGATTATAAACAAACAAACAAACAAACAACATTTGTATTCCGGCCAGTATTAATCCCCGCCAGGGGGGTTGACCGGTCCATGAACTTTCCTACGCCAAACGTCTCTATCTCTCGCCATATCTCTCGTTATACCATCGCCTTCATATCACTCTTCACAGCATCCATCCATCTCCTTCTCGGTCTACCTCGTTTGCGGACTCCATCAACATTCATATGCAACGTTCTACGAATTTCAGCACTTTCTTCCCTCCTTTCCACATGCCCAAACCACCTCAAACGCTGGCGCCTTACCCAATTCTCGATACAGTCAACACCAACTCTTTCTCTAATCTCTTCACTTCGAATCCTATCCATCAACGTTACACCACACATCATCCTAAGCATTCTCCTTTCCGTCGACGCCAATCTTCTCAGGTCCTCTGCTTTCGGCGCCCAACACTCTGCTCCATATCCCAAAACACTTCTAACACATGCCTTGTACAATTCTCCCTTCTGCTTCAACGAAGTCGACTTTCCGCACAACATTCCCGACAACTCTCTAAAACTCCACCACGCTGCTTGAACTCTGTTCCTCACCGCTTGCTCGCACCCTCCACCATAATTTAACACGTCGCCCAGATATTTAAACTCCGATACACCTTCCAAACTCACGTCACCCAGTTCAAACCGTTCAATCGCGACTCGCCCACCACTTCGACACGTCCCGCACTCAAAATCAGTTACTCTTGTCAATGCACCACGGACACCTGAACATCTTCCATGAACCCACTTACTGCATTTCCCACACATTATCGAATTCACTCCAACTCTTTTCCACACACACCACATGGCCATTTATCACTGTCCTTCACCTCCACCTGCCTCGAGCATCTCATGCCCTTCGTCTTTGCCTCATTCACTTTCAGTCCCTTGACTTCTATTGCCGTTTTCCATTCTCGGTACCATTCCATGACTTTCTGCTTCGACTCCGCCACCAAGACAATGTCATCTGCATACAATAAACACCAGCATCCTTTTCTTCTCATTTCCTCTGTCAGTACATCCATCACACAAGCAAACAGTAACGGCGACAAGACTGAATCTTGATGAACACCAACTTTTACCTCAAAAACACCAGATCTAACACCTTCCTCCGTAACCACCGCCTCTACACCTTCATAAGTCTCCATAACTGCCCGAACCATATTCTCTGTCACACCTTTCTTACGCAGCGCGTACTCGATCACCTTTCTCGGAACTCTATCAAACGCCTTCTCCAAATCTACAAACACCATATACAATTCTCTGTCCTTCTCCAAAATTTCTCCTGCAGCTGCCTCAACACAAAACACGCATCCGTCGTTCCTCTCCCCGGTATGAATCCATACTGCTCTTCCCCATCCGAACAACTTCCTCAACCTTCTTTCAAACACTCTCTACTATCTTCAACGCATGCTCCATCAGCTTAATAGTCCTGTAATTCCCACATACCGTCGTTGCTCCTTTTCCTTTGTACAGCGGGACCACTAGACTCTTTCTCCATGTACTCGGCATCTTTGAGCCCCTCAAAACCTCGTTCGCTACATTACACAACTCTCACGCATAGTTCATTGTCCAACATTTCGCTACCCACTTCACTCGGTCCTCGCCTTTCCTTTCTTCATCTTGCGCAGAGCCGCCGCCACCTCATCAACAGTCACTGTTTCCAACGGCCCCAAAACTTCATCCGCTTCAACTTCTCCATTCCACTCATTCTCTACATTCATCAAACGGTCACAGTACGCCCTCCACACTTCTAACCTGTCTTCCAATAACACCTTCAACTCCCCATCGTGGTTCTGCACGCCGGGAGCACCAAAATATCGTTCCTCTCCTTCTGCTCCTTCTAGCCGTTCTAAACAACGCTTTTCGTCCATTCTCCTGCATTTTACGAAGCTCTTTCTGATGCCTTTCTATCGCTTTAGCCACCTCCTTTCGCGCCTTTTTCTTGAACCGGATGTAATCGATCCTATCTGCTTCAGTCCGCGACTTTCTCCACCTTTTAAATGCCAATTTTCGCGCCAATCACTTCGCTGACTCGTTGATCCCACCACCATGCCTGTTCTTCTACTACACCGCCTTTATTTCTACAACATACCTTCTCCGCTGCCGTTAAAACACCTTTCTCCAGCACGTCCATCGCTCCTCCACCGTCTCACCTCAACATTCAATGTCGCAATTTCGTCACGGAAACACTGCTTCCCTTCATTCGATCAACTTCCATAGCTTAAGCCTGCCTTTACCCTCAACCTTTCTCCTCTTCACCTTCCTGATTCTCCAGTCCATGACCAGCAGCTTGTGCTGGTCACATTCTTCTCCTGCAATCACTTTTGCATCCTTCACGTTTTCCTCTCTTCATTCACCAGTATATAATCCACCACCGTCCTACTGTCACCAGATTCATACGTCACAAGCTTGCTTTCTTCCTTTATAAACCACGTATTCACTACCACCATCCCACAACTCGCTGCTAACTCCAATATCGCCTCGCCTTCAGCATTCATATCACCAACTCCAAAACCTCCATGCGCACAGTATCCTTTTCTTACGCTTCCCACATGACCGTTCCAATCACCAAGCATCACACATCGCCCTCTAATGTCTGCTCTCACTGCATACACGCTGTCGTAGAACTTTTCCTTCTCCTCCGCACTTCGTCCAACCTGCGGAGCATACACCACAACGAAACTCACAACTTCGGCCTCAATAACTACATCAACTCTCAGGACTCTGTCCGAAACTCTCTTCACTGCTACAACCGACCAAATGATTATATGATAACAATATATAAACTATGAGCCTCACATTGAAGTAACCACTAAAAGCCAACAACATTCTTATGATCTCCACAAATTTGTGTTTAAGGCATGTTTAGATAGTCAAACAATTGGGAATATAAATACTGTCTCAAAAACATCACTTTCAATCATGCATATCTATCCTCCATTGATGGCTGTTTTAAAGAAGTTTAACTGGAAGAAAGTAGCAATAGTTTATCAGAAAGATGGCTCTAATTGGGAATGTATTTATGATTATGTTCATAAGAAAATGAATAGACATGAAAAAGTCACAATTACATTGGTTGAAGATCATGAGGTTGATTATCGAAAATTTCATAATAACGATTATAGCCATGTTCGTAAATCTGTTAAAAAGATTAGTCAACAAGCTCGAAGTAAGTAAAATTTCATAATTATTTTAATCTTTAATTTAAATATAGAAACTAAATTTAACACATTCATATTTTTAAATAAAGCTTTATACTTATTAAGACTTTTCTATAAATGTTTATTTTAGTTGTGATTTTGTTAACCGAGCATCATTTGACTGTTGAGTATGTCTTGGCTGCGTATGAAGAGAAATTAATTCAAACTGGGGAATATGTTTTTATTTGCTTTCAACTAAATCTACAGGGAACTTTTAAAAGGGTTTGTAAACTTATTAAATTTACCTCTGTAGCAATAACATATAGTCTCAATCAAGTATTACTTTAACCTTTTTTGCTGTTTCATCTCTCTCTTTTATATACATCTCTCTCTACTGTAGACATCTTTCTTTACTGTTGACATCTTTCTCTACTGTAGACATCTCTCTCTACTGTAGACATCTTTCTCTACTGTAGACATCTTTCTCTACTGTAGACATCTTTCTTTACTGTAGACATCTTTCTCTACTGTAGACATCTTTCTCTACTGTAGACATCTTTCTCTACTGTAGACATCTCTCTACTGTAGACATCTTCTCTACTGTAGACATCTTTCTCTACTGTAGACATCTCTCTACTGTAGACATCTCTACTGTAGACATCTCTCTACTCTCTACTTTCATCTCTACTGTAGACATCTTTCTCTACTGCAGACATCTCTCTCTACTCTCTCTACTCTCTCTCTCTAGACATCTTTCTCTACTGTAACATCTTCTCTTTTTCTACTTTTCTTTCTCTACTGTAGACATCTTTCTTCTAAGAGTTTTCTCTCTTTCTCTACTGTGACATCTTTACTGTGACATCTCTTCCACTGTCTCTCCATCATCTTTCTCTACTGACATCTTTCTCTACTGTTGACATCTTTCTCTACTGTTGACATCTTTCTCTACTGTTACCACTCTCTCCACAGATCTCTCACCTTTCTCTACTGTTGACATCTTTCTCTACTGTTGACATCTCCACTGTTCACATCTTCTACCACATCTCCACTGTCTCTACTGTTGAAATCTTTCTCTACTGTTGACATCTTTCTCTACTGTTGACATCTTTCTCTACTGTTGACATCTTTCTCTACTGTTGTTGTCATCTTCACTGACATCTCCACTGTAGACATCTTTCTCTACTGTTGACATCTTTCTCTACTGTTGACATCTTTCTCTACTGTTGACATCTTTCTCTACTGTTGACATCTTTCTCTACTGCAGACATCTCTCTACTGTAGACATCTTCTCTACTGTAGACATCCTCCACTCTCTCACTGTAGACATCTTTCTCTACTGTTGACATCTTTCTCACATCTTTCTCTACTGCATCTTTCTCTACTGTACATCTTCTCTACTGTAGACATCTCTCTACTACATCTTTCTCTACTGTAGACATCTTTCTCTACTGTAAACATCTTTCTCTACTGTAAACATCTTTCTCTACTGTAATAATCTCTCTCTACTGTAAACATCTCTCTCTGTAGACATCTCTCTCTGTAACATCTTTCTCTACTGTAGACATCTTTCTCTACTGTAGACATCTTTCTCTACTGTAGACATCTTTCTCTACTGTAGACATCTTTCTCTACTGCAGACATCTTTCTCTACTGTAGACATCTTTCTCTACTGTCATCTTTCTCTACTCTTCTTCTCTACTGTTGACATCTTTCTCTACTGTAGACATCTTTCTCTACTGTAGACATCTTTCTCTACTGTTGACATCTTTCTCTACTGTTGACATCTTTCTCTACTGTAGACATCTTTCTCTACTGTTCTCTACTGTTGAAATCTCTACTGTTGACATCTTTCTCTACTGTAAACATCTTTCTCTACTGTAAACATCTCTACTGTAAACATCTTTCTTCTCTATGTAAACATCTTTCTCTACTGTAGACATCTTTCTCTACTGTAGACATCTCTCTCTACTGTAGACATCTTTCTCTACTGTAGACATCTTTCTCTACTGTAGACATCTTTCTCTATTGTAGACATCTTTCTCTACTGTAGACATCTTTCTCTACTGTGGACATCTTTCTCTACTGTAAACATCTTTCTCTACTATAGACATCTTTCTCTACTGTAGAAATCTTTGTCTACTGTTGACATCTTTCCCTACTGTAGACATCTCCCTACTGTAGACATCTTTCTCAACTGTAGACATCTTTCTCTACTGTAGACATCTTACTCTACTGTAGACATCTTTCTCTACTGTAGACATCTCTCTCTACTGTAGACATCTCTCTCTACTGTAGACATCTTTCTCTACTGTAGACATCTCTCTCTACAGTCGACATCTCTCTCTATTGCAGACAATTGTTTTTAAAGAATTTTCATGTCTCCTTGTTACAGAGCCAGATAAAATGGTATTTCAGGGGATTCTCCAGTATCATTAAATTAGAAGAAATTATGGATGCTTTTGGATCTGTGTTGATAATTCAACCGCGTGTTGGTTCTTATGGGTTTAAAACCACTGATCGTTATGAAAAATTTTCAAATAAAGTGAAAAAACTCAGCTTATATCCTCCATTTAAGAGCAGAGGGTATACAGGATGCATGGTGTGCAAGAATTCATTCCAACTTGGATGCTGTACGTTTCTGTTTTATGATATTTTTTATAAGAGCTTAATGATGTAAGATGTTTTCGAAATCTTCTGTTCATTAAAGTTTTCTAATGTTTGCAATGAATCAGAAAATTGCTTTCTGTTCTTAAGAAATTTTTATCTTTTTACAGCTATGCAAGACTGTAAAGTTCCATTGAACGAAAGTGACGTAAGTGTCCTAATTTTGATTGCTATTCCTTATTAATTCCTTCTAAGTCGTTCATCATCATTGTTGAATTTTGTATTTTGTCGTCTTTAGGTACCAATAGAAGCTGGTAATTTATATAATGCCATTCGAGAGTATGTGTATGCATTAAACAAGACGTTAGCCAAAGGTGAAGAACCAAATGGAAGAAATATCATCGCCAACTTGAAAGGACATACATTTGACAGTAAGTAAAGCTGAGACTATCTTTAATACAATTTTAGTGTGTTTTTCTAGATATAAATTTTAGAAGAACCAATGATTTTATTTCTTAACACAAGGTATTTAGTATGTTTTGAGTAAGGGGAGATCTTTTAGCTCCAAACATCAATATGCTGTGATAGCACCTCTGCAATAGTTGATGCTCCTTGATTCCTAGTAACATTTTGTAAATATTCTAGAGTAATTTAGTCTAACTTATTATTTATGAGACACTATTATGTCCATTAATAAAAACTTTGTTTCACTAAAAAACGATTGTAAATAGAATCAAGCAAATAGAAATAGGTAAAATAAGTTTGTTTTAAATGGTTCTTGTAATGTTTGAAGTAGAAAGGATAAGATTTCTCTTTATTTTTGTAGTGTTTTCTGGCGACCAAAGTATCAACATAACTAAAATATCGCTGGCACTTTACTTGTTTAGGTGTTTTTGGTTTTAAAATGACATTTGATAACTCTTCCAACGTCATATTTAACATGACGTTGTTACATCAAGAATATGCAAATGGAACGAAAGAGAAGAGCAAATGTGAACCATTTGATGCAATGAATCCTTGTAAAGGTAATGATATTGATATGGTGATTTGAATTAACAAACTTAAAGCATGAGTGATGTAATTTATCCATGAATAGTTATGAAAGAATTGGCGAGTTTTTGGTTGAATGAGAAAGACCATGATGAAGAGATTTATCATGGTCTCAAAGAGAAGATCGCGTGGTATGGAGGCTTAGGCATTCCGAAGGATACACCAGATTGTGGATTTAACAACGAGTTATGTAGAAACAAAAAAAAATCCAACAGTAAGTTTGTGATCTATCATCTGTCAGTTTAGAAGCAATGTAAATTTATATTTCTTAACTGCTTCATCGCTCTCATCGATTGTCATTTTAATTTCTGTGAAATTTTCTTTTAGATTGGATTAAAATAGCAGGAATAATTTGTGGTGCTTTTGCTGTGTTCATTTTACTCTTCATTGTTTTAGTCCTTGTATTCAGGTAGAAAAGCGATTTCTTTTATAACACTTTTTATTCGTTATTTTCATATTTTAACGACAAAGGTTTCGTATGAATATATATGGAAGATTATGTATGGATTGATATGGATGATTATGTATGGATAGATATGGATGATTATGTATGGATAGATATGGATGATTATGTATGGATAGATATGGATGATTATGTATGGATAGATATGGATGATTATGTATGGATAGATATGGATGATTATGTATGGATAGATATGGATGATTATGTATGGATAGATATGGATGATTATGTATGGATAGATATGGATGATTATGTATGGATAGATATGGATGATTATGTATGGATAGATATGGATGATTATGTATGAATAGATATGGATGATTATGTATGGATAGATATGGATGATTATGTATGGATAGATATGGATGATTATGTATGGATAGATATGGATGATTATGTATGGATAGATATGGATGATTATGTATGGATAGATATGGATGATTATGTATGGATAGATATGGATGATTATGTATGGATAGATATGGATGATTATGTATGGATAGATATGGATGATTATGTATGGATAGATATGGATGATTATGTATGGATAGATATGGATGATTATGTATGGATAGATATGGATGATTATGTATGGATAGATATGGATGATTATGTATGGATAGATATGGATGATTATGTATGGATAGATATGGATGATTATGTATGGATAGATATGGATGATTATGTATGGATAGATATGGATGATTATGTATGGATAGATATGGATGATTATGTATGGATAGATATGGATGATTATGTATGGATAGATATGGATGATTATGTATGGATAGATATGGATGATTATGTATGGATAGATATGGATGATTATGTATGGATAGATATGGATGATTATGTATGGATAGATATGGATGATTATGTATGGATAGATATGGATGATTATGTATGGATAGATATGGATGATTATGTATGGATAGATATGGATGATTATGTATGGATAGATATGGATGATTATGTATGGATATATGGATGATTATGTATGGATAGATATGGATGATTATGTATGGATATGATATGGATGATTATGTATGGATAGATATGGATGATTATGTATGGATAGATATGGATGATTATGTATGGATAGATATGGATGATTATGTATGGATAGATATGGATGATTATGTATGGATAGATATGGATGATTATGTATGGATAGATATGGATGATTATGTATGGATAGATATGGATGATTATGTATGGATAGATATGGATGATTATGTATGGATAGATATGGATGATTATGTATGGATAGATATGGATGATTATGTATGGATAGATATGGATGATTATGTATGGATAGATATGGATGATTATGTATGGATAGATATGGATGATTATGTATGGATAGATATGGATGATTATGTATGGATAGATATGGATGATTATGTATGGATAGATATGGAAGATTATGTATGGATAGATATGGATGATTATGTATGGATAGATATGGATGATTATGTATGGATAGATATGGATGATTATGTATGGATAGATATGGATGATTATGTATGGATAGATATGGATGATGGATGTATGGATGATATGATGATGATGATATGTATGGATAGATATGGATGATTATGTATGGATAGATATGGATGATTATGTATGGATAGATATGGATGATTATGTATGGATAGATATGGATGATTATGTATGGATAGATATGGATGATTATGTATGGATAGATATGGATGATTATGTATGGATAGATATGGAAGATTATGTATGGATAGATATGGATGATTATGTATGGATAGATATGGATGATTATGTATGGATAGATATGGATGATTATGTATGGATAGATATGGATGATTATGTATGGATATATATGGATAATTATGTATGGATAGATACGGATGATTATGTATGGACAGATATGGATGATTACGTATGGATAGATATGGAAGATTATGTATGAATAGATATGGATGATTATGTATGGATAGATATGGATGATTATGTATGGATAGATATGGATGATTATGTATGGATAGATATGGATGATTATGTATGGATAGATATGGATGATTATGTATGGATAGATATGGATGATTATGTATGGATAGATATGGATGATTATGTATGGATAGATATGGATGATTATGTATGGATAGATATGGATGATTATGTATGGATAGATATGGATGATTATGTATGGATAGATATGGATGATTATGTATGGATAGATATGGATGATTACGTATGGATAGATATGGATGATTATGTTATGATTCCGTTGTTTTTCTTTCTTTTTTTTGTAGACGATACTGCAAGAAAAACAATTCAGATTTTTCTTTTTCTTTCAAAAATCAACGAAGCACGGTATTAATATGTGATTATCTTTTTCATTCGGTAAACATTATATTTTTATGAAAAAACACGATGAATTATGATTTCATTACAGGATGAAGAATTGTTACACTCACAGTGAAATATGAAGAAAACATCAAAGTTTCATGACATGTCGTAGGTACAAATAGGAAGAAAAAGATCTCTTGTGAAGTGACTTTTTTCTTGTCAAAATTTAATGACTTGAATAATTTCAAAATTTGAAGTCCCCAGATTTAAAATATAAAAGTGTTGTAAGTATGTAATCATAAATACAAAATGTAAAAAAGAATAGTTAGATTATGTATGAATGAAGCTAACATCAGAACTTTAAAAATGTATATATATGAATATATTTGACGATTTATGTTGATTTATAGATATTACGAACAATGACGTCATGTTAAAATCAATTCATCAGTTAATCAGTTAGTTCAAAAACAAGCAATGGATATCTTAGAACGATGATGGATTTTTGAGTACAGTAAGAAATGATTGAAATGTGGTCTATGGAGAGTACTAAAGGGATGTTGAAGGACATCAATTGATATTTGTTCACTCGGGGAGCTGAGAGGTATGGAGAGAAGATTGACATTTTGGTCTTTTCTGACAATGAATTCATCAAATACATTAATTGCCAAAGGATAAATTTTTACTTCTTGCATATTTTTCATAAAACCTGTAAAAAATTGTTTTTCTTAATGGAAAATTTGAAAATTTTCAACTTGACAAAAACGAAGAACTGACGTTTCTGTTGTCGACATTTTTCGCCTTGATGTTGTGTGCCATTGTCACATGGTGTTGTGTCTTATTCACGTGCTAATCATGTGCATTGTCTTCAAAGCCGACATGCGCTAATAAATCTCTGGTTTCGTTTTTTATAAACAAATATATTTATTATTTTATTTTACGAGTAAAGTTTGGCAAATGATTCCAAATTGTTTAAAATCTACATAGCCACATGTTGAACTGTTTTCGTTTTGACACATTCAACTACAGAAGAAGAAACGATAAATTGAATAAATGTAAAATTATAAAAGATGACCCTTGAATATAGATACGTGACCTGTATCGTCCTCTTACTTGTGTTCATACATATGTATGTAAGTTGTTTTTGTTCCCGATGGCAAATTCTTCAAGAAATATTTCTTGTTTTATTTTGTCCTTTTTACTAATGGCGTCATTTAGTAAGTTACGTATACAATACATATTTTTAATCCTGGTTTGTTAGTATTTGTCTTTGGAATCGCAAGAATCGTCTATTTATTGCATATCAGGCTGACAAACTCATGCATTCCAGATGTCCTGTATAACAAAATTTCTGGTTTATTATATTTCTAACATCGTGGAAGACCTAAGACATACATATGACATAGTGTAAATTCAATTGATTTATGTGGAGTGGCTCATACAATTGCACTTATTCTTTATAGTAGCGAAGTCAGCCCGTTTTACTCCAATACAAATATTTTTGTATTCATTCACTGAACAAACAACAAAGAAAATTATTTTTTACTCTGGTTTTAACTCATAAATTTGCATTGTCCAAACATTTTGAACTTTGCTACTGAATGCAAATTATTATCGTGAAAATTCAGGGCGAATTGCTTTGATAGCTTGATTGAAAATCAAAATTTATTCTTTAACATTGCCCCCATAGCAGCAGCAGATAATATGAGATTATCTGTAATCATGAACTTTATTACCTGTTGGTTTTTTTGCAATAAATTATATACTGAAAATTAAATAATAGAAATTGTATAATAAATATTATACCATAAAAATGATGGCTGTCTTGCAGAATGTTGAGTAGCGTTTCCCCATGGGTATAGCATGTCATCTACACATGCAAATGCTCCCTATGTCTAAAGGTATTATAAAATCTATAGTTGGCAAAATACTTGGCAGTCATCCTTATAAAAATTGGCCACATTGCAGAGAAGGCAATTTTGCCTCCAACATTTGTCAAGTGACAAGTTTTGGTGCCCCTGAGTTGTAAAACAGAAAACAGAAAACTAACACAATTTAAGGTGTTTATGTACATTTTCACACTTGAGTCTGTCCATTGGTTGATATCTTCCAGCTTTCTGCCCCTGAGATCTCTGCAAAAACAGACATACTCTGAAGGTTGTGTCAAGTTGGAATATTTGTTCTCTGATCTTTTAAATAGTAATTAGAATGATTTTATTCTGCATTTTAAATGTGCTTGAACTTAAAAAGTCTTTCAGAATTTAACAATGAATATATCAAAATTATCTTCCAAACTATGCAATTGTCTGTATTTAATTTTTTTTTTTATATAAATTGCATAAATAAATTTTGTATATTTGCATTCTTGAGTGCAAAGTTGACATATAAGGTCGGTGTTCTTATTCCATTCCACCATGGAACATATTGTCCACATTTGGTACAACCTCAATCCCAAGCAAATTTGTATGCTATTTTTGATATGATTTTTCTAACAAATCCACTTTTATTTTTTGTTTATATTCATTGTATAGGTCAATATTTGGATGCAAGGTCAACATACAAGATAGGCGTTCTTATTCCATTTAATAATGGTGAATATTGTCCAAGTTATGGGCTGTTGTATGCTCCTGCTATACAAGTAGCAATGGAGGACATTAAGAAGGACAAGACATTAAACTTTAACATAAATTTGGTGTGGAATGACACATATTGTGATGAATTTCTCAGTATAAAACAGCAAATTTGGCAACTTACTAATGGTGTTGATGCGTTTGTTGGACCAGTTCTTAATTGTCTGACAGCAGCCAACATTGCTTCTGCTTTTAATAAACCAATGATGTCTTTTGTAAGTATGAATTCCATAATTATAATTAAAGACAACTGCTTTAGTAGTCAAAACTTATATAGAATATTTTTGTTTGGTGCTATGAGATGCCACTCAGGTTGTCCAAAACTAGATGTGGTGGAAGATTGGGTTACTGAAAAATTGTGTTTCAAGATTTTGTTTAACATTATTAACAATTTTAGGTAATTTTTAAAGCACAATGCTAACATATTTAAACAAAATTGCCCTCCATAATTTTTTGCTACTTTACTGACTTAAATACATCTCAAGTAATTTTTTAAATGCACAATTAACTTAAGTTACTGTAAAATCTTTAACAAAAAATGTGGTAAGGTTACCAAAATTTTGGACAGCCCGCACTGGTTTGCAGCTTGAGTGTTAAAAATATACAGCTTAAAAGGAATTATTGTATATGCACACCTTGTGGGCTTGTACCAAGTGGCTATATAGTCGTGTGCGGGGAAAGAGATAATTTTCTCTACCAAATGATTATTTGATAACAATATATGAACTATGAGCCTCACATTGAAGTAACCACTAAAAGCCAACAACATTCTTATGATCTCCACAAATTTGTGTTTAAGGCATGTTCAGATAGTCAAACAATTGGGAATATAAATACTGTGGCCAAAACATCACTTTCAATCACGCATATCTATCATCCATTGATGGCTGTTTTAAAGAAGTTTAACTGGAAGAAAGTTGCGATAGTTTATCAGAAAGATGGCTCTAATTGGGAACATATTTATGATTATGTTCATAAGAAAATGAATAGACATGAAAAAGTCACAATTACATTGGTTGAAGATCATGAGGTTGATTATCAAAGATTTCATAATAACGATTATACCCATGTTCGTGAATCTGTCAAAAAGATTAGTCGAAAAGCTCGAAGTAAGTCAAATTTCATAATTATTTTAATCTTTAATTTAAATATAGAAACTAAATTTAACACATTCATATTTTTAAATATAGCTTTTACCTATTAAGACTCTTCTATAAATGTTTATTTTAGTTGTGATTTTGTTAACTGAGCATCATTTGACTGTTGAGTATGTCTTGGCTGCATATGAAGAGAAATTAATTCAAACTGGGGAATATGTTTTCATTTGCTTTCAACTAAATCTACAGGGAACTTATAAAAGGGTTTGTAAGCTTATTAAATTTACCTCTGTAGCTATAACATATAGTCTCAATCAAGTATTATTTTAACCTTTTTTGCTGTTTCATCTCTCTCTTTTATAAACATCTCTCTCTACTGTAGACATCTCTCTCTACTGTAGACATCTCTCTCTACTGTAGACATCTTTCTCTACTGTAGACATCTTTCTCTACTGTAGACATCTTTCTCTACTGTAGACATCTTTCTCTACTGTAGACATCTCTCTCTACTGTAGACATCTCTCTACTGTAGACATCTCTCTCTACTGTAGACATCTTTCTCTACTGTAGACATCTTTCTCTACTGTAAACATCTCTCTACTAAACATCTCTACTACTTCAGTCTACTTTCACTTCTCATCTTTCTTACTGTAAACATCTTCTACTAAATCTTTCTTACTCTCAACATGTTCTATAGATTCTCATCTCTCTCTACTCACTGTTGACATCTTTTCTTTCTCATTTCACTTTATGATCCATGACATCTCTTCCTACTGACATCTCTCTCACTGTAGACATCTTTCTCACTGTAAACATCTTTCTCACTCAAACATCTTTCTCACTGTAAACATCTCTGTCTACTGTAAACATCCTCACTGTAGACATCTTTCTCTACTGTAAACATCTTTCTCTTGTAGACATCTCTCACTGTAGACATCTTTCTCACTGTAGACATCTTTCTACACATCTTTCTCTACTGCAGACATCTTTCTCTACTGTAGACATCTTTCTCTACTGTAGACATCTTTCTCTACTGTAGACATCTCTCTCTACTGTAGACATCTTTCTCTACTGTAGACATCTTTCTCTACTGTAAACATCTTTCTCTACTATAGACATCTTTCTCTACTGTAGAAATCTTTGTCTACTGTTGACATCTTTCCCTCCTGTAGACATCTCTCCCTACTGTAGACATCTTTCTCAACTGTAAACATCTTTCTCTACTGTAGACATCTTTCTCTACTGTAGACATCTCTCTCTACTGTAAACATCTTTCTCTATTGTAGACATCTCTCTCTGCAGTCGACATCTCTCTCTATTGTAGACAATTGTTTTTAAAGAATTTTCATGTCTCTTTGTTACAGAGCCAGATGAAATGGTATTTCAGGGGTTTCTCCAGTATCAGTAAATTAGAAGAAATTATGGATGCTTTTGGATCTGTGTTGATAATTCAACCGCGTGTTGGTTCTTATGGCTTTAAAACCACTGATCGTTACGAAAAATTTTCAAATAAAGTGAAAAAACTCAGTTTATATCCTCCATTTAAGAGCAGATGGTATACAGGATGCATGGTGTGCAAGAATTCATCCCAATTTGTTTGCTGTACGTTTCTGTTTTATGATATTTTTTATAAGAGGTTAATGATGTAAGATGTTTTCGCAATCTTCTGTTCATTAAAGTTTTCTAATGTTTGCAATAAATCAGAAAATTGCTTTCTGTTCTTAATAAATTTTTATCTTTTTACAGCTATGCAAGACTGTAAAATTGGATTGAACGAAAGTGACGTAAGTGTCCTAATTTTGATTGCTGTTCTTTATTAATTCCTTCTAAGTCGTTTATCATCATTGTTGAATTTTGTATTTTGTCGTCTTTAGGTACCAGTAGAAGCTGGTAATTTATATAATGCCATTCGAGAGTATGTGTATGCATTAAAGAAGACGTTAAACAAAGGTGAAGAACCAAATGGAAAGAATATTATCGCCAACTTGAGAGGACATACATTTGACTGTAAGTAAAGCTGAGACTATCTTTAATACAATTTTAGTGTGTTTTTCTATATATAAATTTTAGAAAAACCAATGATTTTATTTCTTAATACAAGATATTTAGTATGTCTTGAGTAAGGGGCGATCTTTTAGCTCTAAACATCAATATGCTGTAATAGCACCTTTGCAATAGTTGATGCTCCTTGATTCCTTGTAACATTTTTTAAATATTCTAGAGTAATTTAGTCTAACTTATTATTTATGAGACACTATTATGTCCATTAATAAAAACTTTGTTTCAGTGGAAAACGATTGTAAATAGAATCAAGCAAATAGAAATAGGTAAAATGAGTTTGTTTTAAATGGTTCTTGTTATGTTTGAAGTAGAAAGGATAAGATTTCTCTTTATTTTTATAGTGTTTTCTGGCGACCAAAGTATCAACATAACTAAAATATCGCTGGCACTTTACTTGTTTAGGTGTTTTTGGTTTTAAAATGACATTTGATAACTCTTCCAACGTCATATTTAACATGACGTTGTTACATCAAGAATATGCAAATGGAACGAAAGAGAAGAGCAAATGTGAACCATTTGATGCAATGAATCCTTGTAAAGGTAATGATATTGATATGGTGATTTGTATTAACAAACTTAAAACATGAATGATGTAATTTATCGATGAATAGTTATGAAAGAATTGGCGAGTTTTTGGTTGAACAAGAAAGATCATGATGAAGAGATTTATCATGGTCTCAAAGAGAAGATCGCGTGGTATGGAGGCTTAGGCATTCCGAAGGATACACCAGATTGTGGATTTAACAACGAGTTATGTAGAAACAAAAAAAAATCCAACAGTAAGTTTGTGATCTTTCATCTGTCAGTTTAGAAGCAATGTAAATTTATATTTCTTAACTGCTTCATCGCTCTCATCGATTGTCATTTTAATTTCTGTGAAATTTTCTTTTAGATTGCATCAAAATAGCAGGAATAATTGTGGTTCTTTTGCAATTTTCATTTTACTCTTCATTGTTTTAGTCCTTGTATTCAGGTAGAAAAGCGATTTCTTTTATAACACTTTTTATTCGTTATTTTCATATTTTAACGACAAAGGTTTCGTATGAATAGATATGGATAGATATGGATGATTATGTATGGATAGATATGGATGATTATGTTTGAATAGATATGGATGATTATGTATGGATAGATATGGATGATTATGTATGGATAGATATGGATGATTATGTATGGATAGATATGGAGGATTATGTATGAATAGATATGGATGATTATTTATGGATAGATATGGATGATTATGTATGGATAGATATTGATGATTATGTATGGATAGATATGGATGATTATGTTATGATTCCGTTGTTTTCTTTCTTTATACTGCGATTCAGAAAACAATTATTTTCTTTTCATTCCATTCACGGTATTATGTGATTAAAACACGTACATTATATTATGATTTCATAGGATGGATGAGACTCACAGTGAAATATGAAGAAAACATCAGAGTTTCGTGACATGTCGTAGTTACAAATAGGAAGAAAAAAGATCTCTTGTGAAGTGACTTTTTTCTTGACAAAATTTAATGACTTGAATAATTTCAAAATTTGAAGTCCCCAGATTTAAAATATAAAAGTGTTGTAAGTATGTGATCATAAATACAAAATGTAAAAAAAATAGTTAGATTATGTATGAATGAAGCTAACATCAGAACTTTAAAAATGTATATATATGGATATATTTGTGACGTCATGTTAAAATCAATCCATCAGTTAATCAGTTAGTTCAAAAACAAGCAATGGATATCTTAGAACGATGATGGATTTTTGAGTACAGTAAAGAATGATTGAAAGGTGGTCTATGGAGAGTACTAAAGAGATGTTGAAGGACATCAATTGATATTTGTTCACTCGGGGAGCTGAGAGGTATGGAGAAAAGATTGACATTTTGGTCTTTTCTGACAATGAATTCATCAAATACATTAATTGCCAAAGGATAAATTTTTACTTCTTGCATATTTTTCATAAAACCTGTAAAAAACTGTTTTTCTTAATGGAAAATTTGAAAATTTTCAACTTGACAAAAACGAAGAACTGACGTTTCTGTTGTCGACATTTTTCGCCTTGATGTTGTGTGCCATTGTCACATGGTGTTGTGTCTTATTCACGTGCTAATCATGTGCATTGTCTTCAAAGCCGACATGCGCTAATAAATCTCTGGTTTCGTTTTTTATAAACAAATATATTTATTATTTTATTTTACGAGTAAAGTTTGGCAAATGATTCCAAATTGTTCAAAATCTACATAACCACATGTTGAACTGTTTTCGTTTTGACACATTCAACCACAGAAGAAAAAATGATAAATTGAATAAATGTAAAATTATAAAAGATGACCCTTGAATATACGTGACCTGTATCGTCCTCTTGTATTCATACATATGTATGTAGTTGTTTCTGTTCCCGATGGCGAATCCTTCAAGGAATATTTCGTGTTTTATTTTGTCCTTTTTACTAATGGCGTCATTTAGTAAGTTACGTATACAATACATATTTTTAATCCTGGTTTGTTAGTATTTGTCTTTGGAATCGCAAGAATCGGCTATTTTATTTCATATCAGGCTGACTAACTCATGCATTCCAGATGTCCTGTATAACTAAATTTCTGGTTTATTATATTTCTAACATCGTGGAAGACCTAAGACGTACATATGACATAGTGTAAATTCAATTGATTTATGTGGAGTGGCTCATACAGTTGCACTTATTCTTTATAGTAGCGAAGTCAGCCCGTTTTACTCCAATACAAATATTTTTGTATTTATTCACTGGACAAACAACAAACAAAATTAATTTTTACAATAAATTATATACTGAAAATTAAATAATAAAAATTGTATAATAAATATTATACCATAAAAATGATGGCAGTCTTGCAGAATGTTGAGTAGCGTTTCCACATGCAAATGCTCCCTATGTCTAAAGGTATTATAAAATCTATAGTTGGAAAAATACTTACTTTCCAAAGTGGCAGTCATCCTTATAAATATTGGCCACATTGCAGAGAAGGCAATTTTGCTCCCAACATTTGTCAAGTGACAAGTTTTGGTGCCCCTGAGTTGTAAAACAGAAAACAGAAAACTAAAACAATTTAAGGTGTTTGGGTACATTTGCACACTTGAGTTTGTCCATTGGTTGATTTCTTCCAGCTTTCTGCCCCTGAGATCTTTGCAAAAACAGACATACTCTGAAGGTTATGTCAAGTTGGAATATTTGTTGTCTGATCTTTTAAATACTAATAAGAATGATTTTATTCTGCATTTAAAATGTGCTTGAACTTAAAAAGTCTTTCAGAATTTAACAATGAATATATCAAAATTATCTTCCAAACCTTGCAATTGTCATCCTGTATAAATTGCATAAATAAATTTTGTATAGTTTTGTTCTTGAGTGCAGAGTTGACATCTAAGATTGGTGTTCTTATTCCATTCCACCATGGAACATATTGTCCACAGTTGGTACAACCTCAATCCCAAGCAAATTTGTATTCTACTTTTGATATGGTTTTTCTAACAAATCCACTTTTATTTTTTGTTTATATTCATTGTATAGGTCAATATTTGGATGCAAGATCAACGTACAAGATAGGCGTTCTTATTCCATTTCATAATGGTGGATATTGTCCAAGTGATGCTGCAGATCGTCCCCAAGGGCTGTTATACGCTCCTGCTATACAAGTAGCAATGGACTACATTAAAAAGGACAAGACATTAAACTTTAACATAAATTTGGTGTGGAATGACACATATTGTGATGAATTTCTCAGTATAAAACAGCAAATTTGGCAACTTAATAATGGTGTTGATGTGTTTGTTGGACCAGTTCATAATTGTCAGACAGCAGCCAACATTGCTTCTGCTTTTAATAAACCAATGATGTCTTTTGTAAGTATGAATTTCATAATTTTAATTAAAGACAACTGCTATAGCAGTCAAAACTTAGATAGAACATTTTTGTTTGGTGCTATGAGATGCCACTTAGGTTGTCCAAAACTAGATGTGGTGGAAGATTGGGTTACTGAAAAATCGTGTTTCAAAATTTTGTTTAACATTTTTAACAATCTTTAGGTAATTTTAAGCATAATGCTAACATATTTAAACAAAACTGCCCTCCTTAATTTTTTGCTACTTTACTGACTTAAATACATCTCAAGTAATTTTTTAAATGCACAATTAACTTAAGTTACCTTAAAATCTTTAACAAAAATGTGGTTAGGTTACCAAAATTTTGGACAGCCTGCATTGGTTTGCGGCTTGAGTGTTAAAAATATACAGCTTAAAAGGAATTATTGTACATGCACACCTTGTGGGCTTGTAACAAGTGGCTTTATAGACATGTTCAGGGAAAGAGATAATTTTCCCTACCAAATGATTATTTGATAACAATATATAAACTATGAGCCTCACATTGAAGTAACCACTAAAAGCCAACAACATTCTTATGATCTCCACAAATTTGTGTTTAAGGCATGTTCAGATAGTCAAACAATTGGGAATATAAATACTTTGGCCAAAACATCACTTTCAATCATGCATATCTATCCTCCATTGATGGCTGTTTTAAAGAAGTTTAACTGGAAGAAAGTAGCAATAGTTTATCAGAAAGATGGCTCTAATTGGGAACATATTTATGATTATGTTCATAAGAAAATGAATAGACATGAAAAAGTCACAATTACATTGGTTGAAGATCATGAGGTTGATTATCTAAAATTTCATAATAACGATTATAGCCATGTTCGTAAATCTGTCAAAAAGATTAGTCAAAAAGCTCGAAGTAAGTCAAATTTCATAATTGTTTTAATCTTTAATTTAAATATAGAGACTAAATTTAACACATTCATATTTCTAAATAAAGCTTTTTACCTATTAAGACTCTTCTATAAATGTTTATTTTAGTTGTGATTTTGTTAACTCAGCATCATTTGACTGTTGAGTATGTCTTGGCTGCGTATGAAGAGAAATTAATTCAAACTGGGGAATATGTTTTCATTTGCTTTCAACTAAATCTACAGGGAACTTTTAAAAGGGTTTGTAAGCTTATTAAATTTACCTCTGTAGCTATAACATATAAGTCTCAATCAAGTATTATTTGAACCTTTTTTGCTGTTTCATCTCTCTCTTTTATAGACATGTCTCTCTACTGTAGACATCTTTCTCTACTGTAAATGTCTTTCTCTATTCTAGACATCTTTCTCTACTGTAGGCATCTTTCTCTACTGTAGACATCTCTCTCTACTGTAGACATCTCTCTCTACTGTAGACATCTTTCTCTACTGTAGACATCTCTCTCTACTGTAGACATCTTTTTCTACTGTAGACATCTTTCTCTACTGTAGACATCTCTCTCTACTGTAAACATCTTTCTCTACTGTAGACATCTTTCTCTACTGTAGACATCTCTCTCTACTGTAGACATCTTTCTCTACTGTAGACATCTTTCTCTACTGTAGACATCTCTCTCTACTGTAGACATCTCTCTCTACTGCAGACATCTTTCTCTACTGTAGACATCTTTCTTTACTGTAGGCATCTTTCTCTACTGTAGACATCTTTCTTTACTGTAGGCATCTCTCTCTACTGTAGACATCTTTCTTTACTGTAGGCATCTTTCTCTACTGTAGACATCGTTTTTTACTGTAGACATCTTTTTCTAATGTAAATGTCTTTGTCTTCTGCAGACACGTCTCTTCTGCATTTCCCTATAAAGAATTTTCATATATTTTTGTTACAGGCACAAATAAGGTGGTATTTCAGGGATTCTCCATTATCAGTAAATTAGAAGAAATTATGGATGCTTTTGGATCTGTGTTGATAATTCAACCGCGTGTTGGTTCTTATGGGTTTCAAACCACTGATCGTTATGGAAAATTTTCAAATAAAGTGAAAAAACTCAGTTTATATCCTCCATTTAAGGGCAAAGGGTATATAGGATGCATGGTGTGCAAGAATACATCCAAAAGTGTTTGCTGTACGTTTCTGTTTTATAATATTTTTTATAAGAGGTTAATGATGTAAGATGTTTTCGAAATCTTCTGTTCATTAAAGTTTTCTAATGTTTGCAATGAATCAGAAAATTGCTCTCTGTTCTTAATAAATTTTTATCTTTTTACAGCTATGCAAGACTGTAAAACACCATTGAACGAAAGTGACGTAAGTGTCCTAATTTTGATTGCTGTTCTTTATTAATTCCTTCTAAGTCGTTTATCATCATTTTTTAATTTTGTATTTTGTCGTCTTTAGGTACCAGTAGAAGCTGGAAATTTATATAATGCCATTCGAGAGTATGTTTATGCATTAAACAAGACGTTAGCCAAAGGTGAAGAACCAAATGGAAGAAATATCATCGCCAACTTGAAAGGACATACATTTGACAGTAAGTAAAGCTGAGACTCTCTTTAATACAATTTTAGTGTGTTTTTCTAGATATAAATTTTAGAAGAACCAATGATTTTATTTCTTAATACAAGATATTTAGTATGTTTTGAGTAAGGGGAGATCTTTTAGCTGCAAACATCATTATGCTGTGATAGCACCTTTGCAATAGTTGATGCTCCTTGATTCCTAGTAACATTTTGTAAATATTCTAGAGTAATTTAGTCTAACTTATTATTTATGAGACATTATTATGTCCATTAATAAAAACTTTGTTTCACTAAAAACGACTGTAAATAGAATCAAGCAAATAGAAATAGGTCAAATAAGTTTGTTTTAAATGGTTCTTGTAATGTTTGAAGTAGAAAGGATGAAATTTCTCCTTATTTTTGTAGTGTTTTCTGGCGACCAAAGTATCAACATAACTAAAATATCGCTGGCACTTTACTTGTTTAGGTGTTTTTGGTTTTAAAATGAAATTTGACAACTACTCTAACGTCATGTTTAACATGACGTTGTTACATCAAGAATATGTGAATGGAACGAAAGAGAAGAGCAAATGTGAACCATTTGATGCAATGAAGCCTTGTAAAGGTAATGATATTGATATGGTGATTTGTATTAACAAACTTAAAACATGAGTGATGTAATTTATCCATGAATAGTTATGAAAGAATTGGCGAGTTTTTGGTTGAATGAGAAAAATCATGATGAACAAAGTTATCATGGTCTCAAAAAGAAGATCGCGTGGTATAAACACTTTGGCCTTCCGAAGGATACACCAGATTGTGGATTTAACAACGAGTTATGTAGAAACAAAAAAAAAAAATCCAACAGTAAGTTTGTGATCTTTCATCTGTTAGTTTAGAAGCAATGTAAATTTATATTTCTTAACTGCTTCATCGCTCTCATCGATTGTCATTTTAATTTCTGTGAAATTTTCTTTTAGATTGGATTAAAATTGCAGGAATATTTTGTGGTGCTTTTGCTGTGTTCATTTTACTCTTCATTGTTTTAGTCCTTGTATTCAGGTAGAAAAGCTATTTCTTTTATAACACTTTTCATTCGTTATTTTCATATTTTAACGACAAAGGTTTCAGAATAAAAAAGAATTCAGATTTTTCTTTTTCTTTCAATAATCAACGAAGCACGGTATTAATATGTGATTATCTTTTTCATTCGGTAAACATTATATTTTTATGAAAAACACGATAAATTATGATTTCATGATAGGATGAAGAATTGTTACACTCACAGTGAAATATGAAGAAAACATCAAAGTTTCAGGATATGTCGTACGTACAAATAGGAAGAAAAAAGATCTCTTGTGATGTGACTTTTTTCTTGACAAAATTTAATGACTTGAATAATTTCAAAATTTGAAGTCCCCAGATTTAAAATATAAAAGTGTTGTAAGTATGTGATCATAAATACAAAATGTAAAAAAAAATAGTTAGATTATGTATGAATGAAGCTAACATCAGAACTTTAAAAATGTATATATATGGATATATTTGACGATTTATGTTGATTTATTGATATTACGAACAATGACGTCATGTTAAAATCAATTCATCAGTTAATCAGTTAGTTCAAAAACAAGCAATGGATATCTTAGAACGATGATGGATTTTTGAGTACAGTAAAGAATGATTGAAAGGTGGTCTATGGAGAGTACTAAAGAGATGTTGAAGGACATCAATTGATATTTGTTCACTCGGGGAGCTGAGAGGTATGGAGAAAAGATTGACATTTTGGTCTTTTCTGACAATGAATTCATCAAATACATTAATTGCCAAAGGATAAATTTTTACTTCTTGCATATTTTTCATAAAACCTGTAAAAAACTGTTTTTCTTAATGGAAAATTTGAAAATTTTCAACTTGACAAAAACGAAGAACTGACGTTTCTGTTGTCGACATTTTTCGCCTTGATGTTGTGTGCTATTGTCACATGGTGTTGTGTCTTATTCACGTGCTAATCATGTGCATTGTCTTTAAAGCCGACATGCGCTAATAAAATCTCTGGTTTTCGTTTTATAAACAAAAATATTTATTATTTTATTTTACGTGTAAATTTTGGCAAATGATTCCAAATTGTTCAAAATCTACATAACCACATGTTGAACTGTTTTCGTTTTGACACATTCAACCACAGAAGAAAAAATGATAAATTGAATAAATGTAAAATTATAAAAGATGACCCTTGAATATACGTGACCTGTATCGTCCTCTTGTATTCATACATATGTATGTAGTTGTTTCTGTTCCCGATGGCGAATCCTTCAAGGAATATTTCGTGTTTTATTTTGTCCTTTTTACTAATGGCGTCATTTAGTAAGTTACGTATACAATACATATTTTTAATCCTGGTTTGTTAGTATTTGTCTTTGGAATCGCAAGAATCGGCTATTTTATTTCATATCAGGCTGACTAACTCATGCATTCCAGATGTCCTGTATAACTAAATTTCTGGTTTATTATATTTCTAACATCGTGGAAGACCTAAGACGTACATATGACATAGTGTAAATTCAATTGATTTATGTGGAGTGGCTCATACAGTTGCACTTATTCTTTATAGTAGCGAAGTCAGCCCGTTTTACTCCAATACAAATATTTTTGTATTCATTCACTGAACAAACAACAAACAAAATTATTTTTTACTTTGGTTTTAACTCATAAATTTGCATTGTCCAAACACTTTGAACTTTGCTACTGAATGCAAATTATTATCGTGAAAGTTCGGGGCGAATTGCTTTGATAGCTTGTTTGAGAATCAAAATTTATTCTTTAACATTGCACCCAGAGCAGCAGCAGATAATATGAGATTATCTGTAATCATGAACTTTAATACCTGTTGGTTTTTTTACAATAAATTATATATTGAAAATTATATAATAAAAATTGTATAATAAATATTATACCATAAAAATGATGCAAGTCTTGCAGAATGTTGAGTAGCATTCCCCATGGGTATAGCATGTCATCTACACATGCAAATGCTCCCTATGTCCAAAGGTATTATAAAATCTATAGTTGGCAAAATACTTGGCAGTCATCCTTATAAAAATTGGCCACATTGCAGAGAAGGCAATTTTCCCTCCAACATTTGTCAAGTGACAAGTTTTGGTGCCCCTGAGTTGTAAAACAGAAAACAGAAAACTAACACAATTTAAGGTGTTTATGTACATTTGTACACTTGAGTCTGTCCATTGGTTGATATCTTCCAGCTTTCTGCCCCTGAGATCTCTGCAAAAACAGACATACTCTGAAGGTTGTGTCAAGTTGGAATATTTGTTGTCTGATCTTTTAAATACTAATAAGAATCATTTTATTCTGCATTTTAAAGGTGCTTGAACTTAAAAAGTCTTTCAGAATTTAACAATGAATATATCAAAATTATCTTCCAAACTATGCAATTGTCTGTATTTAATTTATTTTTTTTTATATAAATTGCATAAATAAATTTTTTATAGTTCTATTCTTGAGTGCAAAGTTGACATCTAAGATCGGTGTTCTTATTCCATCCCACCATGGAACATATTGTCCACAGTTGGTACAACCTCAATCCCAAGCAAATTTGTATGCTATTTTTGATATGGTTTTTCTAACAAATCCACTTTTATTTTTTGTTTATATTCATTGTATAGGTCAATATTTGGATGCAAGATCAACGTACAAGATAGGCGTTCTTATTCCATTTCATAATGGTAATTTTGTCAAAATTATGCTGTAGTCGTCCCCAAGGGCTGTTATATGCTCCTGCTATACAAGTAGCAATGGACGACATTAAAAAGGACAAGACATTAAACTTTAACATAAATTTGGTGTGGAATGACACATATTGTGATGAATTTCTCAGTATAAAACAGCAAATTTGGCAACTTAGTAATGGTGTTGATGCGTTTGTTGGACCAGTTCTTAATTGTCAGACAGCAGCCAACATTGCTTCTGCTTTTAACAAACCAATGATGTCTTTTGTGAGTATGAATTTCATAATTTTAATTAAAGACAACTGCTTTAGTAGTCAAAACTTAGAACATTTTTGTTTGGTGCTATGAGATGCCACTTAGGTTGTCCAAAATTAGATGTGGTGGAAGATTGGGTTACTGAAAAATCGTGTTTCAAAATTTTGTTTAACATTTTAAACAATCTTTAGGTAATTTTTAAAGCATAATGCTAACATATTTAAACAAATCTGCACTCCTTAATTTTTTGCTACTTTACTGACTTAAATACATCTCAAGTAATTTTTTAAATGCACAATTAACTTAAGTTACTGTAAAATCTTTAACAAAAATGTGGTAAGGTTACCAAAATTTTGGACAGCCCGCACTGGTTTGCACCTTGAGTGTTAAAAATATACAGCTTAAAAGGAATTATTGTATATGCACACCTTGTGGGCTTGTAACAAGTGGCTATATAGTAATGTTCAGGAAAAGAGATAATTTTCTATACAGCTTAAAAGGCATTATTGTATATGCACACCTTGTGGGCTTGTACCAAGTGGCTATATAGACATGTTCAGGGAAAGAGATAATTTTCCCTACCAAATGATTATTTGATAACAATATATAAACTATGAGCCTCACATTGAAGTAACCACTAAAAGCCAACAACATTCTTATGATCTCCACATTTTGTGTTTAAGGCATGTTCAGATAGTCAAACAATTGGGAATATAAATACTTTGGCCAAAACATCATTTTCAATCATGCATATCTATCCTCCATTGATGGCTGTTTTAAAGAAGTTTAACTGGAAGAAAGTTGCGATAGTTTATCAGAAAGATGGCTCTAATTGGGAACATATTTATGATTATGTTCATAAGAAAATGAATAGACATGAAAAAGTCACAATTACATTGGTTGAAGATCATGAGGTTGATTATCGAAAATTTCATAATAACGAGTATGGCCATGTTCGTGAATCTGTCAAAAAGATTAGTCGAAAAGCTCGAAGTAAGTCAAATTTCATAATTATTTTAATCTTTAATTTAAATATAGAAACTAAATTTAACACATTCATATTTTTAAATAAAGCTTTTTACCTATTAAGACTCTTCTATAAATGTTTATTTTAGTTGTGATTTTGTTAACTGAGCATCATTTGACTGTTGAGTATGTCTTGGCTGCATATGAAGAGAAATTAATTCAAACTGGGGAATTTGTTTTCATTTGCTTTCAACTAAATCTACAGGGAACTTTTAAAAGGGTTTGTAAGCTTATTAAATTTACCTCTGTAGCTATAACATATAAGTCTCAATCAAGTATTATTCTAACCATTTTTGCTGTTTCATCTCTCTCTTTTATAGACATGTCTCTCTACTGTAAACATCTCTCTCTACTCTAGATGTCTTTCTCTATTCTAGACATCTTTCTCTACTGTCGGCATCTTTCTCTACTGTAGACATCTCTCTCTACTGTAGACATCTTTATCTACTGTAGACATCTTTCTCTACTGTAGACATCTCTTTCTACTGTAAACATCTCTTTCTACTGTAAACATCTTTCTCTACTGTAGACATCTTTCTCTACTGTAGACATATCTCTCTACTGTAGACATCTCTCTCTACTGTAAACATCTCTCTCTACTGTAGACATCTTTCTCTACTGTAGACATCTCTCTCTACTGTAAACATCTTTCTCTACTGTAGACATCTCTCTCTACTGTAAACATCTTTCTCTACTGTAGACATCTCTCTCTACTGTAGACATCTTTCTCTACTGTAGACATCTTTCTCTACTGTAAACATCTTTCTCTACTGTAGACATCTTTCTCTACTGTAGAAATCTCTCTCTACTGTAAACATCTTTCTCTACTGTAGACATCTCTCTCTACTGTAAACATCTTTCTCTACTGTAGAAATCTCTCTCTACTGTAAACATCTTTCTCTACTGCAGACATTTTTCTTTACTGTAGACATTTTTCTCTACTGTAGACATCTTTCTCTACTGTTGACATCTTTCTCTACTGTAGACATCTCTCTCTACTGTAGACATTTTCTCTACTGTAGAAATCTTTCTCTACTGTAGACATCTTTCTCTACTGTAGACATCTCTTTCTACTGTAGACATCTTTCTCTACTGTAGACATCTTTCTCTACTGCAGCCATCTTTCTCTACTGTAGACATCTCTCTCTACTGTAGACATCTTTCTCTACTGTAGACATCTTTCTCTACTGTAACATTTTTCTCTACTGTAGACATCTTTCTCTACTGTAGAAATCTCTCTCTACTGCAGACATTTTTCTTTACTGTAGACATCTCTCTCTACTGTAGACATCTTTCTCTACTGTAGACATCTTTCTCTACTGTAGACATCTCTCTACTGTAGACATCTTTCTCTACTGTAGACATCTTTCTCTACTGTAAACATTTTTCTCTACTGTAGACATCTTTCTCTACTGTAGAAATCTCTCTCTACTGTAGACATTTTTCTCTACTGCAGACATCTTTCTTTACTGTAGGCATCTTTCTCTACTGTAGACATCTTTCTCTACTGTAGACATCGTTTTTTACTGTAGACATCTTGTTCTAATGTAAATGTCTCTCTTCTGCAGACACTCTCTCTTCTGCATTTTTTAAAAATTTTCATATCTTTTGTTACAGAGCCAGATAAATGGTATTTCAGGGGCTTCTCCAGTATCAGTAAATTAGAAGAAATTATGGATGCTTTTGGATCTGTGTTGATAATTCAACCGCGTGTTGGTTCTTATGGGTTTCAAACCACTGATCGTTATGGAAAATTTTCAAATAAAGTGAAAAAACTCAGCTTATATCCTCCATTTAAGAGCAGAGGGTATACAGGATGCATGGTGTGCAAGAATTCATTCCAACTTGTTTGCTGTACGTTTCTGTTTTTTGATATTTTTTTTATGAGCTTAATGATGTAAGATGTTTTAAAATCTTCTGTTCATTAAGGTTTTGTAATGTTTGCAATGAATCAGAAAATTGCTTTCTGTTCTTAATAAATTTTTATCTTTTTACAGCTATGCAAGACTGTAAAAGACCATTGAACGAAACTGACGTAAGTGTCCTAATTTTGATTGCTGTTCTTTATTAATTCCTTCTAAGTCGTTTATCATCATTGTTGAATTTTGTATTTTGTCGTCTTTAGGTACCAGTAGAAGCTGGTAATTTATATAATGCCATTCGAGAGTATGTGTATGCATTAAACAAGACGTTAACCAAAGGTGAAGAACCAAATGGAAGAAATATCATCGCCAACTTGAAAGGACATACATTTGACAGTAAGTAAAGATGAGACTATCTTTAGTACAATTTTAATGTGTTTTTCTAGATATAAGTTTTAGAAGAACCAATGATTTTATTTCTTAATACAAGATATTTAGTATGTTTTGAGTAAGGGGAGATCTTTTAGCTCTAAACATCAATATGCTGTGATAGCACCTTTGCAATAGTTGATGCTCTTTGATTCCTAGTAACATTTTGTAAATATTCTAGAGTAATTTAGTCTAACTTATTATTTATGAGACACTATTATGTCCATTAATAAAAACTTTGTTTCAGTGGAAAACGACTGTAAATAGAATCAAGCAAATAGAAATAGGTGAAATAAGTTTGTTTTAAATGGTTCTTGTAATGTTTGAAGTAGAAAGGATAAGATTTCTCTTTATTTTTGTAGTGTTTTCTGGCGACCAAAGTATCAACATAACTAAAATATCGCTGGCACTTTACTTGTTTAGGTGTTTTTGGTTTTAAAATGACATTTGATAACTCTTCCAACGTCATATTTAACATGACGTTGTTACATCAAGAATATCTAATTGGAACGAAAGAGAAGAGCAAATGTGAACCATTTGATGCAATGAATCCTTGTAAAGGTAATGATATTGATATGGTGATTTGTATTAACAAACTTAAAACATGAGTGATGTAATTTATCCATGAATAGTTATGAAAGAATTGGCGAGTTTTTGGTTGAACGAGAAAGATCATGATGAAGAGATTTATCATGGTCTCAAAGAGAAGATCGCGTGGTATGGAGGCTTTGGCCTTCCGAAGGATACACCAGATTGTGGATTTAACAACGAGTTATGTAGAAACAAAAAAAAATCCAACAGTAAGTTTGTGATCTTTCATCTGTCAGTTTAGAAGCAATGTAAATTTATATTTCTTAACTGCTTCATCGCTCTCATCGATTGTCATTTTAATTTCTGTGAAATTTTCTTTTAGATTGGATTAAAATTGCAGGAATAATTTGTGGTGCTTTTGCTGTGTTCATTTTACTCTTCATTGTTTTGGTCCTTGTATTCAGGTAGAAAGCGATTTCTTTTATAACACTTTTCATTCGTTATTTTCATATTTTAACGACAAAGGTTTCGTATGAATAGATATGGAAGATTATGTATGGATAGATATGGATGATTATGTATGGATAGATATGGATGATTATGTATGGATAGATATGGATGATGTATTGATAGATATGGATGATTATGTATAGATATGGATGATTATGTATGGATAGATATGGATGATTATGTATGGATAGATATGGATGATTATGTATGGATAGATATGGATGATTATGTATGGATAGATATGGATGATTATGGATAGATATGGATGATTATGTATGGATAGATATGGATGATTATGTATGGATAGATATGGATGATTATGTATGGATAGATATGGATGATTATGTATGGATAGATATGGATGATTATGTTATGATTCCGTTGTTTTTCTTTCTTTTTTTTTGTAGACGATACTGCAAGAAAAACAATTCAGATTTTTCTTTTTCTTTCAAAAATCAACGAAGCACGGTATTAATATGTGATTATCTTTTTCTTTCGGTAAACATTATATTTTTATGAAATAACACGATAAATTATGATTTCATTATAGGATGAAGAGTTGTTAGACTCACAGTGAAATATGAAGAAAACATCAAAGTTTCATGACATGTCGTAGGTACAAATAGGAAGGAAAAAGATCTCTTGTGAAGTGACTTTTTTCTTGACAAAATTTAATGACTTGATAGTTAGGTTATGTATGAATGAAGCTAACATTAGAACTTTAGTCTTTGAAAACATAACAGATGGTTCAAACAGATGAGTAGCATTTTTCTTTCAATAAAGAAATATATAATACACTCTCTAAACACTCTCTTAAATAATTCTGGAAAATGAGCGAAAATGTTGTGTTTATGGAACTCACGAAGACGATAGTTTATAAGCTCATTTTGGAAAGTCGGACGTTTTGGAGGCAATTTTAATAAACAATTTTATTTTATTTTTTTGCCATTATTTGTACCACGTTTGAAGATTGGGCTCCGTTGTTAAAAAATCTTATTGTTGGTCAAAATGTTGATTCCGTTGAATTCATTTGCTTTTAAAGCGGATCGTTGAAACAATCAATAGCAAATTATTTCTCTTTTAGTATTTACGAAATTATTTTGGTTGTCCCTGTCGAATATTACTATAAAATTGTTGTTGCCGGAGGGAGATAGAAAAATTTATTGAGAATTCTTACGAAGGAAAAGCATTTGATAAAGTGGAAGCATATCGGTTTTGTATTTCTCGCTGTTCGAAGTAATCTATCTTCATCACAAGAATTGGTGAATTTTTAAAGGCGAAAAGGCCAGATGTTTTGAACGAATATTGTACTCATATATTCTACGTATTCAATGCTTCATCTTTCTTATTGTATTACGGGATTGCGTGACATTTTCCATAAGGTTCATTGAGGTCTAGCTTTGGGTGTTAATGAAATATCAATTCCAATTTACGCGAAGTTTGTTCGTAATAAAATTAGAAGGTATGTAGCTTTTCTTGTTTTTGTTGTACTCATAAAATGTACTCATATTCATATTTCGTCTGCAATTGAAAAATTTCTCTTATAAACTGATGCATGCTAACAAAAGCGATCTCTTATATATTATTATTTGTGTATATGTAATATATAGAAAGATTAATTGCTTTTTGTCGGCTTTAAACTAAAATTCTTTCTCACATGCAAATTTAACTCCTGCCGATAAAAATATACGTTTTGCTAACTGCAGCACTGCTTTAAAATCTAGCGATAAACGCGAGCATTGAATTGTTCATGATCGGCTTTCTTTTTCAAAATAACGCATAAAACGGCACAAGTTCATTTGGTTTTATGACCCGTTTTATGCTGCAATGGAGGAATATTATTTTATTACTATTGCAACAGAGGTTTTTTGTGTCGGGAATTTGAAGCAAGTCGAAAATATGCAGGTATTTAGTGTAGTATAAGGATGAAAAATTTAGACAAACAAGATGTTGTTGTGATTCTCGGGGAGTTCAATTATGCGTGACTTGTTGTTCTCACCGTTGATTCAAATTATATCCGTATTTTGGGAAAAAATCTCACCTGTGTTTTTGAAATAATTCATGCCAAGTGGCAAGTTGGCGATAAGAGGAACGCTTTTGTGTGTTTTTTTTCGAAATAGTTTTGTCAAATCACTTACATTTTAAAGAAGCATATCGTTTTTGTAATTATCTCATTTTAAGTGATTTGTCGCTTTCGACCCATTGAATTTAGAATTGATAATGTTTTAGCTCAAAGTAAGAATGTTGTGAATGCTAACGTTTTGAACTAAAATCATAAAGATTATAATTATTTTAGTCGATGGAAGAGCAGTTAGCAAAATGCTCAGTAAGTGCTTGGGATTAGTGTATACATAAAGATTCTCAGAGAAAAATCGTGTCGTAGATATTTCAAAAATTTGTTAGTTGCCAATAAAATATTGTATGATATTTGACAAGATTCTAATAAATAGTGGGCTTATTCACCCCCGAATTACAGATTATTTTTATTATTTTCGATGTAATATCTTTGAAAAGCTGTTTTTAAGATCCTGCTTAAGGTGCTAAATATACTTTACCTATTTTTAAATGAAATCATTTAATTTGTGTGACTTTAATAGTCAGCCTTTTAATCTCTGGTGAAATGGATTTGCTTTGATATTCAAAAATTAACAAGTTGCAATGTTAATCATTAAAACTAAGTCATTTTCGTTTATAATATAAATCTGAGTATTGAATGGTTGATGTGTACTATTGCCCATTGCAAAAATATTGCGATATTTAAAAAAATGTAATCTTGTTTTATGTTATTTTTTGAAAAGAATTTTGATTTAATTTCCCTTAATCGAGTCACTTTTTTCACTGCTTTTTATAAACTGACACAAATTCACATGTTCTGTACATTCCTGATATTTATTTACTTTTTTAGTGCTACCATGTGCTGACAACAGAAACAGTTTTATTCAGAATTATCGGAAGTCGATACAGAATTAAGTTCAGAGCACAGTTTACTCTGAACAACTTAAAAAGATGGCCTTTCATCTTTATCCTTCATATTATGGATGTTTTTTTATGTCATGTGTTTTTGTTGCCTTGTTCTGTAAGTTGCTAAAATCTTATTGTAATACTTGATACCAGATTCGAACTAGCTTGCTAGAAACTTTTCCAAAATGGGAATAATATATTTTGAAGCTATTCGAGAAATGAGAAAAGCTGGATTTAATTACTCTAATATTGTACTTTTGATATTGTTTTTCTAACAATCCACTTTTATTTTTTGTTTATATTCATTGTATAGGTCAATATATGGATGCTAGATCAACATACAAGATAGGCGTTCTTATTCCATTTCATAATGGGGAATATTGTGAAAGTCATGCTGTAGATCGTCCCCAAGCGCTGTTATACGCTCCTGCTATACAAATAGCAATGGACGACATTAAAAAGGACAAGACATTAAACTTCAGTATAGATTTGGTGTGGAATGACACGGATTGTGATGAATATCTCGGTATAAGACAGCAAATTTGGCAACTTAATAATGGTGTTGATGTGTTTGTGGGACCAGTTCATAGCTGCGAGACAGCAGTGAAAAATTCCGCTGCATTTAATAAACCATTGATGTCTTTTGTAAGTATTTTTATATGTTTTTTTGAATCTTAAAAAATAAACTTTTGCCTTTATCGAGCAATACAAACAAACAAACAAACAAACAACATTTGTATACCGGCCAGTATTAATCCCCGCCAGGGGGGTTGACCGGTCCATGAATTTTTCCACGCCAAACGTCCTTTATCGAGCAATATAGTGACTAAAAATTATGACAACATGATTTTGACTGTTTAGAAATATAATACATAGGAATTTACAAATGGTATGTATCAAAACATATTGGGATTTTTCATGAAATATTATGTCACGCATAACTATTTGTTATATGTGGTGTATGGGTTTTGGCAGATAAGAAATTATTAGAGAAGAGTTAAACATTGAACCACAAAACTTGTTGCCATCATTGAACTCCATAGATGTGGAAGAATAACTCCTAAAGTTTTGCTCTTTTTTGAATCAAAATATACTTCTTAAATTGAAGATACTCATGTTTTTCCCATGGCAGATGTTCGTTTTGTTTTGATGGTTGTCAAATAATAAATGTTGAATTTTCATTTTCTTTGTTATTTTGATTTTTGCATACAACACAATTAGGACATTGTGTATATAAAGTATGATTGATTTTTATTGAATTAAAACTATGGAATTTTTTGTGAAAATTTTTACACAAATTATGAAACTGAGCTTTATGTATACTTGCAGTTTGTGTATTTTCATAGCACGATAAATGTGTCTTAAAAACCTATTTTTCTGATTAATGTTTTATAAACTTGAAAATTCTGTGTTTTTAACCAAAAAAGCAACAAAAATTCTGCAAACTTTTTGTAATTTTTGTGTGGAAATTACCAAGGCTCTTGGCCAATTGTTTTCATTTTATGTAAGCTTGAGTAGTGTTCTTTAAAGTTATTAAGTATTGTGAAGATGTAAAATAAGATTTAGACCTGCAATTCATGAATATAATAATGTGATTTTTTAAGGTATGTTTATTAAAAAACCAGGTGCCCCTGCAAAGATAAAAGAAATGTTTCAGTGCTTCCTTGATCCAGCTGTATTTTAGTTCAATACTCACTCTACAATGTGTTTTATTTGTTAGAATTGTCACGAACTTGAAGACAGCATCTCTAAAACTGTCTCAAAAACATCACTTTCAATCATGCATATCTATCCTCCATTGATGGCTGTTTTAAACAAGTTTAAGTGGAAGAAAGTTGCAATAGTTTATCAGAAAGATGGCTCTAATTGGGAACGTATTTATGATTATGTTCATAAGAAAATGAAGAACGATGAAAATGTCACAATTACATTGGTTGAAGATCATGAGGTTGATTATCGAAAATTTCATAATAACGAGTATGGCCATGTTCAAGAATCTGTCAAAAAGATTAGTCAAAAAGCTCGAAGTAAGTAAAATTTCACAATTATTTTAATCTTTGATTTAAATATAGAAACTAAATTTAACACATTCATATTTTTAAATAAAGCTTTATACTTATTAAGACTTTTCTATAAATGTTTATTTTAGTTGTGATTTTGTTAACTGAGCATCATTTAACTGTTGAGTATGTCTTGGCTGCGTATGAAGAGAAGCTAATTCAAACTGGGGAATATGTTTTCATTTGCTTTCAACTAAATCCACATGGAACTTATGAAAGGGTTTGTAAGCTTATTAAATTTACCTCTGTAGCTATAACAAATAAGTCTCAATCAAGTATTATTCTAACCTTTTTTGCTGCTTCATCTCTCTCTTTTATAGACATCTCTCTCTACTGTAGACATCTCTCTCTACTGTAGACATCTCTCTCTACTGTAGACATCTTTCTCTACTGTAGACATCTTTCTCTACTGTAGACATCTCTCTCTACTCTCTACTGTAGACATCTCTCTACTCTAGACATCTTTCTCACTGCATCTCTCTACCAGCATCTCTCTACTGTCCTCTACTGTAGACATCTCTCTACTGACATCTTTCTCTAGACATCTTTCTCTACCGACATCTTTCAGACATCTCTCTCTACTGACATCTCTCTACAGACATCTTTCTCTACTCTCACTGTACATCTCTCACTGACATCCTCTACTGTATCTCTACTGTAGACATCTCTCTCTCTCTAGACATCTCTCTACTGTAGACATCTTTCTCTACTGTAGACATCTTTCTCTACTCAACATCTTTCTCTACTGTAGACATCTCTCTCTACTGTAGACATCTTTCTCACTGTAAACATCTTTCTCTACTGTCATTTTCTCTACTGTAAACATCTTTCTCTACTGTACATCTTTCTCTACTGTAGACATCTTTCTCTACATCTTCTCTACTGTAAACATCTTTCTCTACTGTAGACATCTTTCTCTACTGTAGACATCTCTCTACTGTAGACATCTCTCTCTACTGTAGACATCTTTCTCTACTGTAGACATCTTTCTCTACTGTAGACATCTCTCTCTACTGTACACATCTTTCTCTACTGTAGACATCTTTCTCTACTGTAGACATCTCTCTACTGTAGACATCTTTCTCTACTGTAGACATCTCTCTACTGTACACATCTTTCTCTACTGTAGACATCTTTCTCTACTGTACACATCTTTCTCTACTGTAGACATCTCTCTCTATTGCAGACAATTGTTTTTAAAGAATTTTCATGTCTCCTTGTTACAGAGCCAGATGAAATGGTATTTCAGGGGCTTCTCCAGTATCAGTAAATTAGAAGAAATTATGGATGCTTTTGGATCTGTGTTGATAATTCAACCGCGTGTTGGTTCTTATGGGTTTCAAACCACTGATCGTTATGGAAAATTTTCAAATAAAGTGAAAAAACTCAGTTTATATCCTCCATTTAAGGGCAAAGGGTATATAGGATGCATGGTGTGCAAGAATTCATCCCAAAGTAATTGCTGTACGTTTCTGTTTTATGATATTTTTTATAAGAGCTTAATGATGTAAGATGTTTTCGAAATTTTTTTCTGTTCATTAAGGTTTTCTATTGTTTGCAATGAATCAGAAAATTGCTTTCTGTTCTTAATAAATTTTTATCTTTTTACAGCTATGCAAGACTGTAAAACACCATTGAACGAAAGTGACGTAAGTGTCCTAATTTTGATTGCTGTTCTTTATTAATTCCTTCTAAGTCGTTTATCATCATTGTTGAATTTTGTATTTTGTCGTCTTTAGGTACCAGTAGAAGCTGGTAATTTATATAATGCCATTCGAGAGTATGTGTATGCATTAAAGAAGACGTTAACCAAAGGTGAAGAACCAAATGGAAAGAATATTATCGCTAACTTGAAAGGACATACATTTGACAGTAAGTATTGGAGTAATATATTGAAGGTGTTTTCAACATGTACAGTCTTTAGTATGACTTACATGAAGTAGTGTGTTCTTACGTATACATCCACATCAATGGATGTGACTAAGGATATATATTGATCTGATTTTGATGTAATTTTGATTTGATTTAAGATCTGATTTTGATTTAATAGATCTGATTTTGATTTAATTTAAGATCTGATTTTGATTTAATTTAAGATCTGATTTTGATTTAATTTAAGATCTGATTTTGATTTAATTTAAGATCTGTTTTTGATTTAATTTTTCTTCTGCACTCCTTTTAAATTTGCACACACAACAACCTTTAAGCCTGGTTTACACTGGTCTTATAAGTTGGCGACGTATTTACACCGATAGATACGATTCGTCAGGGATGAATAACACCGAAACGTTCACACTTGCGTATTACACACATGTCTGTTGTAAATAGACGTTTCGTGTGGCATGGAGAAGTTCTTTTGCTATTAGCTATTGTTCGTAAAAAGGGATTATTGGGGATACGATTTCTATCCATGCATTGGACTTTATATTTTTGTCTTTGAACTGAGCACTGCTAAGTTTGTTGATGCTCGAAAACTCTTTTATAATTTTCATAAAAAAGCAATCATCGCCGTTTTGAGACTTTGTAGCAACTAGCAAGATTTTTTAAAGAGGCATGCAAATCCATCCCTTGGTCATCTGCCATTTTGAAAAGTCGCTCGTGTCGGATTCTAGTCGGATTTCATTTTCACACATGTCGTAAATTATCGTACGAATCCCCGAATGGCGCCGTTTTACTGAGATATCGTTATCAAATAGAAACCATTTATTTCCAAATAGATATTTACGAATCTGACGCAGATTATGTGGTATCTCGCATTCGCCATGTTTACACTTATCAATAAGTTACTGGGATGGTCGCATATGATAAAACACTACGATTTTCCCGACTCTTACGACTAGTGTGAACCAGTCTTTATGGTGAAATGAGATTTTTCTTTTAATTGACGTAAGGACTTTCCAGCTTTTTTTACCTAAAACTCTCAATTTCTTTACATTCTTTTACGTGTCGATGTTGTTCTTCATCTTATTTGGATGAAACCGCTTGCCATCGAGTTAAGTATCAAAGTAAACATTTCATAATAATCTTTGATAATCTCCTGTTTAGGTGTTTTTGGTTTTAAAATGACATTTGATAACTCTTCCAACGTCATATTTAACATGACGTTGTTACATCAAGAATATGTAAATGGAACGAAAGAGAAGAGCAAATGTGAACCATTTGATGCAATGAATCCTTGTAAAGGTAATGATATTGATATGGTGATTTGTATTAACAAACTTAAAACATGAGTGATGTAATTCATCGATGAATAGTTATGAAAGAATTGGCGAGTTTTTGGTTGAATGAGAAAAATCTTGATGAACAAAGTTATCATGGTCTCAAAGAGAAGATCGCGTGGTATGGAGGCTTAGGCATTCCGAAGGATACACCAGATTGTGGATTTAACAACGAGTTATGTAGAAACAAAAAAAAATCCAACAGTAAGTTTGTGATCTTTCATCTGTCAGTTTAGAAGCAATGTAAATTTATATTTCTTAACTGCTTCATCCTTGTGATCACAAGGGTATTTTCTGTGACAAAGTTTGCTTACATTATTTATGAACGTGTGTTTCTTCCTCTTTAGAAATGACGAAAATAATTGGAAGTGTTTCTGGCGTATTGGCCCTTTTACTTCTTCTTCTTCTCTTCAATATATTCAGGTATGAATATGAATATCATGGGATATCATAGGATAGTTGTGTTCGTACCGTTCATAGTTCATTACGGTATTGAATATTGAACGGAAGCAGTGAGCATTTCTCTGTAAGAATTATCTTTTATTGATTCAACTAGGATCATCCCCCATTGATCCAGTAAGAATTATCCCTTGTTGATCCTGTAAGGATTATCCCTGGTTGATCCTGTAAGGATTATCTCTTGTTGATCTTTTAAGGATTATCCCTTGTTGATCCTGTAAGGATTGTCCCTTGTTGATCCTGTAAGGATTATCCCTTGTTGATCCTGTAAGGATTATCCCTTGTTGATCCTGTAAGGATTATCCCTTGTTGATCCTGTAAGGATTATCCCTTTCTTGATCAACGTGATTTTATGACATTTAAATTCAGTGGAAGTCAATAAAATCTCTTTTTTAAGACAATATTCAATGGAAAAACAACTTCATAGTTTGCTGTGGAAAGTTGATCCTTCAGATATTTCTTTTCCTGCAAGGCGAAATTCTGTAATTTCAATTGAAAGTGGAGTAAGTATATTTTAATAAGCAAATGGATTTACTGAACTAACATTTAACGAATTAAACTTTAATTTATAATTTTTATTTTTAGGTAATTGGTTCCTTTATTCACGATAGTCAGTCTAGTTCTAGTGAAGGAAAGGTGGGTTTAATCATCATGAAGGACCGCAAAAGATTGATAATTTGTCTGGTGGGGGTGGGGAAGGGGTCGTAGTCGTGTATTTCTATGTTTTAATTCTTAGTCGCTTCATATTAGTTTCAATAGAAACTAATAAACTAAAACATTCAAGTATGAATATTACCATCAGTCTTTGATCTTCTGGGGGTACGTACTCTTCACTGTGCATGTTTGAAAGAAAATAAGTTTAACTTAGACAGTGTTTTCTTGTCGTTATCTGAACTACTTAACACGTCATCAATATATTAACTAGCTCACGCATGCGGATTTGAATGCGAGTGGTCACGTGAATATGTACGCCTTATCCTTATATAGCAATATGAAGCAACGGACAACTTATTGGATAATGTTATAATTGATGAAGATCCATTAACTATAAAGTACACTACAGTTGGACAATTTAAGGTGAACTCGTTTTTCAGTATAAATTTGTCGTTATTGTTGTTATCATAATGTTCTTTACATGTTTGTAAATGTAGATCGTCCAGGTTGGTATAGTCCTGAGAAGGACTGTTTTTGTTGTTGTTGACTGACGTTTCGACAACCTTAGCGGTAGTCATCTTCAGAGTCAAAATGAATGAATTTTTAAGTCAGTCAACAACAACAAAAACAGTCCTTCTCAGGACTATACCAACCTGGACGATCTACATTTACAAACATGTAACGATACTCCCGGGTTCAAACCATTTACTTTATAATGTTCTTTGCTCAAATATCGTATATTTTATGTTGTTTTTACTTCAGTATACCATATTTACCATCATTCGTCATTTTCAAATCAGGGTAATTATGTTGCCATAAAGAAATTATCAAAGAAATCCGTGGATTTGAGCAGAATTGTCCTGAAAGAGTTGAACTTGGTATGATACTTATCCATTATCGTTATAGTTTTGAAGTTTTCTTCATATTTTAATTCGTCTTGTTTTCCTTGAACGATTTTAACGATGTCAGCTGTTTTTGGCTATTTTGTCCCCCTTCAAAAACTCTTTGCAGTTTTTTGTTTTGAAAGCTCTTAAATCTTTAGTATTTGTGTGTTTTACTTCAAATGTTTATAAAACGCTATGGCGTTGTATTGTCGTTAGATGCGTGAGGTTCGTCACGATAATCTTAATCCGTTTATTGGTGCGTGTATTGAACCTGGAAATATCTGTATTGTTACAAGTTATTGTCACAAAGGAAGTTTACAGGTAAAATAATTTTTCTTTGTCTTATTTTTTTTTACATGTTTTGTCGTGATGAATTTTGTTTCTTGAGAACGTCTCTCATTTTAAAGTTGTGTTCATTTTATAGGATATTTTGTTAAACGAAGATGTTAACTTGGATCATATGTTTATTTTATCTTTGATCTACGACATAACCATGGTAGGTGATATTGTAGAGAGGGGAGGGGAGGGAGGGGGGATGATGGTGCGGTTCCCTCCTTGTCCAAGCAGGTTGAAGAAGGGTACAAATACCAGTATTTAAGCATAAGCAATTTTATCTTGTTTTTAATGTTGCGCACTTTTTATAGAGCAACAGAATTTAACAAAAAATGCTTAAATGACAATGGAACACCCCAAAAGGAACCACAAAAATTTGATTCAAACGAGAGCACCCCTGCCTTCCCTACACTATAAAATTGTCCTGGATTTATTCACGTGTTCATTCACGTGATCTATTTATAATACGATACTTAATGCGTTCTTATTAAGGAATGTTTAGGAGAAATTGAGCTTTCAATAGTTTTCAATGTTAGTTAAGATAAGCTTTTTTAATGTGATAACTTTGCATAAATAAGAAATCGTTATATGTCTTCAGATAAAAGCTTTGATAGGGTTTTAAGAACTGTACAATATTTTTAGCTTTATGAAAGATATGAAACATACAATTGGTTGGTGTGCTTTACTAACTTAATATCTTTTCTTATATTTAGGGTATGACATTTCTACATAGTTCTGACATTAAAGTTCATGGTAACTTAAAGTCTAGCAACTGTCTGGTAGACAGCCGCTGGCAACTAAAGATTGCAGACTACGGTCTACCTGTGTTCAAATCGAAACAAATTAAGCCATACAGCTGCGAGCATGCAAAATATCGAGGTAAATACATGCAAGTTCATGATCAACAACGGCTTTTTCTTGTCCTACACTGTCCTTTATTGTCCTATTGTATCCCTTTGTTATTCTACGTTTTCCTTTCGTTAACCCACCAATCCTTTATTACCGAACAAAGTTATGAAGCCAATATTAAAATGTTTCAGATATGTTATGGAAAGCACCAGAACTTCTACGTTCTTCAGTATCTTCCTATTGTAAAGGAACACAACACGGCGACGTCTACAGTTTTGCAATTATTCTTCAAGAATTTCACACAAGGAAAGGACCGTATAGTCACAACTATGATGATATCAGAGGTAAATGTGAGGACTTCCCTCTTAAAATTGGCGATGAAATGTAAATTGTGGTTTATATGCAAGTATTTTTTACTTTTACCGACTTATTAAAGTACTTTTTCAATGTACATGACAATACGCCGTATTTTTGTCGTATTTTTTCAGACATTATCGAGCATGTTAAAGCTACAGAGTTCCCGCCGTACAGACCTGTTATTCCTGAACTCATTGAGAAAGTAGAGGAACTTCGTGAGATGGCTAAAGAATGTTGGAACGATATCCCACATGAGAGACCTACGTTCAGTGAACTCAAGAAACGAGTTCATCGCCTTTTGGTGAATCTAAAAATGTGAGAAAATATTGGTGTGTTATAAAAACGATAATGTGATGCTGATTTGAAAAATTATCTTTAAGGAAAACAAACATTCTTGATAATATGATCTACATGATGGAAAAGTATGCTGACAATCTTGAAGACTTAGTTGTAGAAAGAACGGGTCTCTTAAGTGAAGAGAAAAGAAAAACTGATGCATTATTGGCGCGAATGTTGCCATCGTAAGTCTTCGTTTTTGACTATCGTAAGTCTTCGTTAAACTATCGTAAGTCTTCGTTAAACTATCGTAAGTCTTCGTTAATCTATCGTAAATGTTCGTTAAACTATCGTAAATAATCGTTAAACTATCGTAAATATTCGTTAAACTATCGTAAGTCTTCGTTAAACTATCGTAAATCTTCGTTAAACTATCGTAAATCTTCGTTAAACTATCGTACATCTTCGTTCAATGAAAAATAGACAAAGCTCTTTCATTGACATTCTTCGTAATAAAGATGGAAAAACGAATTTTGTTCTTTAGTTATTTTTATAAATCATTTTCTTCAAGGTCTGTAGCAGAGCAGCTCAAGAGAGGAAGATCTGTGGAAGCTGAATCATTTCAGTGTGTTACTATATATTTTAGTGATATTGTATCGTTCACAGAGCTCTGTGCAGAAAGTACTCCACTTCAGGTAGTTATTTAGATCAATTTATGAAGTGTTGAAGAACGTCATGTTGTACAAATGAACATTATCTTCTAGGTTGTGACATTACTTAACGATCTTTATACGTTGTTTGACGAAATCATTAGAGAGTTTGATGTTTATAAGGTAAGTATCTCTTTAGTATGGCCAATCCTACTTTATCCCATGTTCATCCCTAGCAAATCGTGTGTTTTTGGTAAAAGAAATGTCTCAGTACGCATTGATAAACGGGGGGGAGGCTCGTATTTATAAGCTCAAATGTTATTATCTCTATTCACCATTGATTTCAATAGAAACTAATAAAAAAAATGCCAATATGAATACCCCCGTTACTGATGTCTCGGGTTCCTGGTACGTACCAATGAAGAAGTTTATTTTTTCTGTGTTGAACAGGTTGAAACCATTGGCGATGCATATATGGTTGTATCTGGGTTACCGCAACGTAATGAAAACCTTCATGCTTCTGAAATTTCCTGTATGGCTTTACGTATACGCGATTCTGTTCTCGACTTTAAAATACGACATAAACCACATCATAAGTTAAAGTTACGTATTGGTATCCATTCTGGTCCCGTTGTTGCGGGTGTTGTAGGTCGTACAATGCCACGATATTGCTTGTTTGGTGATACTGTAAATACAGCTTCAAGATTGGAGTCTAGTGGTGAAGGTATTGTTTACTGTTTGATATTTTTATCACGCTGATTTATTATGATTAGTAACGATGTGTGGATGTGAAAAGTTTATGTTAGTGAGATCATGACTGGTATGAATGAAGCATAGTTAATATGATAAAAGACGCATTATATGTTTGTAGATGTAGATCGTCCAGGTTAGTAAAGTCTTGAGTAGGACTGTTGGTGTCGATGTTGACTGATGTTTTAAAAATCTTAGCGTTCATCATCTTCAGAGTCAAGTGACTTGAATGGCTCAAACCATTTACTTTAGAATTCATATTGATGCTTAATGATGCTTGTGACCATCTTAATCCTTTTGTATCCTCATTCACTTGACGGTCATTCATATTATCCTCTTGTTCTCCTGGTCATTCCTGTCACATTCATTCATATTATCCTCATGTTCTCCTGCTCATTCCTGTCACATTCATTCATATTATCCTCATGTTCTCCTGCTCATTCCTGTCACATTCATTCATATTATCATCATGTTCTCCTGTTCATTCCTGTCTCGATCCATCATATTATCCTTATGTTTTCTTACTCATCCCTTTTACGATCATTTATAACATCTGTTTAATTCATTAACATTTTTCTTTCAGCATTGTCTATACACATCAGTAGTAATACTAACGGTATCTTGGAAAAGCTTGGTGGCTTTAAAACTGAAAGACGTGGGGAAATACCAATCAAGGTGTGTATGTGTACGCAAAGCTTTCCACTCTCCTGTATATAAGTCGAAATTCAACATTTTGAATGGCGTTTGGGACTTGTTAAATATTTATTTTGATTTTCTTATTGCAGGGAAAAGGTTCACTTATTACGTACTGGCTTTTGGAGGCTAACAATGATGTTCCCCGTTCACCGCACAGGCAGGCAATCCCCCCTGAACCTCCACTTCCAATTGGTCCTATTCTTATGCGAGAATTGCAAAACTCAAATATTTCACTACGAGGTTCAATGCGAGGGTCATTTCGAAATTCGCCCGCGATCCTTCGGAATGGATTAACTCATGCGGCAACGCACGATTCGCCTGTCATCGTTCGCTTAAAGAAAGTTGACGATGAGCTTTTAGCTAATGGGACACACACTTGATTCCTTACAGGAATTCACCGAAGTACATTAGAATGGCTTCTTTTCCTGTGGGGTTCCCATATATCCCTATACTGAGGTATGACGTGATCTATCATTTTATCCTTCGTCATCCTTATTTGTCCATGAATACTGCAAGTATGTCGTGGAATATTTGACTACAACCTTGTGATTCTGGTTGATAAAATCCATTGGTGATTGTATTTTACTTGTAATATATGCATATGTATGATAAGCGAACCCTATGATTATGTAGTTTTTGTATAAAAATTCGCTAGTCCAGTTATGTAATGAATTTTCTTTGCAGTTGATGAAAAAATCAAATGCATTGTGATTTCATCAAGTACAAAATAGTTTAAATGAGTATTACGGTTTTTTATAAAGATTTTTGGTGTATTAAAGTAAATGGTTTGAACCCGGGAGTATCGTTATATGTTTGTAAATGATGATCGTCCAGGTTAGTAAAGTCCTGAGAAGGACTGTTTTTGTTGTTGTTGACTGACGTTTCGACAACCTTAGCGGTAGTCATCTTCAGAGTCAAAAATGAAGTTGTCGAAACGTCAGTCAACAACAATAAAAACAGTCCTTCTCAGGACTTTATTAACCTGGACGATCATCATTTACAGACATTTTCGGTGTATGTTGCTCACATTGAGAGAGAGAGAGTACTTAAAATCATAAGCACAATGGGATCATGTTGCATAAAAAGGTCCATCCATGTTTAAAAGAAATATTATTTTACAGTGTTGATTATTCATTAGCCCAGAACTAAACTGCCAAAATATGGGGCTGAATTGTTGATAACTTTGTCATTAGCTCATCGCTTTTAAAATTAACACTTTAAACTATTATTAAACATCTCAAGAACGATGATGAATGGCTTTTTTAAAAATTTATTTCGATTAATTTTGAATAAAAACTCTAATTAACAACAATAAGTTATGAATGAAGGCATTTTGTTCAAATGGCTAGAATATAGTTTATTGTCAATTTTCTGGCCAATGAAACGTCTTATAAATATTTTTTTTCGTTTTAAGACCTCGAATATTCAAACCATATCTTTCAAGGTTATACATTCGTCGCCATCCTATAGCTTGTTGTGTTGTTTCTGGAAATCTATTTCCTGATTTTCGTACTTTATTTGTTTCAGTCGCTCGGCGAAATTGTTTTGATTTTTCTTTGCTTGCACATGAGGCAGCTTTGTTTTGACAGTATGTGTAAAGCTATATCAGTAAAAGAAAAAAGTATATTTAACATTTGTTATCTTATTTCTTGTATATTTTAGTTAGTGTAAAGACTGTCCTCGTTCTCTGTTGTTCATTCATCACTACCTACACTGACACACGTTATCTTATTTCTTATATATTTTAGTTAGTGTAAAGACTGTTCTCGTTCTCTGTTGTTCATTCATCACTACCTACACTGACACACGTTATCTTATTTCTTATATATTTTAGTTAGTTTAAAGACGGTTCTCGTTCTCTGTTGTTCATTCATCACTACCTACACTGACACGTTATCTTATTTCTTATATATTTTAGTTAGTGTAAAGACTGTTCTCGTTCTCTGTTGTTCATTCATCACTACCTACACTGACACACGTTATCTTATTTCTTATATATTTTAGTTAGTTTAAAGACGGTTCTCGTTCTCTGTTGTTCATTCATCACTACCTACACTGACACACGTTATCTTATTTCTTATATATTTTAGTTAGTGTAAAGACTGTTCTCGTTCTCTGTTGTTCATTCATCACTACCTACACTGACACACGTTATCTTATTTCTTATATATTTTAGTTAGTTTAAAGACGGTTCTCGTTCTCTGTTGTTCATTCATCACTACCTACACTGACACACGTTATCTTATTTCTTATATATTTTAGTTAGTTTAAAGACTGTTCTCGTTCTCTGTTGTTCATTCATCACTACCTACACTGACACACGTTATCTTATTTCTTATATATTTTAGTTAGTTTAAAGACTGCCCTCGTTTTCTGTTGTTCATTCATCACTACCTACACTGACATACGTTATCTTATTTCTTATATAATTCAGGCAGTGTAAAGACTCCATTAATTTTGTTTTTATTTTACCGTTCTATACTCATCGTAAAGTTGTTTCCAACTTTCATGTTTCTTTGTTGCCATCATCTCGTGTTTAATACGATCCTTCCTGTTTACAGACATGAAAATTTTAAAATTCTGTATAAACGATATGAATGATCTTTATCTTACCAGAGTTCACTGCTCGAGACGGTATGAATCCAATTGTTAACATCGCGATTAAAAGCCATGTTTTCTCTCTCCTAACTAGAACTTTTGTAAAAAATAATTTTGCATCTGCACGCACTTAACGTCACAATCATAATTTTTTCTATTTTGCATAAAAAGCGAGAGACATTTGGTAGATGAAAAGCAGTCCATCCAATTTTCACAACATGGCCAACGACTTTAGCGAAACTTGGAATTGTGAGAAGTAGAATTTTTGAACAATTTTGAACGAAATGAACAAGTATTGGTCGGAAGGCTTGTACTCCAACTGTAATATTTCTCAATGGAGGAAAACGTTAAAAGCCTACAAATCTGTGCTTAATTTTAAAACCAACATGGCGTTAAAGACTAGCAAAACAAAGAAGGTTGAAGACGTGCTCACCTTAGATCAATGGTAGTTGGTTTTTTTTTCATTGGGTATTATTCTATTATTAATTTCTACACTTTGTTTATCAATAGTGCTTTCAACTGTTTTCAGGTATCAGGAAGACCTGCCAAAAACCTTAAAGGATCGCGACGAAAAGTTTTTAAAGTTGGAAGAACTTTGTCACTTGATGCGTTGGAAACTTGCAGTAAGACACAAAAATTGGTGATAATTTGTTGTGTGGTTATTTTGCTCTTCAGTATATTATATTTTCAACCTTCAATGGGCTTATGATCTTGATGTTAACCATCTTAATTTAAGAGAGGAAAGTTCAGACCAAGATTGACAGAACTCGTAAAGTCAAATGATGCGAAAACTGTTGAAGATATTACTAGGAAAGCGTTCACTTGTTTACCAGATATTTCGTCTGCAATTCGTGAACTTTCAAAATTAAAAGCAGTTGGTCCAGCTACAGCATCAGGTTAGAGTGAAAAATAAGTTTAAGAAACTGTTATCAAATATTGTTTAAAGCTTGGTTTGTAGAGACCTTCCCTTGTTCATGCTTACCATTGTTATTCATCATTTGTTCATGCTTACCATTGTTATTCCTCATTTGTTCTTGCTTACCATTGTTATTCCTCATTTGTTCATGCTTACCATTGTTATTCATCACTTGTTCATGTTTACCATTGTTATTCCTTACTTGTTCATACTTACCATTGTTATTCCTCACTTGTTCATGTTTAGCATTGTTATTCCTCACTTGTTCATACTTACCATTGTTATTCATCACTTGTTCATGTTTACCATTGTTATTCCTCACTTGTTCATGTTTACCATTGTTATTCCTCACTTGTTCATAATGATTGCATTTATTTTGTTATTCTGAGTTTATTTCATAAAACCATCATTTCTTTGTTTGGTAGCAATCCTATCTGCAGGTGCACCTGAAACTGTTCCCTTTATGGCAGACGAAGCACTTATGGCAATTCCGGACCTTGGAGATATCAATTATAATCTGCCACATTACATGAAGTATGTTGAAAAAATCAGCAAAGTCTTAACTCAACTTAGAGAAAAAGGTAATATTTAAGAATATGTAAATATTATTTCCCTAGATGATTGTACTGTTTTGTTTCAAATACATGTATGTTTTCTTACAGATCCTGATGAAGAATGGACTGCTCATAAAGTTGAACTTGCATTATGGACAGAAGTTATGGCAAAAAAATTAAATTTTGATCTTTCCCAAGAATGTGATTCAGTTGAAAACAGAAGTGGTACTCAAAGGTCAAAGCGAAAGGCATCAACAAGTTCACCACAATTGAAAAAACGAATGAAGAAATAACTAGCTAATTTATAATGAGTGTTTTCTATATTTTATTTCAAAATCTATAGCCATATCCATTTCAATAAGATGAAAAAAGTTTTGTGTAATTAATATATTATTTATCATGCTATTAACTTATATGAATATAACTTTATACAATGCACACAGAAGATCTAGACTCCTGTGTGAAGATGTTTACCTTGTTCATAATTAAATATAAAATTTTGATTTAAAAGTTATTTTAACTCCCTCCAGGTTTTGTGTAACCATTTTTAATCAGAATATCTCAGAACACTCATGGTAGTTTGAAAATACAAAGATGATCTGAATTAAGAGCCTTAAGCTGTTATACAAAAGCAAAGTTGACTAAAGTGAAAACTTCATGTTATCACAACTATTAATGTCTATCACCCATGCCATATGGTTGTTGATGTAACGCTTTAAACCAGGGGGGAGTGGCAAATGCTTCAAATCCTTTAAACCAGACAGACACTTTCCAATTTGAACACAACATTTGTACTGTAAACTTGTTGGAATACTTGTACTCTTAACAAGTTTCATTTTAGTACGAGCAGCTGTTGAGGAGATCATTGGATAAAGTTCTTTATTTCGCAAATCATGGAAAGCAATACCACAAAATTTTCCATTGTTATAAAAGGCTAAGGTACCATGCCATAAATCAAGATGTATCCCAATCACATCATCACGTTCCAGTTTTGTTGTATAAGATTTAGTAATACCATCGTGTTGAATGGTTCCTAGGTATGATAAACCCCAGCTTTCTGCATCACGGCCCAAGAAACTGGCAAATAATGACTTACAGACATCTAAGTCAACCAAGTAACTACCAATACCAACCATCTAGAACGATACAAATGGATAATAGTTTATCTAAAAGGATGAACATGTAGTTTTGTCTCAGAGTAATATTGTATGAACATACAAAAAGTTTGTAAGTTTATAAAGACACTTTGAAAGCTTATAAAGAAGGTTTTGATTTGGAAAAAGAAAGATATCATTATACAGAATTATAGAGATAAATGGCTAGTCAGTAAAAAAGGTTAAACTGTCAACATACATATTTGTTCCATACATACAAACCATTCAGATATCAATATAATTGAAATTAAGTTAATAATCTAAGATTTTTTTTCTAGTCAGTGATAGTCATGTCTGTTCTGTCTGTAGTTTGCCTGAAAAAATTGTCATGTCAATGTTAGTTAATCTTTCAATCATTTTATCTCATCATATCAACTAACATTTCATTGTCATATAATAATGTCAATATTTTGTCTTACCATATCAGTTCCATAAACTGTACTTGTAAACTTAATTTCCCAGTAATGTTGCGCACCAAGCTCAAAAGGTTGTTCACCTCGGATAGCTGCTGTACCACAACTGTATTCTGGATGAAACAAAACCTCACCATCGCTGCCAACATTTACACAGCTAGACATTGATAAAGAATCCCAAGTCCATGCACAATGTGACTGTACACCTAGAATGAAGCAAAGGCATTATATAATCTTGTTATTAGATATTAGTAAAAAAGGGAATAAAGAGAGTTTTTTAGTTGTATATAAAACTTAGTTGTCACAATAGATAAAAATATGCACAAGATTTCCAGTATGAAAGTGCACTGGGCAAATGACATAGTCTTTACCTTGCATAAAAATTTGGGAAATGAGTTTGGATCATAGAGCATATTGCTTTAGTATTGTTTTGTTTTCCATACAAGCATGCTTCATTTATAAAATATTTTACAGCTTAAACGCTGCAACATGGAGTTAGATTTTTTCAAATATTTGTAAATGCATTTCATCTGAAAAAATATGTAACACATCGAGAGAACCGACTGGGAAGTTTTGGTTAAATTATTAAATGTTTTCATTGATTTTGTTCTATACTATAGAACACTCAAATCTTTTAGACAGGGGGAGAGAGGAGTTGATATAAATTGCACGTGTTACTAATTATTCAAATATGCTTATTTTGGCGTCTTTTGAATATTGCAATTATGAGCTCACTTCTTCAAACGGAAAAAAAAATGCATAGTTTTAATACCACGGGGATCTATCGGTGCAAATGAACCATGAAATTGTCTAGAAATTGAAAGCGTAAAGTTTTTTAATCGAAAGCGAACAATTATTGAAAATGAAAAATGTCGAATGTTAATCAATCGCTCAAGAAAAAATCGTTTACAAACAATATACCCAAAACATAGATAAAGTTTACTAGTGCAAAACAAATTATTAAACAAATGTTCGAGGCAGTTTACGAAAACAGTAAAATACTTTTGCACAAAAATACGATATCAAAAACATCATTTAATAAAGATAATGCCTTAATCCACTGGCGCATTTTCTAATACCAAAAATAAATAAATTCTACAATGAATGTTTATTAAAACATGATTTTCTTGCATTAATTTTGCATACAAGAAAAATAACTCAATAATATTAAACGCACCATATTCGTCTTGTATTCTGCACACTGTTTCATACCCAATATTAGCGTCATTTGGATAATCTTCGGCATTATCTTCAGCCGTTTGGACTTGACTGTTTAAAAGATTTCTTTGTGACGTAAAAGCGTGAGATTCTCCAACAGGCGAAAGCGTCTTCATCACAATGTTTATTCTTTATTCAAAGCTAGGCAGAGATCGTTATTTTTCTTTCAATATGCGCGCTGTGCGTATTGCTTTGTATGGGAAAAGCGAAGCTGGGCAACGAGGTGATGAGTTTTGTTGATGTTTTCCTTATATGGTAAAGTAGGCTGGGTCGAGAATAGCTAACATAATTTATTAATTTATTCTATATTATTGTAACGACAGTATCACTGTTCAATATACGTTGAATTTTGATGAAAAATCGGACAACTTCTTCTTACAAAGTTTCATTTTATCGTTAGAAATTACAATATTTAAGCAGCTTTGAGGCAATCGTTTGCTTTCTCAGTAAAACATGCCGAAAATGATTTCCGAAAAATTGTTATAAATTGTCATCGAGTCGTCGGTATGGTCGTCGGTCACAAACAGTGATGACGTTCTACCTTTGACTGATGGAAACATGCAAACTAGTCAATATTCAATATGGCGTTTGAACGAATTCATTTTATTCCTCCTGTCATTGAAGATAACCCAAACGGCTGGGGTCCTACCTCTGTTTCAGATGCATTTAAAGGAATACCTTATCAACCATTCTCTAAAGGAGATAAACTTGGCAAGGTAAAATATTTTATATTTCATAAGAAATTCCTTGCTATCAATGTCTTCCACTCTGACCTTTAGTTGTTCTTATATTTTTGTGTCACGTGGTGAAATTTATAATCATATTTTACTAGCTATTATTGTAAAACATTGTTATTTAGTCATCATTAAAAAACCTCTCTACACTTTTAAGAGGATAAAATATTATTTCTTGTATTGACTGTATAAATATAGGTCTTATAACATACATTTTCATTTTATGTAGGTTTCTGATTGGTCAAGTACAGCCTATCAAGATCGTCGATACCAAAGTTTGTATTCTGTCTAGACTTCACCATTTTCATGCAGTTTAATAATATTGTTTTACTTCTATAGATAAATACTTAAATCAATTTGGTGGTGGTAATCAATATGCATATTATCACGAAGAAGATGAATCAACTTTCCATCTTGTTGACACAAGTCGACCACAAAAGCCTGTTTACATGCGCAATAGGAACAAATTCAATCAGGTACAATAGAAAATTTTCTATACTTTTAAGTCTCAAAATAAAATCACTTCTTTATTATATTTGTAAATTTGTTCATCTAAATTACTCCTTCTCATATGAACAACATTAACATAAAATTTTTTATTTTTTAGAGAAATAATCGACGTGATAAAGAGCGTCAAATGCAACGTCAGCAAGCTGGGATGCAGAATTTGCTGAAGACTCGTGACAACAGACTCCATCGTAAATTGCAAAAACAATTTGCCAACAGAAACAACTGGCAGGAACGTAGAAATCAGGTTTGTAATAAACTTAGTTGAGGGAGGGTAAGTTTTAAGGTGCAACCTCAGTGAAGAAAATGAACAAAAGAATTGTGATAGTGTGTTACATGTATGTAAACTTTGAACTCCAAAGGATACATTATAAATTTATAGTAATTATGCGACTTGCATAAGATATTATGGTACACAAACGGATGTACCTCAACCATGAACACCTTGGAGGATACATAATAAATATGTAGTAACATGACTGGTACACTTATGGATATACTGTAATTTTATATCTATATATTTAATTTATATGTATACTCCTCAGAGGATACACAATAAATATATAGTAACATGACTGGTACACTTATGGATAGACTGTAAATTTATATCTATATGTTTAACTTATATGTAGACTCCTCAGAGGATACGTAATGCGTCTGTGATGGTTCGGGAAGAGTGGAAGGTTATTGAAGAAATGGATTTTCCAAGATTATCAAAATTGAGTCTACCAAATGTTCTTGATCCAGATGATTTGTACGTTGTATCAGAATTCATTGTTGTATAAAACCTTCTTTGAATTTGCTAAACAAATGAAAGCAATTTTAACATCTATTCTGAATAGATACTAATGAATATCTTGTTTTTATGTGTTTATGAAGATCTCTCTATTTCTGTGCTTTGTTAAATAGGGTAAAATGTGGTGAACTGGAATATTATGACAAGGCTTATGATCGTGTCAACATTAAGAATGAAGTCCCACTTGCCTTGCAAAACAGGATTTTCCATAAAGTCACAACGACTGATGATCCTGTTATCAGAAATGTAAGAAAACTTTACTTGCTTTCATTGAACTAAATGGTTTGGATAACCATCATATTGATAACCATCATAATGATAACCACCAATGTTAACCACCAATCATGACCAATTATTAACCACCAATCATGACCAATTATTAACCACCAATCATGACCAGTTATTAACCACCAATCATGACCAGTTATTAACCACAAATCATTACCAGTTATTAACCACCAATTATGACCAGTTATTAACCACCAATCATGACCAGTTATTAACCACCAATCATGACCAGTTATTAACCACCAATCATGACCAGTTATTAACCACCAATCATGACCAGTTATTAACCACCAATCATTACCAGTTATTAACCACCAATCATGACCAGTTATTAACCACCAATCATGACCAGTTATTAACCACCAATCATGACCAGTTATTAACAACCAATCATGACCAGTTATTAACCACCAATCATGATCAGTTATTAACCACCAATCATGACCAGTTTTAACCACCAATCATGACCAGTTATTAACCATCAATAATAACCAAGAATTATAGGCGTATGCATATTACAAATGAATTGTAGGAACGAAATATAAGAATATATACTTTATTGAAAAATTTAATTGTTCAATTTACTTTGATTTTACCAGATTTTAATGAAAGGAAATGTGTTTGCTACAGATACCATTATATCTACATTGATGACCTGCACAAGATCTGTGTACTCTTGGGACATTATAGCACATGTATGGATAGTATTTTTGTGAGAATTATCAATATACTATTAGTGATATTTATAACTATAAATTAAGTATTTATTTCATGTGATTTTAGCGTGTTGGCTCAAAACTGTTTTTTGACATGAGAGATGAATCAGCATTTGGTTTGTAAATTTTTAGTTTTAATTGATAATTTAAGAAACAACAAGCTGTTTTTTTATTATTGATCTACGTTTTTTAGATCTTTTGACTGTTAATGAAACAGCTGTGGAAACACCTATAGATGATAATGCAGAGAAAAGCATAAACTCTACGACGAACCTTGGTCTGGAAGCAACTTTTATAAACCAAAATTTCTCACAGCAAGTCCTGAAACGCTCAGAGGAAAAGGAGAAGTTTGATAAACCAAATCCTTTCATTGCTGAAGATAATGAAGAAGAAGAAAAGGTGGCATCCGTTGGTTACAGGTAAATTGTTCTTGTATAAATATAGATTGAAGACTAAGATCTTAAAAAGGAGATATTGTGCTTTACAGCGTGTATAAAAAAATTAGACAATTTAAAAAATGTCCAGCAAACTATCATTTCATCAACATCCATGTAATTTGGCATTGTCTGATTTATCTAAAAGTAAAAACAATCAGAAAAATTTATCTGGAAAATTGGGAGTGCACTTTGTAAAAGCGTCAATTTAACTGCTTGGTCAAAGAAAATGAAAGGTTTAAAATTTAATTTAATCGACCTGGTGAAAGTTTGTCATGTGCGGTGAAAAATTTTAGAAAATTTGATGTTTCACTCCTTTTTCTTATTCAAGACTGATTACATGCATGATTGATTGTTTGAATTTACTTAACTAACAAAAAATACTTAATTTGAAGGACAAACAAGATTGGCCACACCAAGCCATAGTTTTCTGAACTTTTTTCTAACTTTTTTCATACACCCTGGCATACATGTGCTAAATTTTAACTAACATTGCTTTATGTTATTAAAAGGCGCTGGAAACATGTTTTGACTTATTTATTTCGTAATTTTTTGATATCACAAAAATTACTAAATATTTTATTTCATTGTGTTGAAAATATACATGTTTTGACTTATTTATTTTGTAATTTTTTGATATCACAAAAATTACTAAATATTTTCTTTCATTGTGTTGAAAATATACATGTTTGCTCCTTCTTCCATTAAGAAGAAAAATGTGATGGTGTACAAGATAATTTTGACTTTCATCCTTCGCTGTGACCTTCCCTCGTTAAAATGTTGTATTAATCTCAACCTGTGAAATCATTTGTCACTTATTTAGATATCGTAAATGGAATCTTGGCAATGATATAGAAATTGTTATAAGATGTGAACATGATGCAGTATTGTCACCTGGAACTTACATCAACATAAAGGCTCTAAATGAATGGGAATCTAAGGTACATTTATGTTTGTGTAGGGAGGTATTGGAGAATGTTGTCATTACGTCATGTATGTATGTGTAGGGAGGTATGGGAGAATGTTGTCATTACGTCATGTATGTATGTGCAGGGAGGTATGGGTGAATGTTGTCATTACGTCATTCATGTATGTAGGGAGGTATGGGAGAATGTCATTACGTCATGTATGTGTAGGGAGGTATGGGAGAATGTTGTCATTACGTCATGTATGTGTAGGGAGGTATGGGAGAATGTTGTCATTACGTCATGTATGTATGTGTAGGGAGGTATGGGAGAATGTTGTCATTACGTCATGTATGTATGTGTAGGGAGGTATGGGAGAATGGCGTCAAAAGCTAGACACTCAACGTGGAGCTGTCTTGGCTACTGAACTCAAGAACAATGGCTGTAAGCTGGCAAAGTGGACTGTTGCGTCTGTTTTGTCGGGCTCTGAGTACTTAAAAATTGGGTGAGTATTGCAATTTGCAATGGAAATGATAGTTTTCATATTTATTATCTTCTGCGTTGTTTTTTAGTTTAATTTTTCTTTGTTTCAATTTAGTTACGTTTCACGTAAAAATTTTATGGATTCATCAAAGCATTGCATTCTGGGTACCCAGCAGTTCAAACCACGTGAACTTGCCAGTCAGATGAATCTCAGTATGGACAATGGTTGGGGAATAGTACGATGTATTATTGATTATTGTATGAATCTTGAAAAGGGGAAATATCTTATTTTGAAGGATCCTAACAAGGTAACAAAGGCATTACTGAGCTTATAGTTAACTGGATCGTTAATCTTTTTTTTGGCAGCATTCGGATTCAGTTTAGTTTCACTCACGACAGTATTTCTTTGTTATGGAAATGATGCATATTCATTATCCTTATTTATCATTATTTATCCATTGTGTGTCCTTCTTTTAAAGGGGATGATTCGTATTTACGATATTCCCAACAACACGTTTGATTCGGAAGATGACGATGATGACGATGATGAAGAAGAAGCTGATGATGAGGATGAAGATGAACAAGAGGAGGAAATTGAGGGTATGTAAGAACAATGTTTTGATGTTTAGGGATAAGTAGGAGCATACGAAGCTCTGTTTTGTTAGTGAATCAATTCTTACTCATTTTTATAGCAAACATTTGATGATGATTTGTTGCTGAAGAATAAATTCAATTTCTATGAATTATTACAAGTACATGATTTTTTTTTCTTGAATTGTGTAATTCAATATTAACTTCAATAATTTGCTTCGAAATAAAAGTATCTTGAAATGTTCACAAGCGATTGTTTTTAAATTCCATATTGAGAATTTTGAATCTAATATCTCCATGAGTTGAATGTGAATGTCTTAATGGATGATTAATAAACATTATGAATGTGTATTGTTTTGTCGTTTATACACTTCATTTTGAGTTACATATCAACAGAAGGTTTTACGTTTTTTATGTCATTTGATATTACCAAGTATTAAAGTAAATGGTTTGAACCCGGGAGTATCGTTACATGTTTGTAGATGTAGATCGTCCAAGTTAGTAGAGCCTTGAGAAAGACTGTTGGTGTTGTTGATAATGTCATACTTATCTTCTCACTTGCTTCTGAGACAGTTAATATCAACATTCCTCACGACTCTACTCTGACCTGGACGATTTACATCTACAAACACGTAATTACCCTCAATGACGTCATGTGGTATTTGGTTTAACAGAATTTTGTTAGTTGTAATACAGCCAGGGGCGAAACTAGAACGTTAATTGGGGGGGTAAATATTTATGTATTCAGCTCTGCTCTGCTGACTTCTTTTGAAATTAACATCGCAAACAAAAGAAATCAGCAGCGCAGAGCTGAATATATGAATATATACCAATTAACGTTCTAGTTTCGCCTCTGAATACAGCATTGACCATGAACTAACTATAAAGCAATGTACTCATAGTTTAGTCTGATAAATTTTGTGATTTGTTAACATTTTATTTTTTATTTCAGTGATGTTCAATAAGTGAAATTGGACAAAAGAATTTAAAAACCTTTTGATTTTTACATTTTATCATCCGTTTTTTAGAATGTGGAATCTTTGTTCATGGTTTTTGATATAAGAATTCGATGAAAAATTTTTTACTAGCGTTGATTTATCTCAGGAAATAACTTTAAGAAATTACTGCATGTGTCATGTTTTTCATGCATTCTTTTGCTGAGGTATTATGGTGGGCCCTAAGGGTGTCATCTGCGACGCTCAGTGTGTACTCTCTCATCCCCACCCACCCCCAACGTTCCCCCTCTCTTTGTGACGTCCTGCCATTTGCCTCAAATATTTCATTTACATCATTTCCGTTGCCCATATTGGTAAATTTCCTTCATTTGTCTTCTTTTGTGAAGTGCTTCAATAATACTGTCGTGTATCGTGGATATTTTTTACATGTAGAAAACACTTTGTATTTCCTCCTAACTTTCTTCATGCTAGCATGGGTGGTGAGTGTTGATATGTGGTGATATCAAGCGATCATAAGGTACTCGTATATACATACTTTGTCATTATCTAATTATTTTTAATTATTTTTCTAATTGACAAATAAAACTATTTTTTTTACATGTTAGTTCAGTGGAGATTATGTTGAATTTGGCAAGTGTAGATATTACAAAGCAAGCAATTATTGATCGCTTGTTGGATGGAGTAAAGCAAGTTAGTTGTAAAATATTTGTACGTAGTTTAAAGTTCGAACTTGGAACTTGTAATTTCGTTTCGTCTTTTATTGTATTGATTTTACTCGAATGATTTGGTCGACTTGAACCTCGTCGTTTCTTTAGTGTCAGGTACGATTTGGTAGTACAACCGAATTGGCTTCTGAGAAGGATAGCAGGTGAACTTGATATTTCTTCGATTGCACTGTATTGTATTCATTTTATTTCATAGTATAATCCTTATTTATCATAATCTTTGTACTTATGATGAATTACAGAATCTCTTGTCTTTGTGAGCAATGGAACATTGTTCTTCAATTTGGCATTAAATCCACAAAAAAGATAAATTCTTTAAGGTATCTTCATCATTCCTCTCTCAATTCAGTCAATTTAGAAGCCATTCTTAAATAATTTGTTTTCATCATTTCTATGTTCATTAAAGGCAGGTGTTAATGAGATCTGAAGGTCAATCTGTGTTCTGGCTATTTATCAAGGAGCATCTTAGCTCTAGTGAAATAAAGACATATAATTCTTTACCTAATGTAATGACAGATGTTGGTAGAGGTTAGTCAAGTTGTTGGTTTCTAAATGATTCCAGGAATGTTTGTGGGTAAAACCTTTTTGTATGCCATGAATTTGTTCTGACATTTTTCTTTCTATTTTTGATGTTTATTTGGCAGCTCAAGCATGGCTTAGGTCTAGTTTAAACGAGCAATCACTGGAGAAATATCTTCATAGCTTCATTGGGCATAAACAATTGCTTTTGTAAGTTTGATTTAAGTAACATTTAAGTAAGAAAGATCGATTTTGGCTTTATAAGCTATATGATTATCATAACCAATGTATATTGCGATATAGTAATGCAATTTTCTTTTAACGGTAAGCTGTTTATGTCAGAATAATTATACGATGTATAATGTTTTAATTTCAGTCAGTATTATGAGCAAGATGCATTATTATTGGATGATGAACGATCTAGTATGTTACCAATGATGGCTGCTGGTAAGAATAAACTTGTTTATATTTCTATAATGGATTTTTTATCATTCCTTGTTTCTTCTTTAAGGCTTAAGTTCAATTCTTTTTGCAATTGACATTGACAAAGCTGAGTTTAACTCTATTACTGTACAGGTATGCTGGAATGCTATTGATATTGTTTAAAAATGAATCTTTGCAAATAGAAATGGATAGTAAAAAAGTGGAAGCTATGAATGTACTTTTCTTTAACTACTTGAATTTAATTTAATTTTTAGATTCCAGGCAATATCAGCCAAGCAGTTTCTCGTCCAACATCAATATGGGCTGTACCATCACCAATGTATCACGACGTCAGGAGCTCCTGGTGAAGTTTGTTAAATACAACATTTTAAGAAAATAAAGATTTGATCAGAATTTCATTTTTCTCCCCTGATCAAAAATATCCCTTTTATCCCTAATTATCCCTACCATTCATCTCATATATCGCTAATCTTATCATTCCTTAACCACACATGTCATTTATTCCTTGTAATCCCCCAACCATGTGTTCTCCTTAACCTTTATTATCCCTTTATGACATGTCTTCATTTATCCCTTAACTATACCTGTTGTTTATTCATCCCTTATCATCCCTTATCCGCGCGTCCTCGTTTAATCTTTATCATACTTGAACAATGCGTAGTCATTTATCCCCACGAGTCTTTATTAATTTTTAACTTTTATCTTTCTTTTGTGTTTCAGGAGAAAGAAAAGAAAAATAAAAGAAAGCAAACATTGCTCAAATTGAAAATGTTGAATTCAAAGAGACGGAAGAAGGAACTTCTACTGTCAGTTCTCATGGTAGTTCTTCCACAACAACGACTGCTCACGATAGTGCCACGAGTTTTACCCGAGCGGCGTACGATATATTACAACGTAATACTGATTCTCAGGTACATGCTCGTGGTAACCATGCTTTCACTAAAAGGCCTGACGATTTTCTTGAAATGCCAAAGAACTCTCAGTTGGCTTATTGTTCGAATTCTGAGAATTCAAGTCTTTCTTCCACAATGGCGAAATCCAACGTTGAGAACAAGGAGAATGAAACAGATGAACAAGTGGCTCGATTAACAAAGAAAAGCCTGGAAGCTTTGCATCTTGAAAACGAGTTTAAAACTGAGAATGATTTGAAAAAAATCATTCTTTGACAACATCTTTGCAATCAGGGCATTACACTGACTCATCGCTCTTGTCGGAGGAAGAAGTGTGTGAGCCTCTTGTTGATATGAACAGCGGTGTATCTCTAATTCCCGTTGTTTGCCCTGATGACGATAAAGGAGTTAGGGGTCTAGCTATGTCAGATGAAAATGAGCGATTTACTGTTGCACCTGAGACGTCACGACATTTAGTTCATTCAATAAATGATTCGCCCGTTTCAAGGTTAGAAGATACTTCATTATTTTATCGAGAAGAATGTCTAACGAGTTCACCATTTTAACTGAGGTGGTAATTTGTTGTTTTCAGTATTTACACTGATGAAGACGTCGAGAATGATGCAAGTTTAGCAATTGGGGCAACTGTTGCAGCGATATGTGCCACCCGTGATGGTAGCATAGAAATTAATGATTACTCAGGATCGTCATTGGTCAGAACCATGGGTGATGGTTGTATGAATGTAAGTTAATTATGAAATGCTTTTATCTTTTTGGGGAGGGAGGGTAGAAACCATGTGTAAATATCTTTGTTATATTTAGTTCGTTATATTTGGTATGTTTTCGTTCTTTAGCCATCAGAGGAATATCCATCAGGCAAAGAAATGACTTCAGGTTTGTGTGTTTTTCTATTCATGTATTTAAATGGTTTTATTTCTTATATCTTTTGAAAAAATGTTTTCGGAACGGGAGGCACTTTTGCCTCAGGTTCTCAAACTATAAATGGCTATTAGCAGGTAGAGTTAGTTTTAAATATAGAAATATTTAGTGCAATTGGATTTTACTATTTGTATCGTAGTTGCTTTGCTTGTTTGGAGACATCCGTCAAATTTCATCATGTGAACTGAATATTTGTATGTGTGAATAATTATAATTTCATGAATATCAATAAATACGTGGTTTTTTGTTGTTGAAGAGGAATTAAAACAGGCGATTGTATCGATGATGTTAAGAAAGATGAAGTTGAAGAACAACAGGTTGTATTATCGTTCGTTTAATATTAACATTCCATTCGAATATACACTATTTTGCCCTGATTTTTCCTTCGATCATCTTTCCTGTAGATCATTACAACATTTGGAAAAGAGATGATGAAGTCAGCTTCTCTTCGTCTTCAATTAGAAGATTTAAAAGAGATATGTCGTCGAAAATGAAGAAAATTGCGTCGCTCTTAACGGCTTAAAAGGTTAGGACATTGAGAACTCTGCATTTCCGTTAATCAAAGATGTCTGTTGACCTGTTCGTTTTTGCTCTTTAGTGAAAATGATTTGCTCAAACACCAACTAAAGAAATACGTGGGTGCTGTTCAATCGTTGAAAAGAAATGACATTATGGAAGAAGGTTTACTAGAGGATAGTTTATCTTTAAAATAGATGTAGAAATCTAAGATATTCGATAATCTTTTGTGTAGCTCCAGAAAATGAAAGACTTTCTTCTATCATTCTTTCTCCGGAATCTGACGTCGACGAAGTGAGGTATTTACAGTAAATTTGTAGCAAAAGTGAATCAACGGCGTTGAATTTCGTTCCTTTTTCTTGTAGAAAGGAAGAAAACAAAGATTTTGAGCGGAAGTTGATCCAAGTAAGATTTCCATTAAACCATAATACTTTTACAAAACGAAACATTTGCCTTAAATGGTTTCCAAGTATCATATGCTTCATGAAGATGAGCCGAAATTTATTTGATAGAAAACTCTTTTATACGATGCACACGGTAACTTTAAGAAATATCTAATTCAAGAAGATATTTTACTTGTGAAAACTGAGGATAAATAACTGAAATGAAATCGTGATATATGTTTGAAAAAACTCGCCACTCTGACTGATTTCGCGTTTCTTGTTCATCCCTGGGAATTTCATGGCGATGACGTCATGGCGTCAAGTTGTGATGAAATGTTGATAATCATAATAGTTGTTTATCATGTTTAAAGGTCGCTGATATGCATGGCGAACTTATTGAACTCAATGAAAGACTACAAAAAATGTTGAATGCTCGTGAATATCAGCTAAGAATATTAAAAGAAGAGCTTGTCAATCTTAGAGGACCGGTATGTTCAATAAAGACCCGTGTGTTCATTATAGTACAATAGATGTACAATATTGATCGGTATGTACAATATGAACTGTTTGGTATGAATATGAAAAGCAGTAAATATTCTTTTGATTTTCTAAATATTTCTTAATAAAACTACGTATCTTTGCATGTTCTAGCTTCCTCAGGACGATAATCATGATAAATGTTTATATTTGACGGAGTTTGCTCCAAATTTCATGTCTGTCAATACTCGTCCTTTAATTAACATTTGGATTCCATCTGTTTTTGTACAAGGAAAGTCTCCAAACATTCACCATTCTTATCAGGTATAATTTTTTCCATATATTTATCTCTAAAAAAAGTAAATAACTCTTCCGATGTGATGTTGATGGTTATCTGGACTAGGTTAGGGATAACTAGGGACTATATTTCAAGATTTATGATCTATATTTGGTATTTTCCTCGTTTCAAATACATCACCTTTGAGAAAAGTGTTTGTGGTCATCGTATTTAAAAGATCATGTCGTAGTTTAAATTTACCGGTCATATATTTCACTTTTCATATGTATATGTGTAGTGGTGTTGAGAAAAAATCACAAAACTACAGATTCATCCCGACAAGCCTGTTTCGTGACTGCTCACTCTTCAGGGATTTTCCTTTAATCACGAAACAGGCTTGTCGGGATGAATCTAATAGTTTTTTCCCTAACCTCACTATATTACCTCCGCTCTCGGGCATCGAGAACTGTTTAAACGGTTTATACTGTTTTATACTGTTATATATATACAAAGTGTATATACAATGTGCCCTCCGGCTATCACCATAGTAAAATGGTGACTCTGCATAGGACACAGGACGTGCGGTTCACATTGTATGGATTGTATTTAAGAGTCACCACAGGGCTCATATATATATATATATATATATATATCTATCATCTGCTCAGTGGTCCAGTTATTGTCGTCAATAAAAATTTAACATTGTTTACTTCACAAGGTTTATATCCGTATCAAAGACGATGAATGGAATGTTTACAAAGATACTCGGATTTTTATGCCCTACAAAAGGTTTTTAATAAACATCAGTATTTTAATTTTTTTAATCATATTGTTTTGCCGTAATGTACAATCCCTTTCTTTTCCTTTTTGTGCACAGACAAGAAGCAGTTTAAACCTGTTGCACAATTCACGTTTCCCGCGAAGAAAATTATTGGAAATCGTGACGTCAATTTTGTGGAAACACGTCGAAAAAAATTGGAAAATTACTTGAGAAAATTGATCAATTATAGTCTGGGTGCTGTTCCAGAGTTAGGTGAAAATCCTTGCAAGAGTTCTTTGTTTAAATACTTTCCCTTTTTATGTAAGTAAACACGTGATCTTTTTCATGTGAGTAAACACGTGTTCTTTTTCATGTGAGTAAACACGTGATCTTTTTCATGTGAGTAAACACGTGAACATGTTTGAGTGTAATTTATTGCTCAATATACAGAATAATAAACGATTTTTTAGTGTTAATGTTTGTAAGGCAAGAATAGACAGAAAAAATTGAAAGTCAAAATAAGAACATAAAGCAATCAAACGCATGCGCTGATTGGTCTATAGCTGTGTTTTCATTTGCTTGTGCAAACCGATCTGAGCTCAACAAATCAAATCAAAGAGATTTCGCAAATCAATCATGAATACATTTTAGAGGAAAAATTAAAACGTTTGTTTTAAAGTTGTCTGTTTCGCATTATTGAAATTTTTTTAAAAAGATATTTTTCCTGTTTGCACTGGCTTATGCAAACCTCGGAGTTTGTGAGAACTCTTGAGCATGTGCAACACTCTACCTTCGGTTTTGGGCTTGCACTGATCAGCTCTCAAGTTCTCCCAAAGGTCTCCTCGGTTTGCATAAGCCTGTGCAAACACAGTAAAAATCTTTTATTTCGTAATAATACAACACAAAGAACTCAAACTTTGGCTTGTTTTAGACAGAAAATCAAAATGCTACTACCTATTATTTCATGAATAGTTCATCAATTTTCTCTAAACTTTCAGCAAATATTTTACAGGCAAACTTCAACGGTATCATCTGTTTCAACGACGACAACGACAACACAAACTGTTCCTCCTACACATAATGGTTAAAGGTAAAACTTTTAGGATGTCTGTCGAAAAAAACAGAGCATAGAAATTGTATAAGTTATATTGTATATATATAACATACGTATAGTTCAGTATATATAAATATAATATGTCTACAAAGTAGAAGAATTTCCTGATGCATCAATTTCAACGACTCTTTATTGTATGTGCTAAATACAGATATAATTTGTCAGTATTTGATACTATATAATAGTACATCATACTGGGTTTTAACAAGTTAAAACATAATATTTAACTTGAAATGAAAACAATCGTATATTAAATACATCACACGCGTACTATGCTATTAAATGTTGTGCTATCTCAGCACGATTTGATCAATTTAAATATCCCGCGTCACCCAGCTCTTGCTGGCGAATGTTTATACGACTTGACGTGACCAGTTTGATCAATACGTCATATGACTTTTGCCGATCTTTCCCGCGCTATGTGTAAAGAGATTTCTTGCTGAAACAATCTTTATCGTAAGTATTACGTAAAATATTTCATTTGTAAGTGTCAAAGTACAGGGTGACCCAAAAAGATGCGTACTCATATTTTATTCGATAAAAAATCTATTTTTTAAGGAATGTCTTTTCTGTAGCAGGACGTGAAAGGTGAACCTATGGATGATCATTTGCAGCTACTATAGTTGCCCTGAAAATGTCTTGGACAAATCAGCAGAAGATATTCTCGCTGGAGACCTATTTTGCGACAAAATCATACCAGAGTGTACAGATTCAGTTTCGAAAGCGTTTCCATTGTCGCAACTTTCCATCAAATCAACGATTGTTAGTTGGGTTAAGTTCAGAGAGCATGGGACTGTAGTGGCCATGAGCAAGCACAGGATCATCGGGCCTTTTTGGTTCGAAGATGATGACAGCCGATCCCAGACAGTCAACAAGGAGCGCTACTTAACTGTTCTGAATAAATACTAGGCATCATGGGACTTGGAGAGGTTTTGAGAGCTTCACAATGGTTTCAGCAAGATTGTGCTACACCTCATGCGGCCAGCGAAACTATTTCTTGGTTAAGGCAGAGGTTTGAAGAGAGACTCATAAGCAGAAGATGCGATGTGGAATGGGCCCACCACCAGATCTTAACCCCAGATTTTTTATCTGCAGGGATTCCTCAAAGACAATGTATACCAGGAAATCCACAAACAATTGAAAGAACTTAAGACTGCCATCACAGCAAAAATAAGAGCCATCCAGAAGAGGAGTGTATAAAAGTGATTCAAAACTTTGCCAGACTAGTACAGGTTTGCTTTTGCAACAGAATGGTGGACATTTGGAACACATCTTGGAAAGCCATAAATTGACTAGAAATTGACAGAAATAGCCGAAACTCTTGTGAATAGTCTTCCATAAACTGAATGATGTGTGGTTGTAATTTGAAAGAAATAGCTTTTTAATTAAAGCCATAATTGAAATTTTCATGGGTACGTATCTTTTTGGGTCACCCTGTATTACAGTGAGTAATATAACCTTTTTATTTCAGAGAAGAAGAGTAACGCATACAGTTGATATTGTAAGCATTGTACAAAATTTCTAAGAATAGGATTTACTACTTCCTACATATGTATTGTAATATGAGATGTCTTCTACTAAAAGACGAAACGTTATTATTGATAAAATTATATACCCATGGCCATATTAAAAGTTTATGATGGGCAATGATATTTATACTAAAATTCGCTTTCCGCCTTGCAAATCCATTTTCACAATATTTTATAACATCACAACAAGTTAAACCTGTTGAATACATGTTCTTTCTTTGAAGCTGTTGCAAAAGTCGTTTCAAACTCGAAAAAAACGAAAGATGGCCGTTGAAGAGTTAAGTTTTTTTACAAAAATTTATATCAGTTTTACCCTAAAATATCAGCTGCTTCTTCCTCAGTCAAACTTTATACTTCATTCCTCATTCATTTTTCGAAGCTGTCGGGAAAAGTCTTTCAAGAAGTTAGAAAAGATGTTGACGGAGAAACATGGCATTGCCGAAGTTTTTGTTGTACATGGTGGTTTTTTTACCAGAGTTTTGACAATTGCTGGTTTATCAAAGATCTTTACGTTAAATACATGGTTATTTTTTGCTAAGCTCTTTGAAAAAGTCGTTCAAGAACTCAGAAAAGACGTTAACGAAATGACGACCGTTACAGAATGGCCGAAAGTTTGTGTAAGAACATGTTACATGTTACATGTTCGTTCGCTGAATTCCGGCTATCGGACTCATATAAATAGTCCCTAAAACTAAAGGTAAGTTTATGAAAGTGCATACATTGCCGTCGACTATAGTCTTTGCATTTTCACACATTTTCATGCCAAAGACTATATACTGTGCATTTTCACACATCTTCATGCCAAAGACTAGAATTTTGCATTTTCACACACTTTCACACCAAAGACTATAGTCTTTCATTTTACACACTTTCACATTGTCGCATGGAGATTGAAAATTCTTTAAAATGGACAAATATAATGCCGGCTGATAGTTGAATAATAAAATAAAAAAATACATTGTAATAATATTTTTCTATCCGTTTTATTCCTTTGATGTGTGCAAAACTAGCTGGTCAGCCTTCATTTACCATTGAAGACTTTGTATAATTTCAATGTCTGTCTACTACGCCAAACCCACAGGTGCATGGAACATTTTAGCTACGTTGATGCAAGCACAAAGATTTTTTTCCATTGAAGATGTAATGCACTAATGAGGAGTTAGCACAGTGATTGGGTTTCGAAATTTTACAGTAGTTTAATTGCAAACGTCGTTTTTATATACACCCTGTAGGAATGCTAATTAAAGAGATCAAATGTTAATGCTAATAATTCAATAAGAAAATGAGATGAAGATAACAATCTGAGGGTTTATCAAATCATGTTTGTATCAGTGAACCTTTAAAATTTGCATGAATTCAGCTGGTTTATTTAAAGGAGCTTAAATGTTTGGGATTTGCTATTTGCTGTAGCTGAGTATACGTTTTATTTATATTGTATTAAATTGCATTTACCGCTCTATGAGAGTTAATTACTTCTAAGTGATAAGATCATACAAATTCTATTCACGTAATACAATTGACGACACACCTGGTAAAGCCAATAGTACACAACGTTTACGACACACCTAGTAAATGACCAATCAGAACACCAACACGTTTACAACATCCCTAGTCACTTTGGCCAATAAAATTACAACACATAGTCTAAGACTAAAACTTGGCCATAGTCTAAGACTAAGAACGTGCCATTTAAGACGTGAAAGTCTGTAGTTGCACGAAGAATAGTTAGCCAGTCGAAATTATTCCAAGGTGAAATATCTCTGGAGTGCATTGAAAAATTGTTCAGGTAAATGTCTTGTTTCAAGTTCTTTGCAGTAAACATTGAATTGGGACACTGCATGTGATGTTCATTAATGCAAAGTGCAGTGTAGCCTTTCCATAAAGTTTCCGTCTTAGTAACTTTTGTTTCCTCTATGCGATTTTTTAGACATGGACATTCTTCTCTTAAACGACAATTAGTCATCAAATGAGATTGAGGAAACAACGAACAAATGTTGGGTATATTCACCATGATCATGGACTCACAATTAAAGAAGTGGTTATTGTTCACAGCGGTTGAGAGAATTGTGGCTGTTGTCGACCAGTTCCTCGACGCTCATCTAAACATAAGAACAAACTTCAATTCTGTAGTTGGTTTAGAGAAATTCTTCTTCCTTTGCTTTGAACTACATTACTAGTAGAATAAAATGCTCAATGTAAGTATATTTATCAATGTTTAAATTTATGGAAGTATAGTAGTGTAGACTGACATTGGCTTCAATTGTCCTATGTAGAAACCTTCTGATCAAAGAGTGGACAATATGCGTACTTTAATGAAATCCTCTGAACAATGATGAAGAATGAACATACTTTAATGGGATTCCTCTGAAGAATGCTCA